TTATTACAATCTTAGTAACTTGCTCAATATGTGATGCTGGTAGATATGCAATAACTATTTCTTTCTCTTTGTGATTACTTTTTCTCTTCCATCTATGTGTCTTGTCTGTCTGTCTATCTATCCATCCATCATCTATCTATTTTTATCAGTGCCAGGGATGGGACATGTAGCTTCATACACACTAAGCATAGCTCTACCATTGAACTCTACACCTAGCCCCAGATTATTTTGTGACTAAAATCTTTCTTGTATCAAAAACAAAAGTCACAGTGAAAGCATGATCAGAGAAGGGAAGCCAGAGGAACATACTTTTCCCTCTGATGGATCCCTGTAAGTGAAAGCCTGAGGCTAGCGAGTAGGGTTTCACCCAGGTCCTATCATGTGCTGGGTCTGTTTCACGATGGGCCTTGACTTCCAAATCTATGCAGTGAGGTAAACAGACAAAAATTATTCTAAGCCCAGTATTCTGTGTTTGAAAAGGGAGTTTTGGCCTTGCTCCTCTTCTCCTGATTTCCCTGTCTCAGAAATCCACAGTCACTGGCAAACCAAAGGACAACATCTCATGATTTAGCCCAAGAAATGGAAGCAGTCTCAATACATTTAGGCAGAGAAGGTATCTCTGCACATTCTAGAACTGGTTCTGGGGAATGGATGGCCATTTTATTGATGAATGAGGGACCTGGTTACTTTCATGAAAAGCAGAAAGGGAAAGTGAGAGAGAACCAGCTCTGCCTGCCCTCTCTTGGACTTGACCCTGTCCTTCTCTTTTCACTATTGCAGCCAGAGCCCAGCAGGCCCCTGCCAGGATCCTTCCCCCCCTGCCCATGTGCACAGCTGTGCTTGGGAGGTGCTGAGTGGGAGGACTTCTCTGAGGGCAAACTCCAGCCAGCTAAAAGCCAGTAGACTACTCACCGGAGGTCTCTTCCAGACAAACTGGATGGGGAACTTCTGGCTATAAAAGAGAGAGGTTTCATCTGGCGGGAACTCCGGATCCAGATAAAGAACTTTCTTCTCCAGGCACTTTTTGTGGAGCTGCTCAAAGGTCTTCTCTTTCACTCCGATAATTGGGAAATTGCGGCTGATGATGGCCGAGTAGATGCCACTTGGGTGTCCACCTCCAGCTTCGGTGGTCTTCCCTTGGGCTGGGTGAGGACCAGGCCCTGGGGACCTGGGCTCAGCCCCTGTCCTCGGGGCCACCGTTGCACTAATGACGGTTGGCATGGCAGGAAACTTTGGAAGGAAGATGTTTTTAAAGAAGACAAGATTCAGCTACCTTCAAGGAAAGGAAGCAACCACAAGGCGGAAGTCGAAGCGATTCTCTCATCTGAGAGAAAATGGCCACATTCACTTCAAAGTTTAAGTCCTATCAGAAAGCTGGCTGGCTTATGACCAGCTTAAATAGCCGAGCTGTGATCCTAGTGCCATAGGTTCCTGAAGAAGAGGCACTAAAGGGTTTCGAAGCAGTTTCTACCTGGGGGCTCCCACCAGCAGCATGCTTGCCAGAGGGACAGAAAGAGAGTGAGGGTTGTGTTTCAGTGGCCTGAAGAAGCTTAAGCCAGGAAAACTAAAAATAGACATGAAGTGAGATGGTGAGCATAAAAGCAAGAGGCCAGTGTGTGGCTAGACTGAGTGGTAGGGAAGGACCTCGCTGGGCATTTCCTACATTGACACTAAGAACTTTTGTTGTCACAAAAGGAGAGTATCTGAGACAGGGGAACACCAGAAACCAGCGAATTGTCTAAGCACTAGGCAGCCATACAGGCTACTGAAGCAGTGGCCACCGGATGCACAGGAAACAGTATTTGAACAGCTAGCTGGAATCTAAGCCATGAGAGGTCTGGAGACATATTCTGTATGTTTTAGAGAACATGATTTTTACTTTATAAAAGAATGTCACTTAATATTAGAGTATCTTTTCTAGGATGTTCTGGAATCAGCTTTCAGTCCAACTGGGTAGAAAATGCTATGCAGTAGAATTTTCAGTAAAGGAAATCCCTCTCTTCTCAAGCATTGGACCTAGACTCCTCCTGCCTCTTCCTACCTGTAAATACACACTGAGATCAAGTCTACTACACAACGTGTATCTTAGAAGATTATTTGTTTATCCATACCACATCAGCATCTAGACAGAAGCTGGAAATAGATACTGAGACAGATTGGTGTCAAGTCCAAGGATGTCATGCCTAGAATTGGCTTCAGGGCTTTTAAATGAGAATGAAAGTGGCCAGGGAAGGGAATTGCTTGCCAGGCTTCCACCTGGTTTTTACCCAAGGTAGCTGCTCTCCACATCATGATGAGATGGATGCATCTGAAGTCTGGCTGAATAAAGGCTTGCCTCAGCTTGCAGCTGTGCCTGTTCCTAAGCAACCAGCTTCATAGATCCAGGATTACAAGACATGGGAAAGGGAAAGAAATGACAGCTGAAATAGGTGGCATAGGACAAGAGAGACAGATCAGTGGGGAAGCACTTGCCATGTAAGTGTGAAGGCCTGAGCTCCCAGTAAAACTAGGTGCAGGAGCATGTTGCCATCCCAGTGCATCTAGAGAGATGGGAAGCACAGACAGAACCCCTAGAGTGGGCTGGGCTGTCAGCTTCTGCAGCAGCACACAACAAAAAGACCGTCTCAAACAAGATGACAGCAAGGACCAACACCCTAGGTTGTTCTCTTCTGTGTGCCAGGGTCCATGTGTACATGTGCATGCCCACACTCACACACACAGAAACATGTATACATACATATTACCCCCCCACAACACACACACACACACACACACACACACACACACAGAGAGAGAGAGAGAGAGAGGAGAGAGAGAGAGAGAGAGAGAGAGAGAGAGAGAAGGGAAGGGAAGTATGGTTAGGCTTATGAATCTTAGTAATGTAGCTGGTAGGAACCCTATATCTTGGCTACTGGAACCATCAGCCTATATTCCTGTCCCTCCAAGAATATGCACAAGTTATCAATACTCCTGAAGGAGAACAGATGAGAGCAGTTTCTGAAGGGTGGCTGTCTAGGTTCAAAGTCTAGGTTGGCCACTACTGGCTATGACTGTGTAACTTTAGCTGAGTTATCTTGTTCTTTCTTCCTACAAGCCAGTCTTCTCTCATGTAAAATTGGCATGATGGTAGTCATTCTGTTGTTGGGTTGGTGTAAGGATTAAACAAGTTAACTCATGTAGAAAAAGCCTGAATTTAATATCACTTTGGGGTTAGGTTGGGATAAATGACCATTTACTCATGGTATCAATTGACTATCCATCACTATAACAAAATATATGAGATAATTAACTTACATAGACAAAAAGGTTTATTTTGGCCCACAGTTTTAGAGGTTCCTGCCCACGTCAATTAGCTCCATTGGTTTGGGCCTGTAAAAAGGCTCATGTAAGAAACTTGTGCCAAAGCAAAAACATCTACCTCCTGACCAGGAAGCAAACAGAGAAAACTGTGATAAAACACCGAGACCAAAAGCAACTTATAGAAGAGTTTATTCTGGCTTGCATTCCACACGGAGAGCTGCATAGCAAGGGAGGCATGGCAGCAGGTGCTGGAGCAGGCGGCCGAGAGAGATCACATCTCAGCAGCACACAGGAAGCAGTGCAAGCATACGGGACCTGGAATGAGGCTATAACTGAGCAAAGCCCACCCTCAATGACGCATTTCTTCTAGCAAGGCTGTGCCTCCCAAAAGTTCCACAACTCCCCAGGCATTGCCACCACCGGGGGACCAAGTGTTCAAGCATATGAGCCCATGGGGGACATTTTCCATTAAACTACAACAGTGGTGTAACAGATATGGGAGAACTAGAACGTGATCTTAAGGAACATACACTCTAGAGGGGAAATTCGCGGTCCTACTTGTAGTACCAAGGCACATCCCTGAGAATGCAAAGTAGGGCACAAGTGTATGTGGGGCAGCATTTCAGAGACGGGCGAAACCACGGGGTTTGGAGTGCCAGGTTAGAAGTTTTCACAGGAAAGTAGGATTTGGGTTGGGTCTGGAAGGATGGTAAGACCTGTATAGGTGGAGACAAGGGGGGGGGGGTACTGTGGTTAAGGAAAGGGAAAGCAGAATGGGGACAGTTGCAGTTGGCTAAATGGAAGAAATGTAGTGAGGGGTTCATGTGCTGAGAAACTGAGGCCTCCTCAGTATCTGCTGATGGAGACAGCAGAAAGTCTCGGGTCTGCAGAGCCAGAAGTGTTGTGATGCAACTACTATGGTACAATAGTCAAGCCCGTGCCAAGCCACATCGCAACCCCAGTGCAAAAGGAAGTCAGTAACACTGAGCTGTCTTTATTTAAAGTCTTTTACTCAGCCTGGGGTTTTTGTATTCAATTTGCTTTTTAAAGACAGTGCATTAAAATATTACTTATTTTGGTTATTGATTGTGTCTAAAACAAGGGCCTCTTACACTTGTGTTATTATAATCCTAGCCTTGTGCTCTATTTTTCAAGTTTACTTGTGGTAATGGGTATTTATTTCATTATTACTAATTATAGCTTATTCGTGCTATAAATATTCTTTGGTTAGTAGAGAGTATTTAGTAAAATATAATTAGGAGTAAATCTGAATTCGAAGATTGACTTGATACTTTTGAGTCTCAGAACAGGAAAGGGAAACTTTCTCTAGGGGGAGCTTTCCACAGTCCTCTCCATGCAGTGTGTGGAGGAGAGGGCGCTGTGCCTGGGCTACTGTTATGGAAGGCAATGCAGAGAGTACCAGGCACTGCCATCTGTTTGGAGACTGGTCTGAAAACTCTGCAGCTGTAACAGCTAGAGTGAGTGTGCTGCATAGCCTGATGCAAGCCCTACAAATGGGCCTCCAGAGTAGTTCCAGGTCAGGCTGCTCACAGCTCTATCAATGGCTCAGGATTTATGGGTCTGTGGGAAGGGCAGTGTTTGTACAGTTCATCAATAACACATCTTTCGATGTAAATTTTGAAGTCATATTTTTGATTTTTGAGACAAGGTCTTGTGATCCAGCTTTAGCTAGTCTTGAACTTATGATCCTTCTGCCTTAGCTTCCCGAGTGCTGTGATTGCTGGAGTGGGCCACTGCACCTGAAATCTTCAAATCTGAAATCTACTGGTCATCAGTATGTTAGAGATAAGCAATATATAATTTTTTCCAGGGAAGCAATCTGGATGGCAGCACAGATCTCACAGAAGGCTAGGAGGTTGGGTGGTCCGGAGGCTTACACACTCATCACCAGTGCCCCTGCTCATCATCTGATATGGACCTCCCAGTCATCAGCAATGCTGAGGGAAAGCTTCTCCAGACTCAGGGCACATGTTTTGGTGGAGTATGTAAAAGCTTCAGGCTGAACCTTACCATCTAAATAGCAAAACAATAAAAAAGACATTGAGAAACCAGGAAAAAAGTAACTATTTCCCCCTCCAAATCTGATAGGTTGTCTGGTGCTCTCAAACAATGTCACACCTCACTTAGAAGAAGCATTCTTATTCATGAACTCCTGTGAATGTTTTAAAACACAAACAGATAATCCGTTTGGAGTATACTCCTGGTTAGAAAGAAACTAGAAGGAGCAGAGTGATTTGTTCAAGAAATGCAGGAGGTAAGGGAGGGCACAATTCTACACCATCTCTTGCATTAGTTCCTTAAAATGCTAAGGATTCTCCAGGGCCGAAGATGGCTGTAACCTATTACAAATTAAGAAACACCTAGGATACTATCTTAGGTCTTCAACAATTTCTCTTAGTAAATATTAACTGTGGGCAGAAAGACTAATTCATGATGAGAAGCAGATTGGCTGCTCCCTCTAGAGACTAGAGAACTGACCCAGGAAGGGCAGAGATTGTCAGTTTGGGAACAAAGCACCTTTTCATTGCAGGTACCTCTGTGTTTACATGGACAAATGCTTACCAGGTAAGTGGGTAGTTACAGAAGATGGCTTCTTCCTAAGGCCTAAGACCAAGATCTGCTCCACTATGCACTTGCTGGGATAACGACCCTTCTCATCAGCACACCTGGAAAAGTTACAAATGTTCTCAGGAAAAGGAGATTCACAGGGATTTTAATTGGTCACTGGGTCAACATCTCCATCCTTGTGAGTTCTTCCGGTCTGCCTCTATGGAGTCATGGTACACACAGGAGCCATATTCAGTAGGAAAAACAGATGAAAACAGATGGTTCCATGTGCCAGGGACTAGGTAATCGTGGCTACATCAATCTCCCTGAACCACATGAAGGACACAAAAGGCACAGGGTGGCTTGAACATTACAATCTAACGGAAAGAAACCAGGTATTTAATTGATTGGTGCACAGGGGAATGAAGGTATTAACAAGTACTTAAGCTAAGTAGTTTTATTTTGTAGGCAGGTTGGGTAAAGAAGATGTGGACAAAAAGGGAGGAGCTTTCAGGGTCAGTAATTAAAATACAAATGGCCCTCACCATTTGTTTACTTAAATAATACCTCCAAGATTTTCTATTATTTTTATTTTATGAACACGAATGTTTTGGCTACATGTATGTAAGTACACCACATGCCCTTACAGACCAGAAGAGTTGGGGGGGTCAGATCCCCTGCAGCTGGTGTTACAGAACATATGGATGTTGGGAAGTGAACTTGGGTCCCCTTCAAGAGCTTCCAGGGCTCTTTAACCCACAGGCCATCTCTCAAGCTTAAATAGTAGTTTAAAATTTGAGCTATCCACTTAGTTGAAGATGCCAAGAGGGCAGTATAATCTTTTAAGAGTCACAGCTTTGGGGCTGTCCTCACCTGTTGATCAGAACACCGGAACAGAATGAAAACCTGCGGTGTAAGAACCGGTCCTGGTGGAGGTACTGGAAGGAATGGCCATCATCAAGGTACAGCTCCCCCACAGCCAAATCCTGCGGAGTGAATCACAGAGGATCTGCTAATGGCAATAGTTTTACAGGAAAAAAGTCATCTTCTAGTGGCAAAGAGTAACGTCTGAAAATTGGTGAAAAGCCTGAAAAACTGAGTATCCAAGCTACACAGAGTTACACACAAGTTCCTTATACATTCAAATACATTCAATATCCAATCACTCCTGAGTAGATAATAAAATAACATGATGAACAGTGAGGCTACATAAGAGGAATACAAAGAGTTAGACTTTGTTGAAGGAAAATTAAATATAAAGTATGATCAGTAATTGCTTCAATGAAAATATTATCCCAGAATGTGACAAGAAAGTTCACGGAACAGAACTGAAGTTGAAATATATCACTGTATAATAGATGAAAGCAACTGTCCTTAGAAGACCTTCCTACTCAAAGTGGGAGGACCTCTTTTGTAGCCAAACACACAGCCCTCCACATAGCAGGTTACTTATTAACAGTGTTGGCTTCAGGATGGGTCTCTAGCTTATTGCATTCATTCTGGTACCCCACATGGATCCTGGACCAGAGTTTGGCTGAAGAAGACAAGTTTGAATAAAATGCATGGAAAAGAAAACTGTAATTTACCTATTTTACAATATTGCTATAAATACACATAACTATAACGAGAATATATATTTGGCTCTGTTATAAGGATGGAAAAATTTAGCCTAATTTTCCCTAGACTCCGCCCCCTAGCAGTAAGTAGGCAAAAGGTCATTCTTGACTGTTTACTACAGGGTGGGTTTACCAACAGCACCTGTGAGTGAATGAGAACAGGAAATGAGCCATGCCACACTACCCAGGAGCCCTAGGGAAAGCAGACTTCCTGGGCTAAGCGTGGGCTTGTCACACTATCCAGGATCCCTATCGAAAGCAAACTTCCTGGACAAAGCACGGGCTTGGATAGTTCAAATTGATTGGTCCACACTGGATGCTATGAGATGATTGGTTTGTGATGCGCGGACTTTGTTGTAACCCTATAAAAGCTGTCTGAACCCTGTACCAAGGGTTCCCAGTCCTTTACGCCACATGGAGTATGGCTGTGGACCCCAGTGCACTGGAATATAAAAACCTCATGCTTTTGCATCAAGACTGCTTCTTGTGAGTGATTTGGGGGGGGGGGCGCCTTTCCTGAGTCGGGGCATGAGGGTCCATGCCCTCCGCGGGTCTTACACTGTAAGGTACTGGGGTAAATGGATAAGAGATGTGCATAACACAGGCTTCACTTAGCTGAAAAGATACTTTTGGCACTCTCAAGCCATACTCAAGGAGACCTTAGTGATTTGAGCTGCCTGATAAGAATACAAGTCACTGAATAGGTTACTTTATGTCCCTCTTCTGTAGGAGACTGAGTTTCACAACTACTGCAGGGGCAAGCTGCATTATAAATGTTCTCCCATTAACAATCTATGTCTACCTAAGAGACAGACATTACATGCCCAAGAAACATATTTGCATCATTCCTTGATCTTGTAGTTATTAAGAAAAATGTCAGGGATGGCAGACTTCACAGTGATTCAGAAATAATTCAGCCCTTGATTTTGAGATGAACACTGGAGCACTGTTTCATAAGAGAGTCATTACCTTTTCATCCTCTCCAAAGGCCACTACTGTAAAGAGATGGAATAGAAGGGGTAGGGGATAGCTGGCTTTCCTCGTACCTGGCTGCTTAAAGCAAGCCGGAGTCCATATGGGGAGTCAGCCATCCAGCCTGTGGATTTTCCCACACTGGTCTTTATTGGTAGCACACTTCCGCCTCGTTGGAACACAGGTATCTGCAACAGAACAGTACTCTCAGGGATAACATACCCATTCAAGGAACTTTCCAAGTAGAATTTCAAAATATTTCACTGTATGAGATGCAGACTCAAGCAAAGAATATTTACAGGCAGAGGAATGGCAAGCATGGGGACTGTGAAGTTAAAAGAAAATGGCTTGACTAAAAAAACGATCTATTGAAATTATTTACTTATTTATTATTTATAAGCATGGCTTTGTGTGTATTTGTATGTGACACATCCATGTCATGGCATGTGTATGAAGGTCAGAAGACAATTTTGTGAAGTTAATTTTCTCTTTCCAACTTTATGCTGAAAGACAAAAAAGTAAAGTTAAAGAACCTCTCCCCCCCACTTGAAATGAAGGATGGACTGACCTGGAAAGCTAACCCAGACCAATATCAGTTCCTTGGAATTTGTTAACTTCCCCTCACAAGGCCCTGAGATAAAAAGATACCAAGAATTCACACTGCCCCTCCTTTCTTGTGAGTCAGCAGGTGGTGAATAGGGTCCTTAGGAAACAAAGAGAGAGCTTGCCCAGACAAGATTAGCACACCCTGAGGCCCTAAGGTCTGTTGACCTTCTTTAAACAAACAAACAAACAACCCTCACCCCCCCACACACACCCTCAAAGAACACAGTTATAATGGGCTGCAGACTCAGAGTTCAGAAAACTTGCAGTGGGTAGGAAGGGACTTACAATCCAGTGGTGATTCTGAACAAAAAAAAATTCACTCTGACTGTCAGCTTCTTCATATGCAAATGAAGCACATGATTGTTTGAATAAGAATGGGCCACATAGGCTCCTATATTTGAATATTTGGTCACCAGTGAGTGGAACTATTTGAAAGAATTAGAAGGACTGGGGTGTGGCCCTTTTGGAGGAAGAGTGGGCTTTGGAGTTTCAAAAGTCATCAAGTCCTGTGCCTTTCTCAGCTTACAGGGCAGGATGTAGCTCTCAGCTACTTCTCCAGCGCCATGCTGTCTGCCATGATAATAATAGACTAAGCCTCTGAATCTATAAGGAAGCCTCCAACTAAATACTTTCTTCCATAAGAGTTGCCTTGGTCATGGTGTCTTTTCACAGCAACAGAATAGTGACTAAGACAAAAGGGATTAGGGTAGAAGATTGCTAAGGGCTCTTCTGGACCTGAAAGTTGATGTCTGGAGCCAGTTTCTTTATAGCAAAACCTTGGACCACAATTTGTAAAGATAACAGCACTACTCTATTAAACTTTATTCCACAGGGTCTGTGGTCATGCTCGTGATTCAGGGGGATGATTACTTTGATTCTGATTTCATAACTGATGTGTTCTCTTGCCTGGAGGCCCAGAGTCGCACCTCTCACTTTTTTACACTGTGTTTGGCATTGCACTGGCCACTGTTTCTGTTCTCAGCGTTACTGTTCTTAGACACAAGAGTAGATAAACAGGAAAGAGTTGTTTATCCTCAATACTCTAGGCCACCAGTCAGAGTATATGTATTTTTCAACTCTTCACATATCTTAACAGCTTTATTGGTACAATTAATATGGTTCAAAATTTACAATTAGAGTATACAATCAAACCACTTCAGTATATTCAGTTATGTAACCATAGCCATGATCAATTATAAAATCCTAGAAGCAAACTGTATCCTTCAGCAGTCACTCCCATTGCTTCCCAAATCCTCTCCCAAGCACAGCCCAGGGCAAGTGTGATTATACCCTGTTTCCTCTGTACATACATGTATGTGTTATTATGTTAAACACCATTACCCTTGGTTCGCTTTTTACAGAAGTACATTGTAAACAGGATGCTTATCCCTCCTGTACATATGTTGAAGCCCCATACACTGAAGGGACTATATCTGGAGACAGGGTCATAAGGATAAGTCCTGATATGATAAGAATACTATCCTTACAAGAACATGTTTGTATGTATTTGTATGTATGTATGTTTGTATGTATGTATGTTTACATGTTTGTATGTATGTATGTGTACCACATGTGTTTGTTTGGTGCCTGTGGGGGCCAGGTAGAAGGTGCTGGATCACCTGCAGGTGACTGTAGCCACTGTGTGGGTACTGGGAGCAAACCTAGGTCCTCTGTGAGAGCAACAGTACTCTTAATCACCAAGTAAATTCCCCAGCCCCATTTACAAGAACATTGTCTGTAGTGAGATAGTCCATCTGTGGCACTGACCACGCCCATGGCTCCACCCTCCCCCCAATGGGCAGGGTCCAGGGTTCAAGTCCCTGTTCGGGCGCCAGCAAGAGAGCCTTTCCTGGCTCCCCTCCGACCTCCTTCCCCAGGTCACTCTGCCCATGGCTCCACCCCCAATGGGCGTGGTCAGTGCCACAGATGGACTATCTCACTACAATTGTCCCCTTCCTCTTCCATCCCATCACCCCCTACATGCCAGGAGGACCTGAGTCAGCTGACACTTTTATATAGGTCTTATGCCTTTAGAACTATGGGAAGAAAAATTTCTGTTGTGTACCACCCAGGCTGTATTCTGAACAGACTAACACAGCTAAATAGGTAAAAAATAATACCCTGAAAATAACTTACAGTATCCAAGGTTACTGGAATCTTCACAGTACATCCTCCATTCCACTGTGCAAATGTCTTAGAGTCATACCAGACCTAAAAACGTAACAGACTCTATTGAAAAGACAGTATGAGTAATCTCTCTCCTGAGAAGCCTGTATTTACCCAATGACTATTTCTTTTTTGCCCTATAATGAAGCTCTCTTGCACTCCCATGAAAGAAGAAATAAAAAGAAAGTTCAAATAAGTACAATTAAAATTTATGGGAAAAGTTAGGAAGAAGACACCACTCCCCCAATGCTCTGTGAACATGCATGCATGTTGTGGGGGGTGCATACTAGTATGTGCTACTTGGGATTGAACCTAAGGTCTCATACCTAAGGAATTTACCACTGAAGTGTATCTCCTGCCCTCTTTACTTTTCATTGGATACCGGGACATAAAAGGTACCCAGGCTGGCCCTGAACTCACCACATAGTCCAGCTAGGACTTGAAGTTGCAATCTTCCTACTGGAATTATGAGCCTGTACCACCAGATCTGATTATATTCTTTTAAGAAAATTTCAGCTGAGCCTGGTGGTGGTGGTGGTGGCACATGCCTTTGATCCCAGCATTCAAGAGGCAGAGGCAGGCAGGTCTCAGTGAGTTTAAAGCCAGTGAGTTCCAGGACAGTCAGGGCTACACAGTGAATCCCTGTCTTGAAAAGAAGAGAGAAAGAAAGAAAGAAAGAAAGAAAGAAAGAAAGAAAGAGAGGGAGGGAGGGAGGGAAGAAGGAAAAGAAAATCCTACAGCACACACAAAGCCCAGTATTCAATCCTCAGCATAGAATAAACTGGGCATGGTGGTACTTGGGCATGGTGGTACTTGGGCATGGTGGTACTTGGGCATAGTGGCACATGCTTGTAATTCTAGTCAGGAGGGTCAGAAGTTCAGGTTCACCTTAAATTTCAAAGGTAGTCTGAGATACATGAGATCCCATCTCAAAAAGAGAAGGAAGAGTAAGACGTTACCAAAGGGTATGCTTGATGAACTAAAGGTCATTCCTTGTCCATCTATACATTCAAAAGTTAATTACTGAACAACCCAGCACCATGCTAGGTGCTACATATGTGTGATAGTAGAACTTGGTGTGCGTGAAAGACTGAGATGATGCCTCCATGGTTCTTCCCCTCTACTTTTTATTCATTCTATGTGTCTTTTACATCATGTATCTTGACCCCATCCATTTTCCCATCCCTTTACACCCACACTATGTTCCTGTATCCCCCCCTCCAATAAAACAAAATTTAAGAGAAAAAAGGGAAAATATTAAAATCTTGTCATGGAAGGTACAGTGTGACATACTGTCCACTGTCTTGTAAGAGCTTCATGCTTGAGCTAGTGACATGTCTCAGAGTAATGGTAAAATCTGGATGCCTGAATTTGCTCCCCAGAACCCACACAGAGGGGGAAGGAGAGAACTAAGTCCATAAAATTCTTCTCTGATCTCCACCTGCATGCTGAGGCATGTGCACATTCCCCATCATGTATGCACAATAAAGAAGCCAATTTAACGCTTGTAACCATAAGTAAGATGAGAGAGAGAAAACAAAACAAAGAAAGGAGAGCATACAAAAAAACAAGCCAAGCACACACGAGGCAGGAGGGAAGAGGAAACAGATCTGGAGGGAAACTGGGTTACCCCTACAGCATTGCTCCTTTTGGGGGTTGAGTATGAGATTCGGAGACAAGATCCTAACTCTTATCTGGGAGCCCTAGCAAAGGAGGTTAGTTGCTGAATTACAAAAGAGTCCCATAAAGTAACTGGGTGGGGTAACTCCTCTACCTTAAAGCCATGCCCCCCCCTAAGGACCCACTTATACAAGTCAAAGTGTGAAAGCAAAACCTCCCTAAGGTGGTCACCTATCCAGCTTCTCCATCTTCCCCCATTAAGTTATAGTCACGACTGTGGAAAAGCTACAGTCATCTGTGGCAAATTCACAACTGCATGCTGGAGCAATCTCTTTCCCAAGAGAAAAGCAGGCATGAGAGCTAGGAGACACAAGATATATCTGTTATTGCTCTTACCTCATTTGACCCTGGCAAGAATACGTCAACCATGGCGGTCTGTGGCTCTGTGACTGGATGAACCAACAAAGCACTTCCTAAAAAATGAAGAGGAGATAAAACTGAGTATCATTATAGGACACCTGAAAGCTCCTTTTGCTTAGCTGAACACTACTGTGATCTTAAGATCACTAGACTGTAATCTTCTATAGGGCAGAGACCATGTGAGTTGAACAAATAATTCACCAAAGAGAAGCAATGAAAAGGGCAGAGCTCAAAAAGGTAATGGATTAAACCTACTTATGGCTTTTAGGATTATAGGGCAGGGACCCTGAAATATTCTATTGCACCTTGTGTGCTTATTTGCATTGGTTTTGGGTGTTTTGAGACAAGGTCTTGCTATGTAGCCAAGACTGACCTGGAACTTGCTCTGCATCCCAGATTGGCCTTAGGATGATCCTCCTGCCTCAGACTCTTGAGTACTATGGTTACAGGCTTGAACAGCCATGCTCAGTTCCAGTTTCATTTTCTGTATACCTATTGGTATGCCAGTAATCAGAAAGCACCATTGCATCTTCCCAAGTGCTTCATTGTCTGCTACAAATCACACTGGTTAGAGTATGCCACAATGTTATCTAGAAGTCTGGTCAGTGCAGCTCTTTAGGCCCTTTGCTTGGCCAGTTACTGTAGTCGAACCTTCTTTGGATTGCCAACTTCCGAATAATGACACAGAGACCTTTTTTAAGTTATGAAAACTTGGCCTTAGATTAGGCTTGCTCCCAACTAACTCCTTTTTTCTTTTCTTTTCTTTTTTCTTTTTTTCTTTTTCAAGACAGGGTTTCTCTGTATTGTTTTGGAGCCTGTCCTGGAACTTGCTCAGTAGACCAGGCTGGGCTTGAACTCACAGAGACTCACCTGCCTCTGCCTCCTGAGTGCTGTGATTAAAGGCGTGTTCCATGACCACCCAGCTCCAACTAACTCTTATAAGTTAAATTAACCTGTTTATATTCATCTACATTCTGCCACATGATTGTTATCTCTCCTCCATACTGTATGTCCAACTTGCTTTGGGTCTCACTGGTAAATTCCCACCTTTTAGGTTCTTTCCAAGAGTTCTCTCTCCCTGGAAGTCCCTCCTAGCCTCTCCTGCCTAGTTATTGGCTATTCAGCTCTATATTTAACAAATCAGAATGTGCCTTGGCAGAGATGCAGCTTCATAGTGTACAAAAAGATTATCTCATAATACAGTTACCATTGCAGAGCTGTACTTCTCTTAAGAATAGTCTAGAATGTTACTTTTGTTTTTATATTGGTGACACACATGTGTAAAGTGAATCTACTAATTAATTCATCTTAAAGCTTTATTTATAGGGTCTCACTATGTAACCCAGGCACCTTGAACTTGTGATCTTCCTGCCTTAGTATTGTGAGTGTTGGGGTTATAGGCATGTACCACTATGCCTATCTTGAATTTTGGTCAATAAAGATTTATTTACTGAGTTTCAGGCACCATGCTAGGCTCTGGGGACATAGGAGTAAAGAAAAAAAAAAAAAAAAAACATGGCTCCAAAAATCATGGAGTTTGTAGTAAGTGATGAAGATATATATTAAAAAGTAATTACAGGGCTGGTGAGATGCCTCAGCAGTTAAGAGCACTAACTGCTCTTTCAGGGGTCCTGAGTTCGATTCCCAGCAACCACATGGTCAACCTAGGTCCCGTCAACATAGGATCTGATTCCCTCTTCTGGAATAAAGATATACAAACGGATAGAGCACTCTTACATAAAAAATAAATAAATAAATAAATCTTTTCTAAAAAGTAAATACAAGTGAATTAAGGCTAAAACAAATACTGAAAGAGGTAAAAGTATAGAATAAAATAAAAATTACGTAAGAGGCAGGACTGACTTTAAGTGGGGAGGAGAAGACTAAGGTATAAAGAGGTGAGGAATGATGAAAGCCACTTCTCCAAGACAGTCACTAAACTGAAGCATCAAGTGCCAGGGACTGAGCACAGAGCCTTGTGCATGTTATTCAAGATCATGCCCTGAACTATATTACTGCAATTGTTACTATTATCATTTATATTTGGAGGTTTCCACTATTTAGGATGTAATTCATTCTTTGGGTCTCAATATCTAGCCTTGTTCTTGAGTTCCATTCTTAATACACAAGCTTCCATGATCTAGATTTCAGTTCATCCTCTTTAAAGAAGCCTAGCTAGGCATGGGCGTATATGTTTGTAAATTCAGCAATCAGGACACTGATGAAAAGGATTACAAGTTTAAGGATAACCTGGGCTACAAAGCCCTGTCTCACAAGAAAAAAAGTGAGGTCTAATATTACACACGAAACAAGTTCTTGTGTGTCTTTACTATAGCCATCTGATCTACTTTTCATACTTTCCTTTCTGTAGCAATCTTATCAGGCTTTGGGGGAGTGGGCCCCAATTGGAACCCTCAAATTACACCTACCAATACAATAGATTTATTTGGCATTAATAAAAACTATATTGTAAGGGCTACATTACAACAAACTAGAGCTTCTGTCTAACTATTGCATTAAATCTCTGGTGAAGGAGGGCTGGGGCTGTAGCTGAGTTGGTTGAATACTTGTCTAGTATTCATGAGGCTCCAAGTTCAATCCCCAGCCCCATGTGTGATGGGGCATACCTGTAATCCCAGAACTTGGCCAGTCTGAACTAAATAAGACGCTGACTAAAAAAAAAAAAAAACCCAAAAAACAAAAAACAAAAAACAAAACAAAAAGGTGAAGGGACACTTTTTGTTTTTATTATTCTCTTTCTTGGGTTTCAGTTACTCTCACTAGAAAATATAATAAAAATATAGTTATAGAATCCATCATAACTACGACTAACCTATAAATACTTACCCAGCATGTATTCATCATCCACACCGAAAGTCTCTATGTCATCAGGGAACTCGACCCACAGAGGCCTGGGGAAAGGAAACAGAATTCATATTTTTAAATATCATTATGTTTTTATTATTCTTGGTGCTAAGTGCCTTATTAGACTTTTATATTTTCAGGGTTATAACTCTCCAAAAGGAATTGGAAAGTATCAAAGAGCCAAGATTCTTTTTCATTTGACCAAAGAGCTTAAGAGCAGTTGCTTATAAGTTGCTATGTTTATGCGATAGTTATTATTTGAAAGAGCTTTCTATCAACCTGAATGTCCTAATAAAATATTGAGAATTCTATTAAGTGCTGCTTTCCTATCTGACTATTGAGTAACTACCACTCTAACAGACAAAACTAAGGCAAGTCTAAATGCCTATTTTTTGTTGTTGTTGTAAAGTAAATATTTGCAAAAAAAGAAAATCACATTTTATTATAATAATAATTCTGTGCCACATTTGCAGCCACTTACTTTCATGTATCATTTAATCATTACTTACTTAGATGAAAGGAATAAGTTTTCATTGCTTTCGAGCTTTCTGGGAGGGTGAGAAATTGCCAACATTTTAAAATAGTTATTGTTTAATAAAACTCATCTAGGAGTTACTTAGGTTCATAAAAACAACAAAATTCTCAATATCTGTGTTTAGATAGCAACTTAGTGGTTCCAACCATCTTGAATTTTACGAGAATGATTTTATTTAATTGTGTGTGTGTGTGTGCACGTGCGTGTGTGCACCATTTGGGTGCAAGTATCTTTCAGGGACCAGAAGCAGGCCTGGAGCCCTTGGAGCCAAACATCGATGCTGGGAGCAAAACTTAGGTCCTTTAGAAGAGCAGCAAGCACTTTTAATTGCTGAGCCATCTCTCCAGCCCCAAGGAAAAGATATTTTTTAATTGAAATATATTTTAGAGTTTTAAAATCATTTTACGTGTATGGGTGGTTTGCTTGCACATATATGTGAACCACATGCATGCCTGATACCTGTGGGTGCCTGAAGAGGGTACTGGATCCTGTAACTGGAGTTACAGGAAGCTGTGAGTCACCATGTGGGTGCTGGGAATTGAATCCAGGTCCTCAGTAAGAGCAACAACTGCATACCTGCTGAGCCAACTCTTCAGCCTAGTATTTTCTCTTAATAAATAAAACTTGTTATTTCTTTACCAGCCTTTGCAACAACACATTCTGTTTCTACTGACTGGTACAAAGCAGGTGTCTCCGACCCTGCTGATGACTAGAATCACCAGGAAGTGTCTGGCCTGAAGCAAGTTTAGGAACTGCGGACTCTGAAATTTGGGCATATTTTTCTCTAACCTAGAAAGTTGATTTTTACCTTCAAAATAGAATTTATATATTATAAAAAAAATCCCTTCCTCAAGTTCAACCCTATGAGTAACATCAAGCCTCAGATGGCAGGGAAATTTATTTTTCATGTGAGGAGGCTTACGCATAAAATGCTAAAGTTATTTAGCTGCAAAATCATTTCCTATTCTTTACAGTATTTCCATCTTAGCAAATACCAATACTCTAATCACAAGTAGAGGATCTAGTTAATAGCTTCTGTGTTTTCAACAGCCAGTACCCCATGTACAACAGCCGGCCCCCTTGCACAACAGGCAGCGAAGCTGATTGAAACTTGAATAAACACATGGCTTTTGTTCCCTTTTCCAGGCCCTCATCCTTGGTAGGTTGTGAGAGCCCCTAACTAGAGGATGCCCTTTTTACCTCATGACAGGTTCAGAAGACATGTGCACATGGTAAAACAGAGAATACAGATAGGGTAGGAGGGTGTATCGCTCTCTGATGGCTTCCCGGATCAGCCGGGTGTATTCTTCCCCAAACAGCCAGGGTTCTCGACGCTTGGTGTTCATGGTAGCATGGCCACGGAAGAAGGGCTGGTAAGCTCCAGCCTGGTACCAACGCACCAGCAGCTCTGCCTCAGGATTGCCAATGAAGCCACCCACGTCAGCTGGTTAGACAGAGAAAGACTGGATGAAAAAACTGGATGTGTTAAGGTAAAATAAGGCCTTGAAAACTGAGAGATGCTCAACAGGACACCAAACCTATGACCTCAAATAGGGGAGTTTGAGCTATGAAAACCAGCCCATTCAGGGATCTGGCAGAATGCTCTATGATTTTTTTCCCCCTTTTTTCTTTTTGTGGAAAGATCACAGGTTTTTCTTTAAGAGCAGCTGTCTTGTGTGTTCTGAATCCAGAAATTACACCATGTCCCCCTTGTTAGGTGTGTGTCTTTGTACAAAAGGAAAGGTGGCTGGTCATTTATTTCTCTTGGAAACAATGCCAAAACAATATCAACCACTGAAAAGCAAGTCACCGGCCTTGGAGGTTTAGGAAGAATTTCATTCTCACCCCTTGAGTAGGACATATGTTTCTTGAATGTGGACCAATGTCATAAAGACATATTTATCAAAAAAGTGATATTAATTTGTTTTTATTCTGGCAGAGAATAAAACGTATTCAGATCTGCAAGTATGAACTGCAGCCAGTATACACCACGCACATTTATATTGGTTCAGTTATCTGCATTGAATTCTCAGGACTCAGGGAAGACAAGCCCTCCGACACGTATTTGAACTAAATTCACATTTTTAAGAGCACAATTTTTGTGTGTGAGTGTGTGTGTCACATGTGAGAAGGTATATGTTTATGCAGAGGCCACAACCTGACTTCAGTGTCTTCCTCAATGCTCCACTTTATTTTTTCCTAGTCTGGCTGGACAGTAAGCCATAGGGACCCTCCTAGCCCAGCCTCCCCAGCTCTGGGTTACAGGCATGTGCCACTGTGCCCGGCTCTTTCACATGGGTGCTGGGGTTCTGAACTTAGGTCCTCGTGTTTTTCTAGCAAGTACTTCACTGACTGAGCCCTCTCCACAGTCCTATCTTTTTGACAGGGTCTTATATAGCTTGGTCTGACCTCAGTCTTGCTCTATTTCCATATCCTAGTGCTGGGATCTTAGGATGCAACCACACTTGTTTTTATGTGGGCTGGGGATCAAATTGAGGGCTTCTTGCATGCTAGGCAAGTACTGTGCCAACTGAGCATATCTTAAAGAAGAAAACAGTTGTATTAGGTCACAGAATCTTACATCTGCTAAGAAGAACGTGTTTCTGTAAGGCTGGCTCTCTTGGTCCCTCGGCTATGCTGCTGCCATCAAACCCAAGGCCTTGAGCATACTAGGCTAGGCCGCACACTCAGCCCTAGGCTGGCTTTTGGCTTGCTAAGTTGTCTGCAGTGCTCTCATTCTTCAAGAAGAAAAGTATGTTTCTGGAAGACTCAGTTACTGTGTCTCTGGAGGCAGTTCCGAGAAAACAAGAGAAAGAAACAGACTGCCCATCTACTGCCTTCATGTCCTCAATGAAGATTTTTATTTATTATTATTATTATTATTAATTATTGAGATAGGACTTTTCTATGCTGTGCCAGCTGTCCTGGAGTTTGCTGTGTAGACCAGGCTGGCCTTGAACTCACAGAGATTCTCTTACTTCTGCCTCTAGAGGGCTAGAATTAAAGGTGTGAGCCACCACAGCAAGCTGTGCAATAAATCCCTTTTGCTCTCCTCCCATTTTCTTTCCTGCATTCACCCTTGCTCCCAAAAGCTAATGAGCATTGAGGACCCTCACTTCTCATTTCCTCCTTCTGGAAACCTCAAGTCAGGAATCAGCTTACCTCCACAGAAAGAGATCCCTGAGACACTGAGGGTGAGTAACATCGGGATGGAAATTTTCAGGTAGTTCCATTCTGCTGTGTTATCTCCTGTCCATACTGCACCTTAGATATGCATGGAAACACACACAAATCATCCAATGCACTCTATTTCATTTACATTCCATATTTGTAAAAGACACAAATAATAAAAAGGGAAACATATCTCTTACCTTAAACAAATACTTATATTTCTGCAAAAAAGTATCAATTTTCTAATGTGAAAAAGTTATTAAGGTCCATAAAACATAGGCAGTGGTGGCACACACATTTAAACTCAGCACTCAGGAGGCAGAGTTAGGAGGATCTTTGAGTTCAAGGCCAGCCTGGGCTATAGAGTGAGTTCCAGGGCAGCCAGGGCTACACAAAGAAACCCTGTCTCAAAAACCAAACCAAACCAAACAAACAAAACTAAATACTCTGGGTTTCTTGTCCCATTTGATTATCACAACAATCCTATGAGGCAAACACTATTATTAGCTCTATCTTATAAATTAGGGAATATGGTTAACAGTGGCTCTATATTTTACCCTAGTTATATAGTCATTAAGTATATCTAAGTCTAGAAGTCAGACCATTAACGCCAACGTTCTAGTTCATATTATAGCTGTTAAGAGTTTAAGTTGTGGTACACACCTTTAATCCAGCTCTCAGGAAGCAGAGGCAGGAGGATCTCTGTGAGTATGAGGCCAGCCAGCCTGGTCTACAGAGCTAGTTCCAGGACAGGCTCTAAAGCTACAGAGAAACCCTGTCTCAAAAAAAAAAACCAAAACAAAACAAAAGTTTATGATGATAGATTGTATATCACTAAAGTGACACATAAGAGGGAAAATAATCTTATTTTACAACATCCTGTCTATCTTTTACCAAAACTGTTATAGTTGATATTTTTGTTTTAATCCTCTGTAGAAATGTTGAGTTGCCCTATAGACAGAGAAAAATATTTTTAATAATTTATTTTTTAGTAATTTACTTTTATTTTATGTAGTGTTTTACTTGCATGTATGTCTATATAAGGGAATTGGAACCACTGGAACATATGTTACAGACAGCTATGAGCGGCCATGTGTGTGCTGGCAACTGAATCCGGGTCCTCTGGAAGAGCAGTCAGTGCTCGTAACGGCTGAACCATCTCTCCAGCCCTGTTTTTTGAAATTTTATGTACATTGGTATTTTGCCTGCATGCATGTCTGTATGAAGGTATCAGGTCCCCTGGAACAGGATTTACAGACAGTTGTAAGCTGCCATGTGGGTTCTAGAACTTGAACTCGAGTCCTCTGGAAGAGTACAGCCACTGCTCTTAACTACTGACCCATCTCTCTAGCCCTAGAACATATTTTCAAGGGATTTTAAAAAACAGCACTCTAGTAATTTTTTCTTGACATCAGTTGAGCTATGGATATATATCTATGTGGTAATTTTGAAACAATGGCAACACTTTCATCAAGAAAACATGTAGACATAGATGTATCATGGTTAACATGTTGTTCGGTCACAATTTCTTTATAGCTACTGGTCAAGCATGTGACTAAAATAAATCATGTTCTCTTTGCTACACACTGGGCAAATAAGCACACGGAGTTCTTTAAACTTCCTAGGGAAGGCCTTACCCTCTGTGAGGAGCACATGAGAGGTGGAGTGGGGAGGAAGTGGGGGGGAGCAAAGGAGAGGGGAACGAGGATTAGAATGTAAAAAATAAAAAACCCTATCACTTTAATGAAGGAGAAAACTAACACCCTGGGTTGTCCTCTGACCTCTACACAGGTGGCATGTGTCACCCCCTAAAACAAATGAAAAAAATTTAAACTACAATTTTAAACTGCCTCATGATAGTTTGTCCTGTGGATAACCCACGCTTTTGTAACCCTTCCTTTACTGTTACACATGTAGACTTTTCTTTTGGCCTCAAAGTCTAATGCCATGATGAGTATCTCTGTTGACACTACTCTGTCCTTTGGCTGAAGAACACAGGAATTCTGGCAAGGTTGAGTGAGAGACCTAAAAAATGTCTACATATGACAAAGATGAGGTTCTTTACACTAGGACCTACATTCTCAGTTACTTGTGCAAGGACAGGGACCTTAAAATAGCCTTCCTGCCACAGAGTGGTTAAGATGAATTAGATCTGTATCAGCTGGTAAACCAGATACAGTCATAGATGACCCTGACAGCAAGCCAGTTCTATTTTAAGCCACATTGCTAAGTGGAATAGCTGACTAGAGCAGTGTGTTAGAGGTATGTTTCCCTGGTTTTTACAAGTCAAAAACTGTCAGAGATGACCATGCCAGAAAACTGAGTACTCTGAAGCCACTCTCCTAACAAGTAAGTGGCCATTTTTTAAAGTAGGAAAAAAGTACTAACTTGATGAAAATTGGCTTACTGTTTTTTGGGATGTGGGAGGGAAACAGTATCTCATGAAGGCCAAGATGGCCTTGGAAGAGGACCTTGAACTTCTGTTCCCCCTCCCTCCACCCCTTGAGAGCTAGGATTACAAACATATGCCACCTTTCCTGGGTTTATATGGTGCTGAGCATTGAACCCAGGGCCCCTTGCCTACTGGCAGGCTACTCTACTCTACAACTGAGGCACCTACAAACCATGTGTTCATAGTATAAATTACACATGTCAGAGCACACCATGTTCTTCACTGTAAGTTATAAGGCTATTGAAGAGGAACCCAGTGGCAGCAGTCAGCATATATCACAAATGGTACTCCAAAGAAAAGGATGGGCAGCTATCTTGTATTTTATAATGTGAGCCATTTCTTACCATACTTTTGTGATCCAGCAAAGAAAGAACGTGAAAGAACAAAGGGTCTCTCCTCCCCTTTAGATCGCTGTATCAATCCTTCTGCAGTAGCCATTTGCTGTAAGTCAATGGAGAAAGATTAGAGAGAGGAGACAGGGTGAGGGCATTGTGCCAACATCCTCAATAGACTACCAACATGAGAAAGCTAACAGTTGGAGGCACTATGAAAAGGGAAACAATAAACCCATTAAGTCTTTTTGATGATACAATGAATGGTAATGATTTGCCTAGTAAAGATGGAAACATTTATTTGGTTAGCAATGCCAATGAAGCAAGAGTAAACAGAAATGGGGATGCAGATGAGTATTAGAGTAGCTACCCAGCATGCCTGAGGCCCAGGGTTCAGTCCCCAGCACTGCAGAAAAACACACGCAGCACAACAAAACAAAAAAAAACCAAGCTACCATTTATTCAGTGGTACTATTGGTAGGCATTTTATAATATATTTCCTTATGATCTGTACAATAACCTGTGAGTCAAATGGTTTTCATTGACTAAAAAAATAAATCCAGAGAGGTTAAGTGTCCACTTCAGCCTACATAAGCAATTCCCTAAGGCGGTTGGCAATTAAAGCAAAAAGATGACAGAAATAAACATGTAGTACCTGGAAAAGGCTATGTCCAGTCAGAAGCTCCCATCAGAATATAGCAAATGTAGAAGACCTATAGGCACACAATCTTACTCTAAAATAACAAAGACTCTCAGATGTAAGTTAGGGTAAGTGATCTTCTGTCTTTGGGTATGATTAGAAAATAGAAGACAGTCCCATCACCTTTATTCAGAAGGTTGAGCAAACTGGGGAAGTTTACACATTTAAAAAGAATACTGTGGTGGTTTAATGAGAACAGCTCAAGTATTTGAATATTTGGTTCCCAGTTGATGGAACTGTTTGGGAAGTATTAAGAGGAGTGACCCTGTTGGAGGACATGTGTCACCAAGGGGAGGCTTTGGGGTTTCAAAACTTGTGCCATTTCCAGTGTGCCTCCCTCCTAAACCTTTGTGGTTATGGCTCAAGATATGAGCTCTCAGCCATTGCTCTGCCATGTCACCATGGTCTCTAGACTCCTGAATTCATAAGGTAAATTAAATGCTTTCATTTATGTTACCTTGGCCATGATATTTTTTGTTTTGTTTTGCTTTTTTGTTTTTCAAGACAGGGTTTCTCTGTATTGCTTTGGAGCCTGTCCTGGCAGAGTCTTGTTATATAGTCTAGGCTGGCCTAGAACTCATTATGTAGTCATTATGCTGTCATAATCCCTCTGTAGCATGAATCCTAGGATTGCACATGTGTGCCACTAACCTTAGCTAAGCTAGCAATAGATGGATATCTGTGAAATTTTAAAACCTTGCTTTAATTACTTGTGTTAATATATTTCTAGATTGCCTGTGCCAACAAAAATCTTCTAGTAGTATTAAATGCCATATGTAATGTTTTAAAGTTTATCAGGCTTACTGTGAAAGGAAAATGAAGTAGAGGGAGAAATAATAAACTGGCTATTACCTAAGACTCACTGAAGTTGACAGAAAAGACACACAGGGGGCCATGCACAGTACACTTGACTACACAACTAACCTATCTACAAGCAGGGCACACAAATCTAGTTGCATTCTCATTTGGATGTCTTACCTGATAAAATCCATAGATGTTGTGAAGTTCCCTGTGTTCCCAGTTGCCATAATGAATAGCACTCTTTTGCATGGTCAGCTCTGGCCCTCTGAAGACTGAGGGCTCATTCATGTCATTCCATATGAAGAGGATGTCCGTAGATCCCTAGGAAGGGAAGGATGCTATTAATACAACAGTATCCCTGCTCCTTCTTCCTATTCTTTCTTACTCACTTATTTAATTGTGCCAATTGAATTGTGCATTTTGCCTGGTTTGTTCTACAGAAATTCCATGCACTTCCAATAATATCTGATGCAAAGAAAGCTATCAATAAATACTTTTGGATAAGAATGCTACACATACTGCCCTGTAAGTTCACACAAAGATATCCATAGGGAATACATGCCAGAAAAACTGTGGGTACTCACCATTAGGCTCTGTACCATCCACTACCTACTACATGTCTTCATTTGATCTTATCCAAAACTCTGAGAAGAAATCTCTGCTACAACTCTTAGCTAAAAGCAATTATTACTATCCATGAATCTATTTTTTCTCTAACACTCTGACTTGACAGTTGAGTTATCTGTTTGTTAACATCTTATATCACTTGTGTTCTTTCCATCTAGTGAAAATGGTGTTAAAATTCTCTTTATAAAATCCATGACCTGTCAGATCTATATGACCTCAACTGGATGGCATTCCCCTACATATGGAATTGGGGTGGGGGGATGGAAAGGGGGTGGTTAGGGTGCATGTGAGAGGGCAGACAGGGTAAAAGGGAGGGAGGAAGGGAAGAAAGGAGGGAGGGAGGGGGAGGAAAGGAGGGAGAGAGGAAGAGAGAGAGGGAGGGAGAGGGAACTGGGATCGACATATAAAATAATAAATTTAATAAAAAAAATGCTTTGACTCCAAAATTTAAGTTCAAGGACAAGTTACTGGGGAAAAGGATTTCTATTTTTGTTTCCACAGAAAATGAAAAGATGTGGATTACTTCCAGACTAATGTGGTTTGATCAAGCCAGACCGCCTGAAACAGAGTACCAGGTGATCCTACAAAGCAGCCTTACAGACTATAGCCAGGATTTCTGCATCTTCTTAGAATCCCCCATGACAGTGCCCCTTACCAGCAGGAAGTAGTTTGGAAAGAACGATGCCCAAATTCCCAAATATTGTGTATAAATGTTTGTTTTCATTTAAATGGACTTGGTTATATAAACTAAATACATAATAAATAAATCCATGGCCTCTTAGGGTTTGAATGTCATCAGAGAGAGCCTCAGGTAGCTTATCCTACTATTTCTTAATGCTGTGTTCTTTACACCATGTTGTAATAAGGCCTAGCTTCCTTCTAGGACACTACAGAACCCTCCTGAGACTTTACCCACATGATAGATGATCTTTCCAATGCTTGAAGGTGGCTTATATGTTTCCTTTTGATTCCTCTATTTTTAACCAAACACATTGATTTGGAGACAAGATCTTTCTATTACATAGCTCTGGCTGTCCCAGAACTCACTATGTACATTAGGATGGCCTTGAATACACAGAGATCCACCTGTTTCTGCCTCCTGAGTGCTGAGATTAGAGGTGTACACCAACATGCCTGATTTCTAAGCAAATGCTTTTCTAAGAATAAGGCTGTATAGTTTCCAAGTGTTTGCCTTTTAGCCTTCTAAGGCAAATATCAGCAGGTTTTCTTCTCATCCTCCCTCCTCATCTTCTTTTTATAAAGATCTAGATATTGTACATTTCCATCTTTGTGGATCATAAGGGTTCTTTAGTTTTCCACTCTGGCACAGTATTGTGAAAGCGGCTACAGGCAATAATGAAGTGAACAACTATAGCCATATTTGACCTAAGGATTATTGTCTACACCGTTCTAAGTATTTGTCTAATCTCCTGATCAATGATGCTCAGAAGCAAGTATCTTGTGCTTAAGAGCTGAGCTCGGAGACAAACAGACCCAAATTCAAATCTTGGGTCCATTACTTAGTAAATGGGTGACCTTTATGGGTTTTAAAACTCTGCACATTTCAATTTTCTCACATGTGGGTTAAGATTTAATTACACTTCCAATTTAGAGCATTTCTATAAAGAAGAAATGGGGTAGTGCACAGCAAATTCTTACCCCAGCACTCGGCACATGGCTTAATTTCATTTGTGTTAGGTATTACCATGACTGTCATCACCACCATCACTGGTTGAAGACAGGTCTCTAATGTGACCTCTTCAGTTCTTTCCATGGTTCTCTTAAAATTTTAATTATTATATTTCACTTTTAACAATACATTATGGTTTATGACAGTGGTTCTCAACCTTCCTAATGCTACAACTCCTTAATACAGTTCCTCATGTTGTGGTGACCCCCCCCCCAACCATAAAATTATTTAATTGCTACTTTATAACTTCAGTTTTGTAACTATTATGAATTATAATGTAAATATCTGACATGCAGGATATTTGACATTTTACCCCTGTGATAGGGTCAGTCAACCCCCTAAGGGGTTTTGACACACTGATTAAGAACTTCTGGTTTATAACATAGTTTCACACTTGTCACAGCCACTTTGTCTGTCCATCTGTCCGTCCATCCGTCCTTCCTTCCTTCCTTCCTTCCTTCTTTCTTTCTTCCTTTCTTCCTGACAGACTCTCATGTGCTTAGGCTGATTTTGACTACCACGAGTCTTTGCTATGTTGGGGGTCAGGCCTGCTAGCCAAGTACTCTGTCAACTGAGCTATTTCCCTAGTCCTAAGTCTTTTCTTTTTAAGACAGGGTCTTCCTATGTAGCCTTGGTTGTCCTGAAACTTGCTATGTAGACCTGGCTAGTTTCCAACTCACAGAAATCCATTTACCTCTGCCTGCCAGCTGAGGTTAAAGGTGCGCATCACCATATCCAGTGTTTTTTCTTGGAACAGTTTTGCTCTGTAGCCCAGGCTGGCTTTGAATTCATGGCAATTCTGCTCACCTTCCCAAGTGCTATGATTACTGTGCCCCATGCCTGCTTCATATTAATTTTCAATAATAGTTGTGGAACAGGATTTTGATGTGGGATAATACTCTCATTCACTGTAAAGACTTGACACTGGTATTGGTTTAATAACATGCTGATTGGTCAGTAACAAGGCAGGAAGTAACAGAGTAACAAGACTAGGAGAATTCTGGGAAGAGGAAAGGCAGAGATGCAGTCGCCAGCCAGATGCAGAGGAAGCAAGATGAGAATGCCTTACTGAGAAAAGGTACCAAGCCACAAGTGTAAACATAAACAGGAATTATGGGTTAATTTAAGTTGTAAGAGCTTGTTAGTAATAAGCCTGAGCAATCCCAAACAGTTTATAGTTAATATAAGCCTCTGTGTGTTTATTTGGGACTGAACGGCTACAGGACAGAGCAGGGCAGAAACTTATGTCTTCAGGATTTTATATTAAAATGTACATAATAAGAAAGTAGAATAAGTAGCCATTGTACTACAGTTTTTATAATCTAGTAATGTATATAGTACCCTTCCTAAAACTATCAAAGTCTTGCCTTTTATATGTGCAATATATCAAAAGCTACTTAATAAAAGCAGTTCTAAGAAACTACCTTTTCCTTTAATTTTTCAGGTTAACTAGGAAGCAGAAAAAGAATAAAAACCAACCTCATAAACAGGAAAAGCAAAAAGGCTGGAATACCACTCTCTGACCTTGGGATTGGTGAAGTCCAGGTAAGATGAGAGACCTGCAAAGGCACAGCAGTGGGCAATCTGTCAAGAACAGTGATCTTCACAGCAAGAAGTGTGGTAAGGAAGACTGAGAGCCAGGTTATCAATGGACACCTTATGTCACACACAAAAGGCAACGGAGACAGGTGGGGTTCACAGAAAGTGAGTGCAAGCAATCTGTAAAGTCTGAATGAAATGTAAACATTCCAACACCAGAGGCCCACGGGCATGCCAATGAACAAGCACCAGGATGGAGCCTGTCCTTCACTAAAGGCCCTGAAGTGACCCCTGCTTTTAAAGAGAACACGGACTTGTTCAGATGGCTCTAGAGAGAACAGGTAAGTGCAGGCTGCTCCACAGCACTTGGATTTATGACACAGTGGTGATTTCTTTTAGTTTTTGGAGAATTTCTAACAAGGCTTTAAATTAACAATTTTTGCATCTAGAGTTCCACAGGCATCTGAGGCCACTCATAAAAGGCTGAGAGGCAAAAACCATGGGCTAAAAGGATAAAGCAACCACAAGAGAGAGCCTGTCAGACCATTAACCCCGCCTCCATCCCACGCTTTCCTCACCCCCTATTTCCTATCTCTGCTTAGAGAAATAACATGCTGTGGAGGTTAGCATGTTTGCTTATTTTTCATTCATTCATCTGATCACTGACTGATAAATGCACTCAGCTCACAGTACCAGGTGTTATGAAAGATACCAAAGAGGGTGATAGAGTATCTCCTCCCTTAAAGGTGCTTGATGAAGATGTCGCTGGAAGAGAAGGAGATGCTCACAAAGACTGAGAATATAGGCCACAGATGTTTTATTAATTGGGGCTGACCAAGTGGAAATAAGTGATACCATACCAGGCCAACATATTCCTTCGAAGTCACCACCTTCTGGATTCTTCACAAAGAACCCCTGTTCTTTGGCTTTAGCATACACTGAGTAGTCAGGATCCACCTTGATATGGGGGTCACTGATAACCACAAGCTGTCAGGACAGAGATGTAAAAGCATGTCAGCTTTATGAGGCTTATGTTCATTTAGGTGTTTTCACTGTAGTTTGGGGGGGGGTCGACTTTTACTCAGAAACTACAACTCACTGAAAATTTTGGACATTACTAAATCTGTATAACCTTTCACTAAAAATTGTTATCAGCCAAGAATTGATGGTGCATGCCTTTAATCATAGCACTCAGGAGGCAGAGGCAGGAGGAACTCAAATGAGTTTGAGGCCAGCCTGGTCTACATAGTGAGTACTAGGACAACCAGAGCAACTCAGAGAAACCCTGTTTTGGAAAACCAAATGACTAACTAATTAAATAACTAATAAAATTGTTATCAAATCCAGATAAGTCATCTTTTATAATTATCACGGTTTATCATTTTATTATCTTCTCACATAATGTGTGTGTGTGTGTGTGTGTGTGTGTGTGTGTGTGTGTGTGTTGGTCTGTAAGAAGGTGGTTCTGTCTTGCCACCATGTGTGTTCTGGGGCTTGAACTCAGTTTCTCAGACTTGGTGGCAAAGTGCCTTACCCACTGAGCCATCTCAGCAGCCCCCAAACACACCTTTAAGATGACTCTTATGAAGCTTCTATCTGTTTGTGATGCCTGGTGCTATAAGAAAGTTAAATAGGCAAGGTCCTAACTCCCTAGGTATTTAGAGGCAAAGGTAAGACAGATGAAGTAAATCAAGAAGGTAACTTAGTAAAGTGCTTGCCTTGCAAGTATAAGGACCTGCATTTGAGCCCCAGAACCCAAGTAAAAAGTCAGGTATGTGGCACATGTTTGTAAAGCACCGGGGAAGGAGGTGGAGACAGGTATATGGTCCATAGGATACTCAGGTCAACCAAGTCAGTGAGAGACCACGTCTCACAACATAGAACAAAAGAAAGCTGGGCAGCACTAGGAAATGACTCAAGGCTGTCCTCTGCTTTCCAGAGGCATATGTGCACAGCCATGCTCCCATGCTCTGCTATCAAACCACAGAAACCGCAGAAATGACATTAAAACCAACCAAAACGTCAAGATAGTAACAACAACTAAACAAGGCTGATGAGATAGCTCAGCAGCTAAGGGTACTCGCTGCCCACCATGAAGACCTGAGTTTGATCCCTGGAGCCCAAGCTCCACATAGTGGAAAGACAGCATCTTTTCGTGAGCTTCTTGGCTATCTTGACTTGAATCTCTTCTGTGTTGGACTATCTATCTATTCAAATCCTTTGTCAATTTCTAGATGTTTGGAATTTTTGTAGTTGTTATATATTGTCATTCATTACTGTTTGTGTTATTGACGTACATTACAGCTTTATATTTTTGGTTGTGAGCCTAGCCTTTAATGACTGAGCCATCTCTCCTGCCTATATTACAGCTGTATATGCTTGCCTTTCCCACCCACTTAAAGACTTCTTCCGCACTAGCACAGCATCTTTCAAAGGCTCCAAAATCAACAACAAACAAACAAATACCCACCACAACAACTGGGGGCTGGAGAAATGGCTCTGTTGTTAAGATCACTGGCTGCTCTTGCAGAAAACCTAAGTTCAGTCCTCAGTACCAACTGCCAACCACTGAAACTACCACTTCTTCATCTGAAATGGGTAATTAAGACCAACTTCAGAGTTTTGTAAGTGGAGGGAAAAATTTATCATGCTGTCTAGGCCACAATTAAGTGCTTGACACATTATAGTTATAAATTGATTAAAAAATTAGGGGGTTAGGGCTGAATGTGGTAGCACACACCTTTAATCCCAGCACTCAGGAGGCAGAGGCAGGCAGATCTCTGTGAGTTCATTACTGCTACTCCTCCTTTGCCCCAACCCTCCTAGAAGTACATAAAAAATTATGCACTTCTCAGTGGCTTCTCTCCTCCCCTGCCCTTTAAATTTTAGTTCTTTCCTTGACCAAATTTACAGGAAGAGTCTGTCAGTGAAACATGTATAAAAAATAATATTTTCTTAATTACACCTATCAATTTGTGTGTGGAGCAGGGAGAGGCACATATTTGTCAGGGGCGCATGTGGAGGTCAGAGGACCTATTTTCACAAGTTGCATGAGTTGGTTCTCTCCTTCTACCACGTGTGATCCTGGGATCAAACTCAGGTTGTCAGATGTGGGGGGCAAGCACCTTTACCTGCTGAGCCATCTTGGTCTCCATGACTCAGTGATCCTCTGTTGTTAAGACTTTCAAGCCCTACAAAGTCCTCTTACCCTTTGGTCCACCTGCAGTCAAGCTGATAGTTAGTAGCGGGAAGTTAAGCAACCCAGCACATGTGGAAGAACTTATCCCAGAACCACATGTTAGCCACCAGGGAGGTCAAGCTTTCTTAAGTCATTTTCAAAGCAATTTGGGAGACAGCAGGGCTGTCTCCAGAAGACCTCATCATGCGAGAAACTCTTCTGCTTTTGTTGTCTATGTAGTACCACAAATTTTGACAATCGGACCCAAATTTTTAGGGGAGGAGGGTGCCATCACAGCAGGGTGGCTGCCATCAACAGGACTGAAAGACTTAGGTGCCTTCATTGTTCTGGGGGTTTACACAACTGTGGCAGGGACGGAGGGGGTCATCATATTTTACCACCCATCTTCTGTTATCACAGTTACTATCACAATGGGAAGGCACTAGTTCACAATGATTTATTTATTTATTTATTTATTTATTTATTTATTTAATCAGAGGGTCTTCCTCTGCTGATGTGCCAAGACAGGTCTAGCTTTGGGATTAGAAAGCTTTAAACATCAGGCTGATTTCACCTTGCGTTTTTTGCTCCTGAGTAGCTCTTGCATCCTTCTGGGGTCGGCGAATCTCTTTTTGTCCCAGGTGAAGTATTTCTTGTCCTCGGTGTGCTCTATGTCCAGCCACATGACATCATATGGAATGTCATGCTCATCAAAACCTGCATCCACTGCCTTCACATCCTCCTCATCTTCATAGTTCCAGCGGCACTGATGGTAACCCAGGGAAAAGAGAGGGGGCATGGCTTGTGTGCCTAAAAAGATGACAATGGAGGCCTCTAATGTTATTCAACCAGTGAACATCTCCCCAGTCTCAAAAGGGGATTAAGCACTGAGCTTGATACTGCAAAGACTATCAAGGACAAGAAAAAATAGACCCTGCTTTGAAGAAAGTGGCAATTAGGTCGACATGGCAGTATATAAACAAACCCTGCCCTTAGGTAAAACGCTCTGCTAATGGTATCAGTCTAGTGCTGTGGGAACACGTACATTCTGCTTATAGAATAATGTGGGGTCATTAGTTTTCCCAAGGCAGCCTTGAATAAGTAGGAGGATGCCAGGCAGGGAGACTAGGTTGAGCTCATAGGAACCGAGAATCAACACAGGCAAAGAAGCACATGTAGTCTCAGAGAAAATGAACACTTCAGGAATTACAGTGTGAGAGACTGAGAGAAGATGACACTGGAAAGGATCCATTTATAAAGAGACCTGCACTTCAAGATCAGAATTCTCTCTCTCACTTAATAAGACACACCAGGTGGTAGAGTACTTGTCTAGTATGCACAAAACTCTGGGTGCAAAAATGTCTCAGCACTCTATAAAACTGGCCACCGGTGAGGTAGAGGCAGAAGAATCAGAAAGTCCAAGCCCCCTTCCCCGAAAAAAGAGGGCAGTGAGAAGGCTCAGTGGGAAAAGGCTCTTGCCACTAAGCCTGCTGACCTGAGTTCAGTCTCAGGGTTCCACAATGTGGAAGGAAAGAACCAATTCATGAAAATCACTACAAAAAGAAGCTTTGAAACAAAAGAGAAAACCAAAGGGAAGTATGTCAACATGGAGTAAAGCAAGTGTGTGTGTGTGTGTGTGTGTGTGTGTGTGTGTGTGTGTGTGTAGTATAGAAGACAAAGAAGATGTGACAGCAATACATATGAAGGATTATGTATGCGTGCACATATGGAGATAACTTGTGGGAGTTCTCTATTTCTACCATGTGGGTTCCTGTGATCAGGTCTTCGGGCTTGGTGGCCCTAGCCACAGGCCCTAGTCTTTAGTCTCTTTCATTGTTTTATGTGTATGAGCATTTTACTTGTATGTCAGTATATCCATCCTGGAACTGGAGTTATAGATAGTTGTGAACTGCCATGGGAGCATTGGGAATCAAACCTAGGTCCTCTGCAAGAACAACAAGTGCTCTTAATCACTGAGCCATCTTTCCTACTAGGCTTTAGTCTCTTAAAGAACAAATATTTTATTGCTAAAGCCGGTGGAATATTTTAACATAGAAGAACAGATTTAAAAGTTCAGGATGCAATATTCCTTAGCTACAGGGAGATTATTCCCAGAGACTAAAGGCTCCAAGCAGGCAACCAGGCATATGATAAGTGTTAGGGATTAGAGAATGGGCAATCTAGTGTCATGCTTGTCTGGATGTAATGAGGGTGGGAAGAAAAATACTTGCTACTTAAAATGCTTAGAGATGTTGTTTGTGATATCAAAAATTTGAAGTGATGATACATAGGGCAGATGAAACATAATGGTGTAAGGAATAGTCTCCATGCAAGTACCTGTGAGGGACGAGTACTGCTTGAAGATGTCAGAAGGTGTAGGTCCTGTCAGCAGAAATACATCAATGATTCCACTCTCTGACATCCAGCGCACATCAGTTCGACACCTGACCTTTTGTTTGGCAGCTGCTGGACTCGTCTGGGTCAGTGTGTACTGGAAAAGGATGTAATGAAAATCTGAGAAATTTCACTGTAACCTATAGCACCCATTCCTAAGTGAACCTGTATACATTTGGTAGCTCCCACTGACATTTGCCAATTATACTGCAAAGCTCTTGGTCACAGAAAAGGGCTCTGACTGCAGTGTGGTAAGTGTCACATGTAGCCACATTCCATAGCTCACCTCAACCGCTGGCTCTGTGTTGATCTCCACTAGTGTTTCTGAGGCATTTAGCCAGAAAATGGCTACAGTCTTGCCCTGTTTGTGGGCCAGGAGATAAGGCACCGAACCATAAATGCCCATTTTGTCATGTATTTGATATCCATAGACATCTAGGTTATAAAGGCGGTATGCATCTCCATCCCTGAAACACAAAGGAGGCTTATTACCAAATACACAAGTGGATTGTTAGTGATCAGAATAGTGTCATTGTCTCCTGTAAACAGACTATTCACTTCCTGCCAGGCCTGAAGACACACACTTATAATCCTAGCACTTGGAGGGTAGACATAGGAGAATTGTGAGTTAGAGGCTATCCTGGGCTATATAGCAAGTTTTAGGCCAGCCTGGACATGTAACAAGACGTATATAAAACCACTCCCCTACAAAGGCTCATCTCTCTTCACTTGCCTAAAGGTTTCCTGGCCCAACTTGGTGCATGTGATCCTCCTCTGTCTCCACTGGCTTCGTGGGTACCTCAGGCTTAGATCCTGAGATACCTTTTCTACCTGTGAATCTCAGAACAGCAGACTACACCCCGTCTGCTGATGGGCTGTGTGAAGACTTCTCTGCAGGTAAGGAAAAGAAGTGCATCCTAATACACTTCCAGATCTGGAACAGGACTGAGATGGGGAGCTCCAAGCTAGGGGGTGGGGGTGAAACTAGTCACTATACCTATCTACTAAAGAAACAATCTCTAGACCTGACAACTCTAAACAGCCTCTGCTTCTCTTTGGTTTTGGCTGCTCTTAGGCAGATGCCCCTGGCATCCATTTGTCAGTTATGTTAGCCTGAAATGGTCTCTCCAAGGGAAATCATAGGTAATTGGAGCTACCACTCTCTGGCTCATTGACCTCTTTAGAGTGAAAGCCCTTTTCTAGATCAGTATTTTCTTTTTAGTATTCTCCTAGGGTTCCACCAAAAAAAAAAAAAAAAAATCCTGCACAGTAAAAGGGAACCTCCACTTTAATTACAATTACTCCTTAATTTTATTTCTGTATTTTTGGATTTGCTATTACAGCTTCTTAATTAATGTGAGTGTGTGGAAGTCAGAAGCCAGCTTTGTGGTGTTGGTTCTTTCTTTCCACTTTTATGTCCTGTCCTAGTTTCATTTCTGTCACTGTGACAGAAATCTCTCACAAAAAGCAACCTAGGGAGAAAGGGCTTATTTGGCTTACAGTTCCAGGTTACAGCTCATTATTGCAGACATTCCCAGTCAAGAGCAGAGACAGAACAAACATACAGGTCCTCACTTGCTGTTTTTACCTAGTTTTCAATTCTCTTATACTGGTCAGCACCCTGAAAACTACCAGGAAGGTTTCTTAACTCCATAAGTAATATGGAGGGTTTTGTTTGTTTGTTTGTTTTCTTTTTTAAAAAGCCAGATATTGGTGGCAAATACCTTTAATCCCAGCACTCAGAAGGCAGAGGCAGGCAGATCTCTGTGAGTTCAAGGCCAGCTTGGTCTACAGAGTGAGTTTTAGAACAGCCAGAGCTGTTACACAAAGAAACCCTGTCTCAAAACACATCCACAAAAGGATTTATTTATTGTGCATATAGTATTCTGCCTGCATGTATGCCTGAATGCAAGAAAAGGTACCAGATCTCATTACAGATAGCTGTGAGCCACCATGTGGTTTCTGGGAATTAAACCCAGGACTTTCAGAAGAATAGTCAGTGCTCTTAACCTCTGAGCCATCTTTCCAACCCCTACTTAATAATTCTTACTGCCACTCACTTACCTAGTATTTTTAAGTTGGTGTGATTCTGCATGTTGAGGGATACCATAGAGATGTTCAAATCCATGAAAGGAGAAATCCAAACCAATAGAGGAAGGACCTGTAGAGACCAGACTCATGGCTGAGTTTTGCTTCTCAACAGACCAATCTAAAAGTTAACTTAGCTAGTTAACTAGGCTGGGAGTAGAGAAATCTGAACTTGCCCCAACCAATCAATGCTGTGCATTGATTCTGATAGTAAGATGCTGTGATATTTGGGGACTTGTGAGTGTGTACATAAAAGTGAGTGTTATGCATCATATATATGAATGAAAAGCTCTGCTCACTTAGTAATTATGCTGCCTGGGCTGTGTGCTAAAGCTCCTTTCCCCCTCACACTGAGCAAGTTCACTCTTTGCTGGATTAATTCATGCCTGAATATCTTCCTGTCAGCCTTGCCTGTGCCTTTCCACAATAACTATTACATAAGAGCAACAAGAAGGCTTTCCTATATCCTCAATACATGACTTCCCATGGTTGTGATATGTGCTATGTGAGCCCATTTCCTCAACCATGTTGCTAAGCCTGGTGAGAAGTGTCATAGATAGGCACATGGCACCTGTGACAATGATGATGAAGCCTAAAAACATTGAGAATTACTAGCTAAAAATATTAGGGTAGATGAGCTGTATAACTTGGGTTCTCATCACACTTTGGTCTCATGAAAATAGAATGTGGAATTTATAGCATCTGTTTTACTCAGAACAGCAAGCAGTGTGCTGGTCCAGGCCCTTCCTAAGACCATAAGCTGCATGTGGTTCATGTATCTCTTTTATTCCTCCATAAGGTATATATAATTACTTCTCTGCTGCAATACATTACTGAAGAATAGGAAACCCAACATGGAGATTTTTGTTTGCATTACAGAAGTTACTTGTTTTAGGTACCAAAGCTTAAGGAATTTATTTATTTATTTATTTATTTATGGCACTGGGGATTGAACCCAGGGCAACGCCACGTTAGCCAAGCACTCTATCACTGATCTGTACACCAAGCTGTCAAATCACTTTTAGACATAAACATTTAGCTATTTTGGAATGACCCATTTTAATATTATATCCTTAACTTTGACAATTTACCATTAGCTTTGACATCCACAAATTTTCCAAATTTCTCTTCCCACAGGCCTAGGTCTTCTTGATTTTCCTAGTTATATAAAAAGGAGATCAAAATGAGCTTATAAACTGCAACAAATATCCTAACAGTATATCTTATTTGAATTATTAAGAAGACTGAGTCATTGGCAAGATGGCTCATCAAGCAGGTAAAGGCCCTTGCTTCCTAATAATGCAAGCTTGACAACCCATGTTCAATCTCCAGAAGCCACATAAGAATGTAAGGCAAGAAGCATATTTTGCCCCCACACATGCATCATACATATTCTTACTATTACTACTAACAAAAATGTAAAGACTGAGAAAATGCAAGGTGTGTTAGCACATTCTTTTACTCCCAACACTTGGGAGGCAGAGGCAGGTAAATCTCTAAATTCAAAGCCTGGTCTACATAGTAAGACAGGACTACATGTTGAGACTGTCTCAAAAAAAAAAAAAAAAAAAAAAAAAAAGATGGAGAAATGAGTCCATATTTTTAAAGATCAGTTCATGATGTAGATTTAATAAATCAAATTTGTGTTTTCTATAAAAGTCAATATTCATTCATATGAACCCCTTTTTACTGTGTTAAAATATATAACACATTCCCAATATATAGCCATTCCCAAGTACATAACCCAGTGTCACCAAGTACATTTGCCCTGTGGTATGTAGATGCCCTTCCTCAACCATCCAGCTCCACAGGTTTTTCATCTGCTCAAACTGGACTTCCCTACTAACTAACAACTTTCTACTTCCCTCTCTCTCTGCACCCCTGGCAAAACCATTCTCTTTTCTACTCTATGAGTGTGACTATAGTCACTCAGGAGGTGGAACTGTATAGTATTTGCTCCTTTGTGACTGGCTTACTTCACAGGTTGTCTCCAGGGCTTACTCGTTTTGTATCACATATCAGAACTTTAATTTTTAAGGCCAAATAGGATTTCACTGTCTATATAGATCACATTTTGATTTTGTCACATGTTTTTTCCTTCTTATAGTTACTGTGACCGGTGCTGCAATGCCCTCACCTTTGGCTACATACCAGAAGCAGGACTACTGGGTCATACTGCAATTCCATGCTTAATTTTTTGAGGAACTGCTACATTATTTGTCACAAACACCTGCATATGAACTAAAATACGATGGTGTTTTGAAAAATGTAGTCTTTTGATGGGAGATGTCATTCTGTAAATATGTTTCTCATACTGGCTAATGAATAAAGCACTGTTGGCCAATAGGAAAGGAAGACAGACAGAGGGACTAGGAGACGAGGAAAGAGAAAGTAGAGGGAGGAGTCAAGATGGAAGACAGAGAGAGCAGAACTCTCCAGTAAGATAAGATCACATGGAGATTAATAGAAATGGGTTAATAATTAAGACAGAGCTAGCTGATAAGAAACAAGTAACTGGCCAACAGCATTTATATCAAATACAGAATCTCGGTATGTTATTTGAGGCTGGCGTGGCGGGGGGACAAGACCAGCAGTGGGCAGAAAAACCTTAACTCCTTACATAGGACGCCCACGTGGCTAATAAGAAATTCCACTTAAAATTTAACAAAAGCTTTAAAAAGGGTTTTAGAAACAAAAGAACAGAGACAAGCAAGGTTTCTTGGTAGCAGCATTTTTCTCGGATCTACTCTGCTTTGCGAGAGACAAGCAGATATTTGCACGGCTCCTTTAAGGGAAATTTCCTGACTCAGCATAAGTGGCAAAAAACCACAAGGCTTTTAAGAAACTCTGCTAACAATTCATTGGTGTGTACGAGCTGGCAATGTTTACAACCTTCTTTGTTTTTTAGGCTAAACTGAAAAAGGTTAAAAGCTTAAAAGATGTTAGACTCTGCTGGACAAGGATCTTAGATTGGTTTGGTTTAATGATGAACTATCAATTCCTTCAACAGTGCCTGCCACACAGAAGGTAGTCCTCAACAGATTCTGTTAACAAGGACAAGAAATCCCCCTTTACATACAGCAGCACACTTACCAAGCCCATCTGGAGAAAAGGGGAGCAGGATCCACTACCGGCTTACAGGAGTGTTAAAGAACATCAAGGGTAAATTGCTAGATCTCAATTACCTGAGAGGTGTCAGCTGGCGCATTCCCCTGGTTCCCTTTGGTAGCTCTGCTTTAAACACAGAAAAAGTTGTTTCAGCTAACGGGGAAACTGGTTAGGATTTAATGCAGTTAACAAAGATTCTCATTGCCAAGTTCTCATAAATTCTATCCTTTAATTTAGTAAATATAACATCATTATAGCACATAACTAATCCAGGGTATCAGAAGTTCACAGCCCTTTTTGCCTGCATAGTAACTTCAAGGCTAGTCTAAGCTACAAGACCCTGTCTCAAAAAACAAAATGAAAACAAAAACAACAACAAAAAAGGAAAGTAGGAGCAGCAAGATGGTTCAGTGTGCAAAGGTGCTTGCTGTCAAGACTAGGATGGTCTGGGAGAGAGGCTTCTGCCATTTTCACCAAATGTTGTTCTAGAATCTCCCAGTCTATACTTTCTGCTTTTATCATCAGAATAAGTGATTGTGTGGTTCACAGAAAAACAATTTTGCATTATTTATTTCTACACAATGATTTTTTTTAAAGTTGTAACTTATTTCTGTTTTGAAATGTTAGCACTGGAAAATCTTACTATTTATCATAAAAGTAAGATGTCCTCATTGTGGGAAAATTAAAAAGTAATGAAAAGAAGGAAAAATAAAACTACCTAAAATGCCAACTACTCTGTCATTACCATATAAATATTCTTTCTATTGTTTATTTTCTATTGCTGTGATAAAACGTGATGACCAAGGCAACTCACAGAAGAAAAAGTTTATTTGGGCTTAGGATTCCAGAGGTGTAAGAGTCCATGATGATGGAGTGGAGGCAGTAGGCGACAGACATGACAGCTACAGCTAGAAGCTGAGGGCTACATCTTGAACCACAAGCAGGAAGCAGAAAGTGAACTGGCAATGCTGTGTGTCTTTTTTACTCCCAAAGCCTGGTTCTAGTGACATACTTCCTCCAGCAAAGATAGACCTTCTAAGCCTCCTCAGACAGTACCACCCATTAGGGACCAAGTATTCAAATGCTGAAGACTATGGAGGCATTTTACTCAAACTACCACATTCTTCAACTGTTATTTTAAACCAAGAAGCACTAAAAATAGCATAACAATTTATTACACAAGCTCTTTGGCACCCTTACATTTTTTATTTTTATTTATTTTTGGTGGGGGAGAGGGGAGAAAGCTCAGCCAGTAAGGCAGGAGGACCTGAATTCGAGGCAGGTGGTATTTACAGACAGGTTGTGTTAATGTAGGTCCTTAAGGGTCAAGTAATGCACACAAATACCTTTGCTTGTGAGGAATCTGTAGGTGCTCAAAGAACAACTGGCCCAGGGAGTTGATGCTGATCACAGGCTCGTTCTCAGACACCAAGTCTATCTTGAATGGGTTTGCTGAGATATGACACTTCAGATCTCCCTTGCCATCTGTCAGTATCAGGCTGCTGGCATCCCCTGAGCATGAGTCCAGCCTGGACAATGAAACAGGAAGAGAAAAATAAATTGCTACAGGCTTCCATGAGTCTACGTGATTTGTAATTCAGAGTGTTGGTCATTCTTCCTGTGACAGAGAATAGGTAATGTCTACGGTAGGGAGCCATCGTAGAGAGGAAAGAATAAAGCTTGGACAGAACATAATTCTACCATATACTTCCTAACTACAGGTAACAATGTTATTCAACCTATCTATGACTAATTCTTTATGAAATAGAAATTAAATTTAAAAACCAATGAATTTTTGGAAAAAATTAAGTGAACCCATACATTCAAAGTAATTGGTACAGGTTGGAAATGCAAAAAAATGTTCATCATCATTTCTGTCTATAATGTATAGCAGCAACATGGGCATACAGAATCTAAATATTCCTTTTACTTTTACATATTAAGATTTTATTTTGTGTGCTGTGTGTGTGTAGGGGTGTATGTGCCACAGTGAGCATGGGGAGGGGAGAGGATGGGTTGCAGAAGCAGAGGACCAAACTCGGTCATCTGACTTAGAGGCAACACCTGTGTCTGCTGAGCACTATAACAACTTCATACTTCAGGCAGGCGATTCTCCTCATGAGCTTGGCTGTAACAGGCTCTCTGGGTCAGTTAGGATCTACTGACAAAAGGTTCGGAGGCAGTGAAGGCTAGTAAAGGTAAGACCTAAGGAACACAGAAATCCCTTTGCAAAGTCTGTCTCAGCTGAGGTCTATTCGATGTGCTCAGGCATGAGAGTGACAATTTATCAGAAGGAATAGGAAGGTGACAGAGTGGCTCAGTGGTCAAGAGTGATTATTGCTATTGCAGAGGACTCTCATCTGGTGGATCACAACTGCCTGCAATTCCAGCTCCAGGGGATCTGAGGCCATTTTCTGCCCTCTTCAGGCAACCACACATGTGTAGTGTGGCCCTAACTGGAGACTTTACAGCCAGTCTACAGCTGCCAGATCTAGATAAGCTCAACAATACTGAACATTTTTGTTCAGTATACATGACTGGCAGAAAGTGAGTCACATCAAAAACTCTAGCTAGAAAAGGGTCTGGGAAAGGGTAAAAGGCTGCTTTCAGTGTTTCAGTTATTTTGGTAGCTAAAGCTCCCCTAGAAAGTAGTTGAGACTGAAGCAGAACAGCGATACTTAACCACACAATATTTATATAATCTTTACTAACTATTGGCCACATGTTTTCACGGGAAAATAACTTACATAAAACTTTGTGTAGGATATGGAGGAAATTAAAGCATCTGTTTTAACCTTATATTCTTCCAGTGACAAAACAACAGGAATCACCAGGCACAGCAACTGATGTTTTACCTGAATGTCTGTGGAGAACTGATGGAAATTTTGCAAGTACTTGAAAAATATTTTAATCCCTAGAGATTTTTTTCACCTAGATACTGATCATTAATTTATCTCTGGCTCTAAGTAAAATTAAATGTTGGGCTTCCGAGACTATCCTTAATTTAAAGTGAGTCTGTCTAGCTGTACAAATCATTGGGAGAGTTAGCAGCAGATTATCTCTCCTGAGCCCTGGCGCAAATTAAACAGCTGTTCTTCTACTTACTTCCAAACTCTGCCTAATAAACCATTTTTTTTTTTTTTGTGAGAAACAGAGTGGACCCCAAGTTCTGTCTCTCCTCATTGGGAGGTACAAAACAGTTTTGGAGTGGGAGATACAAAACCAAACCAAACCAAAAAAACCACAGAATAGGTAACAGACAATTTATAAATGTGTCCCCTAAATGATTGAATTCTAATCCTGTAACTGATTATAACTGTGAACAAAAAAATAGGGGGTGTATTCAAGGTATGATTAAAGAGACCGAGGAGGTTGTACATAACAGACCCTGCTCAGGGCTTACCTTACTGTTCTTAGCTTGCTGGTGATGACATCAGGAACTTCATACCTTGGTTTCAGTGGAGTTTCTTCATTGATTTTAAGTCTGAAAATGTTTTTCTCTATACCATAAACTTCAACCAGGAGAGGAATCTGGGAGTAGAGGTGTGAGATTAACTTAACCTCAGCAATAGTCTATTCTAATAGTTAAATTACAATAATTAGGAAAGCATTTGCTTAAATTATTATAGGCCAAGCAAATTAGAGAATGCTGGTAATAAAAAGAACACATTCAAATCCATGCCTGTACTTGCTTGGTTATGGCTGTAGCGCAAGAAATATCTTCTGTGTCTGTGGTTAGGTAAACATGATTATCCAAACCAGGATCTTTAGAGTGAATTAATATTTGGACTGGATAATTGCTTAAGCTGCAACCAGACTTGAAAAACTGGGATGTATGGCCAGTCACAGAAATGCTAAGTTCAGGCATTAAGTTAAGTGTTAACCAGGCTCCAGGTGAATGAAAGAAAGATAAAAGAAACAGGCCCAGGAAAAGAACTGAGAAAAATGCTATCTTTATAGTTCTTAAGCATGGATGAAATGAGGCCCATTGCAGGAAAAGGCTTCCAGGAAACTTTCTCAAAGGGCTGGGAAATTCAGGTAAAAACACAGAACTACAAAGAGAGCAAACCTAAAAAGTGAAATTCAGCTGGGCGTTGGTGGCGAATGCCTTTGATTCCAGAACTCGGGAGGCAGAGGCAGGTAGGTCTCTTGATGGAGGCCAGCCAGCCTGGTCTACAGAGCTAGTTCCAAGACAGGCTCCAAAGCAATACAGAGAAACCCTGTCTTGGAAAAAAGGAAGAAAGAAAAAGGAAAAATAAATTCAAAACAACAACATAAACTCTGCAAGAACAGAAATGGCTGGATTTGGGTCCCAAAATGAAGCACCCAGATCGAAGGATGATATTAAGACAAGCTTTTAACCAGTGTATCATATTAGTCTACTACAAATTCTTCATGAAGCATGCTGCTGAGCTTTGGTTACACATGGGTACCCACACTGTATGTGTGTCTGCTATGATGTAGGCTCAGTGGGAAAGGCCATGTGATCCAAGTGTAAAGGACACGATGTGGTGAAAGCAGAAGACAGGCAGCCCTGAACACATCAAGCAGCATTTGAGAAGCCATGTGACTAGAACCTTGCCTCTGGAACTATAGGAGAGCAGTCAGGGCACAGTAATACTGTCCTGAAGAGCTATCAGTGCTGTGGCTGTAGGTGCATTCATAGTCACTCTAATACAGGACTACAGGACTGTTCTTGAACTGATTGTAATTACTGCTTACATGATTACTTTTTCATATATCTTGAGTTTTCTCAAGTATGCTACTAGAATCCCAGTATTTGAAAATGCCCAAATACAAACAGAACTGAAACTCAGCTTACCTATTCTCTCTCAAGCCAGACATAAAGTTTCATGTTTTTTTTTAATTCAACTAACATTTATTTTATATATATATAATGTCATGACCACCAAATTCCTAGTGGGGTTGCAATTTAGAGAAGATCATATCTACGTAAGATTTACATAAAGCTGAGATGAAAGTACGAATACAGATTTAGTGGCAAAACAGGAAGGGGAATACTAATGTATGCAAGGCCTGGGAAATCCCTCTGGGGACAGAACCACTTAAAGAGGGCCTTCAGGAATTGGTAAGAGAGTAAGTTAGGCTTCTACTGCTGTGATAAACACTGTCACTAAAATCAACTTGAGAAGAAAGTCTGTTTTACATTGTATCTTATAGTCTACCATGGAGGTCAGAGCAGGAACTGAAGACAGGAACCATGCAGGCACCATGGAGGAGTGCTGCTTACTGGCTTGCTCTTCATGGCTTATTCAGCTATTTATTTTACGTAATTCAAGACCACTTGTCCAGAGATGTCACCAACCACAGATAGTTGAATTCTTCTACATCAATCATTAAACAAGAAAATGCCCCCCAACACAGGCTAATCTGATGGAGGCAAGCTTTCATGGATGCTCTTTCTCCCCAGATGATCCTGGGTCAGATGCTTCCTAACGTTTTCTGCCTGTGAATAACAACCATCATATGATGTTAAGAATGTAAACAGAACAAAACAAAACAGAAAAATGTAAACAACGGGCCTTTATTTTAAGCAATCTCTATAGTGTTTTTGCTTTTTTTTTTTTTTTTTTTTTTTTTTTTTAAATAAGCTAAGCAAGCTTCTGGAGGGCCCAGTTTCAAGTCTTCGGTTGATAACTGTCTAATCTTTCCCTTGTGCCCAACAGCCCTTTGAACATTTCTCCCTTTGGCAGCTGTCACCATGGCACACCAGCTGTCTTGAACAATTCACCAAAGGCTTTGTGGAAACTATACCCCAGCTGCAGAGAACCCTGCAACCAAGATGCTGCTGAATCCACACACGTCTGCTTCAACAGGCCTTGCTCTAGTGTGGAAACCTTCATTTGAGCTATGGCAAGCCTTGATGGTCAGCAGATTAGTTTGCCTAGAGCTTCTCTGGAGGGCTGCTCTAGATCTTGTAATAGCAGTCCTCAATTAGGTCAGAGGGAAGAATAGTACCTCCCTAGTAACTCAGCAAAAACCCTAAGCTGTGCTTATGCAATACCCTTCATTGGTGGGAATGGAAACTGTGACACAATTAGTGGAATTACAACCTGGGCTCAAGCATGCCATACTCATTTCTTAGATAAACAATTAAGTTGTTTTTTTTTTGTTTTGTTTTTTTTTTAGCTCATTTGTCTCCATATTATGTTTGCTATTTTCTAGATGGTCTCAGTTATTTGTGATAACTGGAAGCATGGAATCCCTATGGAGAACAATGGTGACCCTCCTGCTAGATTTTAGCCCATTTCCAGGTGGCAATTAGCCTATCCAGTATGGCTCTGTTTGGCAAGTTCTCCATAAACTGCTTGGTGGCCACTCAAGCTGAACACTATTTGCTAAGGAGCAGCCGTGCCCCAGCTACTGAGGAGGTGGCTAGTTGGCAAAGTCTCATTTTAATCCCTCTTAGATGAAGAGGAGTGACTTCAGAGGCTTAGTGATATACTTGCATTCTCAAAGAAGCTGCTAGAAGCTAACAGGCTGCAAAAAAAAAAAAAAAAAAAAAAAAAAAAAAAAAGTAAAAATGCTTACAAATGTTTGCCCAAACCAGCAGGAAACACCAATGTTAGCAATATAAAGTACATTAAAGATAAAGCTTTAGTCCTGCCAACATAGCTAGACCTGGAGAAGACAACATGAATTTTCCTGTATTAGTGCCAAAAGATCAGATCTCTACTGCTCAACTGTGCCACGTTTTCATTCAAGGTAAAAATTTGATAACAGGAGGGAAAAATAAAACCTGAACAGTATTTAAAAGTTAATACTTTTCTACTCATTTTCCTTAACTGTTTTTCTTCTTCTAACAGTTTTATTGAACACTTACTAATATACTATTTTTGACTGCTATGTGATATTAGGCTTGTAAGAGCTCATGTGGGGAGTCCTCAGGATGGAATTACTGCCTTTATAAGAAAAGAGAAGAATTTGATTTGCCTGTGTCTTTCAATCCAATCATGTGGGACACAAGACAGCCACCTGCAAGCCAGAAAGAGGGCCATTTCCTGATGTGGGCATTGGCACCTTGGAAACTAAGAGATAAATGTGTTGTTTAAGTCACTTGGTCTGTGGTATTTTGTTAGGCAGCCAAAGCAAACTAGACAATATTGATAAAGCTTGATTTTGTTTCCTAAATGCTTATTAGGAGTGAATCTGGGGAAAGGAACTGGACTTCAAGAATGACAAATGGTCAAACTCTGAAGTCAATTATTTATGGCTTTAAAAGTGTGGGGACAGGCAGGCACACAAAGTTCCTGGTTTGTCAGAATCTGCCTCCTCGGTGCAATTTGAGAACTGTGGCTCTGAGTTGAATATGATCTTCTTAGGTTTTGGACTCTATCTCTCTGAACCTGAAAGAAAAAAGCTATCGTTCTTATTAGGTGCATACATGCAGCAGCTTGTTTTAAATCTCCGGACCACACTGACACTTGATGTGCAATCTCCTTAATACATTTGTCTCAGTCTAGAAATAACCTTTGATCCTGTTCCTATGCAGTGAGATGGCTATTAAGTTCAGACAACTTCTCAGATTACTGTCTGGAGATTATTATCTTCAGTGTCCATTAAAGCAACAGAGGGCATGGAATTCTAAGTTCCCTACTAGTTATCACAACTCTATATATCACTTGGACATTAAAATGGTATCAGGCAGAATTTCAGGGTGACTTTTTAAAATATACATTTGCTTGAGATTAGAGACACAGGTTCCTATACAGCTTTGATATTTCCAGTCCCTGAATGTAGAGTATGTTTGAAACATCCACAAAGTTCTCAGTCTTTGGGGCTTTGTTGCTGACATTTCAGATACTTTGCTCTTTCTTGATGGACTTTTTGCCTCCTTCCTGAGCCATGTGCTATCTTTGTTGAGATCCATCCTCTGGGGCCCTTTGCACTGCAGAGTCTTCTTTATGGAGAACATGCAAATCTGTTGGGCTCTGTTTGGTACCTGACTTGAATTGCCTTGTCTCCCAATGAAAAATGATCTCTTGTAACATAACAAGGCATGTGCAGGAGTCTGGCACTAACTGCATTGGTGTCAAGCTGTATTGAGAATTGAATTTTGGTTTATTACTGATATTTGAAGTAATTCTGCTTCATTTTCTCTGCCTTGGCATCTTTATGATAGTGGATTGTTCAAGAGGTTCTATGCACTAAGCCTCCCCAGTGATGGATAAGGATTTATTTCCAGATCATGGCCACTACAACTTGCTACAGTCATACAATGAAGAGAAGGAAAATTAGAAAATTATCACAAAAAAATATGACAAGAAAGTTCCTAACATCTGGTGGTAAGCTCAAAGATTCCTGGAAAGCCTCTTCTGGGCTCACTAAATTTGGGAGTCAAGTTTGCTGAACACTAATAGTTTCTAAATTATAAGGTCTTAGAGAACCCTCCTCCAACATTGGGGGATAGTTTTTATCCTGTTTTCTGTTGAGTTTCCTCATTAAAGCATTACAAAACAGGAGCTGTGGCAGTCACAAAGAGATTTCATACAGCTTTCAGCTGAAAGTCGATGTCTGAGAACAGGAAATGGTGAGACAGTTAGCGGAGACACTCTGTAAGGGGTCAGTGGATCCAGACCACAGTCTAAACAAACTATGTTTCTGTTCAAGAAATACCAGTTAATTCATATTAGTTTGAGAGGTTTAAGATGCTTTTAGAAGGTGGAGGAGTACTGAAAGTAAGGGTTAGAATAAAGCACCAGGTGACTAGTGCAGTCTCACTTTCCGGTCCATAACTGACCCATTTTTGTGACACGTATGAAGTAGTGTGATGAACTGAAAGGTGAGAGAAAAGTCCCTAAGATACCCATCTGTAATTCTTTTACTTTGCAGGAACTATGGTGATCTGCTAGTGAAACAGCTCAGAGACAGAATGAATATTCATGTCTTGTGTTTTTCAACTACAGAATACTCTTATTTGTTCCTTGGCAACCTAAACTTTGACATAGTGCCAGAAAGTGTATGTATCTTTGATGGAATCTGCCAAAGAAAGAAAAATACAGGTATGTGACATTGCGCAAGTGTCTGCCTAGATTTCATTTTCCTTACTTGATAATTGGGGATAATACAATGTATGCCTTAGGTGCATTATGAAAACTAGTTAAGAGGAAATAACACGCTTTCTGTGCCGATATCGCTCCCGCCAACATGGTGAATGTTCCTAAGACCTGCCGGACGTTCTGCAAGAAATGTGGCAAGCACCAGCCCCATAAAGTGATGCAGTACAAGAAGGGCAAGGACTCTTTGTATGCCCAGGGAAAGCGGCATTATGACAGGAAACAGAGTGGATATGGTGGGTAGACTAAGCCCATTTTCTGAAAAAAAGGCTAAAACTACAAAGAAGATTGTGCTGAGGCTTGAGTGTGTTGAGCCTAACTGCAGATCTAATCGGATGCTGGCTATTAAGAGATGCAAGCATTTTGAACTTGGAGGTGATAAGAAGAGAAAGGGCCAAGTGATCCAGTTCTAAGCTGATGTTATGAAGACAATAAAAGAAACTCACCTCATTTGATTGTGGTTGGTCTTTTGGGAAGGAATAAACTGAAACTATCGAAACATCAAAAAAAAAAAAAAAAAAAAAAAAAAAGAGGAAATAACACATGCAAAACATATAGAAAAACATATGATACACAGGCAATCTCTTTGTTGATATTCACATTACTATGAAAGTAAGATCAGCTGGGTACAGAGGCATGTAATCCCAGCACTTGGGAGATAGAGGAAGGAGGTCAGGAGTTAGAAAAGCCTCAGTCAAGTAGCAAGCTGGAGGGCAGCTGGGTCACATGCAGCCCTTCCTAAAAAAGAATTAATAAATATAGGATCTCTGTGTGTGTGTGTGTGTATCATATTTCTCCTCTAACAACGTTCTACTGAGGTATAGCTAGTTTAAATTAGCTATCATAGAAATAATTTGCACTGGGCGGTGGTGGCACACACCTTTAATTTCAGCAGAGGCAGGCAGATCTCTGTGAGTTCAAGACCAGTCTGGTCTATAGAGCTAGTTCCAGGACAACCTCCAAAGCCACAGAGAAACCTTGTCTCAAAAAAACCAATAATAATAATAATAACAATAACAATATAATAATAATAATTTGCTTGGTGGAGGCAACAGTGCATTTTTTTAATCCCAGCACTCAGGAGGCAGAGGCAGTTGGCTCTTTGTGAGTTCAAGGCTAGCCTGGTCTACAGAGCAAGCTTTAGGACAGGTAGGATTGTAGTGAGATAGTTCCTCTGTGGCACTGACCACGCCCATTGGGGGGTGGAGCCATGGGCGGAGTGACCTGTGGAAGGAGGTCGGAGGGGAGCCAGGAAAGGCTCTCTTTCTGGCGTGACTCGGACAGGAGAGGATCGGGTTGAATTTCCTGGTGTTCATCTGTCTAGGTTGTAAGTTATTTCTCCCTGAATAAACATCTATTCGGCCTATTTGTTTATCCTGATCCTTATTTAACCGCGATATAGGATATACAGAGAAACTCTGTCTTAAAAAACAAAAGCAAAAGCAAAATCAAACTGTATCTAATTCAATCCCAATAAACATAAAAGTAAATTGTTCTTGCATCTTACCTTATTTGCTTCATTGATAATTTGGAACCTGGTGCTGTCCTGTTCTGTTGTGACTGAATCTAACAATGCCTGGTAGGTGGTATTCTTGGAGAGCTGCTGCTTCTGTCTCCTATGGACATAAGAGTGTTGTGTTAGTTAGTTTTGTCAACTTGACACAAAGTAGAGTCGTTTGGAAAAAGGGAACCTTAATTGAGAAGATGCCTCCATCAGACTGGTCTGTAGGAAAGTCTGTGGGAGCTTTTTGTGATTAACTTACCAATGTGGGCGTGTCGAGCCCACTCTGGGTGATGCTGCAGGTGGTATAAGAAATGTAGCTGAGCAAGCTGTGGGGAGCAAGCTAGTAAGAAGCACACCTCCATGGTCTCTGTTTCAGGTCTTGCCTCCAGGTTCCTGAACTGAGTTCCTGCCCCGACTTCTCTCAATGATGGACTGTGATTGGAAGTTTATAAAATAAAGCAAACCCTTGCCTCCCCAGGTTGCTTTTGGTCATGGTCTTTAATCACAACAAAAAGCAAACTAAGAAAAATATATAGATACATAAGAACTGCTTGTGATTTGCCTGTACTAACTGACTCATATCATCATGTGAACGTCAGTAAAATTGACTGTCATAGTAAGTGACCGTCATGGACAGTATTGCTATTCTTATAAAGTACCAAGAATATATTTTTAGAGTTCTAATAAAACTATCGCTAAAATAATATCAACTTCAGCATAATACTACTCAAGAATGGCATCTTGTCTCTTTTATTTAAAAAATGGGGCAATTTTCTTTCTTTTGTATGTGTATGGGTAAGTACATGCACAGGTGCATATGACTAATAGGTATATGGACATGTGAGTGGGGCCAGAAAACAGCCTCAGATATCATTCCTTAGGGACTGCCCATATTTTTATAAGTCAGTGTCTCCTACCAGTGTGGGGTTAGGCAGGTAGGCTAGTCTGACTGTCCAACATGGCCTAGAGATTTGCTTGTCTCTGACTCCCCAGTGCTAGGACTACAAATACCTATGACTGGTAGTTTTACAACAGGCACTAGAGATTAAACTCAGGTCTTCTCCCAGGTACTTTACATACTAAGCCATCTCCCCATTCCATACTTGAAAAATAACTTTTATGAATAAATAAATTTCCTTCTCCTTTTCATGAAGTGGAATTTTAGTAGTAATTCAACATATTCTAGTGGAAATTCAGTGTGGGCCATTGATTTAACAAGGTGATTGGGCATTTACTGTATACTTCCCTGTAAGGCAACTGTTTTGAGTACAAAATAGCATTTTTTTCTTTTGTTCTTCTAGAACAGAGAATGACTGAAATAGAAACTTAAAAATATATAAAACAAGTTTTTGCTGGGCTTGGTGGCATAGCACCTTTAATACCAGCATTCAGAAGGCAGAAGCAGGCAGGCTGTTGTTAGTCCAATGTCAGTCAGATCTACATAGTGAGACAAAGTTTCAAATAATAAATAAGCAAAAGTCCAAAGTAATCAAGGAAATAAACAAAAATTAATTTTGATGATTTCAGTTTTAGAGTCATAATAAAAATTGATATAAATCAAGCTCTTGAAACAACTAAGCCACAAAGTAGACATTTTAGAGCATGATTTTAAAGATATTTTTCCTAAGCTCAAATAACATCACAGAATATTAAAGTATAGAAGATCCTCACAGAAGGAAATCCATTAACAGTTAACACATTTCAGGTGTTTTGGTACAGTTACCAAGTTCCTAGAAATCCTACTTTTTTTTATTGTTGTTTGTTTTTGCTGGTTTATTTTCCTTAGTGCTAAGGAAAAGGCCCAGAGCCTTGCACAAGATAAGGAAGTCCTCTACTGCAGAGCCACACCTCCAGCTCCACTCCTAAACATCTATCCTACAAATCATTTGCATGTATAGAAAATGAAAAACACAACTCTTCATATGGCAGTGCTCTTATAGTAAAATGTTAAAAAGAAACAACAAACTGAGGCTCTAGCAAGTGGATCTGGAACAAAATACACTACAATGCATCTCTCCTGTGGAACACCATGAGCACAAAAAACAGGGAAAGCTCCACGCACGGCAGGAATAGAAGGCATCCAGAGTAAAATACAAAGGGGGGGGGAGGGGAGAAGCAGACAGAACACTTCCTATAGAAATCTATTTGCAGGTGTAAGGAAAGAGGTGATAAGAATATATGTATTTACAAAGAATACTAGAAAACATATAAGAAATTAATAAATATGCTTTACTTGAAGGGACAGGATGATGGAAAAGCAGTGGTAGGAGAAATACTTTCAATGCATATCTTTTTATATGATTTTCAAACCAGGTAAGTATATTGACTTTCAAAGGACACACATTTAAAAAATATTTCAGCTTTTAAAATAAAATACAGGCTGGGTGGTAGTAGTGTACACCTTTAATCCCAGCATTTGGGAAGCCAGCCTAGTCTACAGAATAAGTTCCAGGATAGCCAGGACTACACAGAGAAACCCTGTCTCAAAAAACCAAAGCAAAAGAAAAAAAAATACAATTTAAATTATTTAATAGTAAGTATATAAAATCACTCATTAGATTTCATAAAGACCATCTTCTTAGCCCTTCAGTTCTCAAAAACTTAGTGTAATTAATTTGGAAATAATGTTAGGAATGTTTTCTAGGTGATATATTTACTTACCTGTAGAAAGCAATTTCACTACAGTCTCTGAAAATGGTTTTATCCACAGCTTCATCTTCAACACTAAATTAAAAATTTTAAGAAATATATTTTACATTTTAAGAAATACATTTTACAGAAGATCTGTGAGCTCAATTTTTGTGCCTTCCCTAATTATAGTATAAACGTGCAAAGTAAACTTTTGGAATTTAATCTGTGTTGCAAAATTCCATCACTGCTGTAACATAAGACTTCACGAGGCAACAGTATGCTTGCTGCAGAACAATACCCTTTTGTAAAACTACCAAACTCAACAGCAAAGCATCTTCATTGATCTAAAAGCCATGTGAAAAGGCACTGCCAATTATGAGGCAGGCAGCTTTTAAAATAATAGCCACAACACTAAAACCTCAAATACAAGGCTAAACCAAACAACCAACCTACTCATCTATTTAAAGAGCACAGTATTTTCAAAACATATACTTCCTGAGAGTTTATACCTGAGTAAGACATAGAGTGCCTAAGTGTTCTGTTAAAGTTTGACAGATAGGCTCCAAATCCTCTAAGAAAGGTATGTGTCAGGTGCCAAAGTCAGAGTGGGAACAAACATAGACAGAAAAACTTCCCAGAGGATTCCAACAATCTAGAGATTAATATTCTTTAGAACCAATTTTAATTCCAGAAGAATTGCATCTGGATAAAAAGATATACATTACTACTTGGAGAATATATATTTCAGTTAGCTTTCCTCTAGTTAAAACAACTATAAGCTGGGTGGGATGGGACTGGCTTTGGTAAAGAGGTATGGATGGCTTCTTGAACCTGCAGTTACTGTGTCCATTGAAGGAAGCTAAACTATGAAAATAGGCCTGGACAGATACAAACACTTAGCCATAACAAGAAATTGTTTTATTATGGAAAAAATAAAACCCTCCATAAAACTCGGTTTTTTTGGGCACTGCTTATTTAATCAAGTGTGCAAACATTAGGAGAATTTGCAGTCTTCTGTTTCCAGTTGTGAAGAATGAGCCCTAGAATCGCAGAGAGACATGGAACCACCTACATGTGGGTTGCAGCGTGCTTAAAACTCATGGCAACCTTTGCACTGGTCAAGTACATTGAGAGGTTAGCTATTAACATTACCCAACTTTCTGCAAGAAGCAAGACCAAACATTCTAGGAAGTGCGATTAAAACGTTAAGTGAAGCCTTCAAAGCTAGAAGGTTGTTTTCAGAGTCAGTTCCTGCTGGGGCAATTAATTGGCCTTTACCTGATTTTCTCTTTTTCAGCTGCTTCCATGGCTTCCCTGTTAACTCTGCCTGGCTCTTAATTCTCAGGCTGCAGCCTCTGGCGTTCTTTTAAAAAAGGCAACAAGCAGATTTGCTAAATTATGACCCGTACTTCATCAGAGTCAAATTTATGGAAATAAGGGTCCCCTCCAGATGTTTAAGGGGTGGTGGTGGGGCAAATCTTGACTTTTTCTCCTGGGACTTTCTCAGGTGCAAACCAACGCGTCTACAGGAATATACTTGTTAACTACTTCTTGGCTGAGAGTGGCTGGTGAACCTTGCTTTCATTGGCGGAGGGGGCATGCACACAAACAGCCCCAGAGGTTAAAATCTAGAGCGTGAGAAACAGGAAGTACCAAGACAGCCTTAGGGTCGGTCTCAGTGGCTGCCATTCTGTAATACCGAAAGCTGACTCGATCTCTTCCCACTTTTAGTTTTGAGTGGGGAGTGCCGTCTGAGTCACTGTTGGACGCCGATGTCGCTGGTCACACTGCGGCAGCTGACCAACAGTCTTTCGGGGTTATAGGGACTTGGAAGCTCATGAATCGCTTCTGTTCCAGCCCTGCCAAATTCCAGGCTCTGCTTCCACAGCTCCTCAGCCGGAGAACCCACTACTGGATGTCAATCATGCATCCTGTGTGCGAGGTTCTACAGCCTTCTGACCGGCGCCTGGCCTTGACTGGCAAAGGATGAGGGGCGGGAAGAAGCGAGAGGAGCAGAGACTTGACCGATGCACTGAGTTCCTTTAATGGCAGGAAGAACAGAGGGAAGTACCGGACCTCAAACTCGCGGCTGGTTCACCTACAGGCAACACTCGAATGAGACAGGAAGACGCCTGCGCAGTAGACACAAAGTTTCTGGAGCGCTCTGACGGTCCGGGGGAAGATCGCAGTCTCAAAGACCCGGATAATCCCGCCCACATAGCAGAGCCGGAAGAGGGTGGGACAAGTAGGAAGAAGGCGGGACTAGCCAGCCGGAAGAAGGCTCAATGCTTTGGGTAGTCGCTTCACGGCTGTGAAGATGGCGGTAGCTGCGTGGCTTCAGGTGTCTCCTGTCATTTTTCTTCTTTTGGGGGCGCAGCCGTTCCCATTGTCGGTTTTTAGTGCAGGGCCTGCACCCGTGTTTGCTGCAGATAGATCAAAGTGGCACATTCCGATGCCGTCGGTGAGTGTTGGAATCGCTATTGAACTGGAGGGGGATGAGAAGTGGGGCTACGGTGGCCCAAGGGGTCCAGGATGGTTTCAGGAAAGTCGGTATCCATAGGGGGTAGGATACCCAGAGTGTGCCAACGGGGTCTCACCTTCCCGGAGCTGAGAGCTGCGCTGTTTGCCTTAGCTAGGAGCAGTGTCAGAGTCAAGCGTGTTCTCACCGGGAAAGTAACAGAACTTTCAGCGCCAAACTTGAGAGGTACTTAACTAGTTTCTCTTTCAAGCTAGAATGTAACAAAATCTGTCACTTAGGCTTTGGATGAAAGGAATACGTAAATAGGAGTCTTGATTTTTTTTTTTTTTTTTAACTCTAGTGTTTTTATTTATTTATTTATTTTGTAAAAATATTTCTACGGATGAGATAACTTGGTTTGGTTTAAACTTTGAAATGTTTTTGTGATTCAGGGACATAGGGATTTTTAAAAATGGATTTTAACATGGGAATGGCCCATGGGAACGAAACAATTCTATAATGTAATGTGGTAAGGATAGTTTTTCGTTTGGTATTTAACTGATAGGTTCACCTGTTCCCCTCTCAGTTTTAAAACCTCGCGAGTAAGTAGTATTTTGAACCACAAAAAAAAAAAAAAAAAAAAAAAAAAAAAAAATTTGGCAAGAACTTCTTCAAAAACCATTAGCTGTTTTGTTCACTTTTTTGTTTTGTTTTTGAATGTTCACTGTACCTTTATATGGCAAAATTTGCAGCTTTTATTCATTTTAGCAAAGGTTTTTGGGTTTTGAGTTGTACTTGTTTATTGTCCTTTTAAATTTAAAAGTAAAACTGCTCAACGGTTGTTTGAAAGCTATGATTGGTTGTTCTGAGTGAATAAAGAAAAGGAACTGTACATCTCATGAGCTCGTGTCCTTTTTACCCTACATTGATGCTTTTAAGTTAAGTTGAAATTTGTAGTCCCCCCCATATATATAGTCCCTGCTTTATGGCCTGTGTATGGGGGGGACTCAAGACTACACTGAGGGGCAGAGCCAGTAGTTTGGATATGATTGGCTTTCACTAAAAGAAAAGATGTTGTCCTTTTGATTAAGAAAATTAATTTGAATATTTTATTAATTTAGATATTCATATTCTGTCTTGAAAATCAAAATGTCCTGATGCTAGTTTTCTTTATCTTTGCAGGGGAAAAATTATTTTAGTTTTGGAAAGATTCTTTTCAGAAATACTACTATCATACTGAAATGTGAGTTTTAAAATGTCATTGTTATTTGAGCTTCTTAAACATAGCTTATTTTCTGCCTTAGTCTGCTTGTGTGTGTGTGTTGTGTGTGTGCATGTATGAATATGAAGGCCAGAGGTCAGTTACTTGTCTCTTCCTCAGTTCCTGTCTACCTTTTTGTTTTGAGACAAGATCTCTCCTATAATTTGGAGCTTGCTGATTGACTGGACTGGCTATCAAACAAGCATTGGGAATACAGACATGGATCACATTTTAACAGATGTACTGGGGATCTGAATCAGGTCCCAATGCTTGTGTGGGAAGCAAGCATTTTACCAACAAAGCCATCTCCCTAGCCCCTTAATACATTTTAAGTTCAGAAATGTAATAGCTTGACACTGTTTAGATACATTTAGTATAACTAAATTCATAATATAAATAATATCCAGAATACTTGTATGAATTTTTATTGTCTTTCTTATCTCTTGTTTTTCAGTTTACTATGTTATGTATAGATACACTATTATATGTAGCTTATATTAATATTTGTATTATATATTGCATACTGAATGTATACTCTATTGAATTCATATGTTGACTAATTCTATTCAGAGTATATATGTATGTTTATGTAAAAATATGTATATATTTAATTACATTTCTATTGTATTATATTTAATTTTGTTAGATGGCTGCTTGCATCATTTTAAAATCTGTTACTGATTTTACTCTTGTGTACTTGTTATACATTTACTAAAAACATGGCCTAGGTTTGCCAGACTGTTGGCTCAGATATTCAGTAGATCTTCTGTTTACCAAGGGAGTGTTTTATTCTTCAAGGAACCTCGAGTTCAGGGATATTACCAGGAAATAGGGATTAGGTAGAAGAAAACCAGTTTGTCCAGTGAGGTAGCTACAGGGTCTGGAGCTAAATTGTTCCATGTGCACTAAGATCTCCCTTTCATTTTTGAAACTTTACTTTTGGAAGTAAATGTTTTTGGGTTGCTCTGTTTTTGAGCAGGGATAGTATTCTAGATAATCACTATATTATGTATTTTGAAACATGGTCTCATTGGTAGCCCAAGTCTTAGTTAGTTAGCCCAGTCTTAGGCTCAGTTTCTTAAGTGCTAGGATTATAGGCATGTTCTACCATGTGTGTTTTGAACATACTTTTTTTCCCTGAAAATGCAATAAAGTCATAGTTGAGTGATTTTTGTTATTCTTTTGTTTAGTAAGTGATTATAAGATAACTACTGTGTGCTGAGTACTTTTATATACTAGAGAGATGGTAGAAAAATTCTCTTTTCTCATTGAGCTTACACTTTAGTGGGAAGAAAAGGAGCAGGTAAAGTATACTTGTGATGGTTAGTTTTAATTGTCAACTTAGCACAACTCAGAATAACTTGGGGAAAGAATCTCAGGGAGGGGTTGTCTAGATTAGGTTGGTCAGTGGCCATGTCTGTGGGGGATTGTCTAATTCTGTTAATTGATATGGGACTTTCCAACATAAATGTATGCAGGACCATTCCCTAGGTTTGGGTCCTGAATTGTGGAGGAGTTGAGAAATAGGATGTATGCATTGATTCCTCCTTGCTTTTGCGTGTGGATGTGATGTGAGTAGCTGCCTCAAGTTCCCAGTGCCTAGACTTTATTCCAATGATGGACTGTAACCTGGGGCTTTATACTGAAAGAAACAGTCTCCCCTCTGAGTTGGTTTTTGTCACAGTGCTTTATCCATCCAGAGAAATAAAACTAGGACAATACTATGTCCATGAAAATGTCTCCTAATAACTTAAATTTGATTTGAATCAGTTTACTCTCTTGTGAGGTTGGTGTACTGGCTGTTTACTCATAGCTGTGAGGAATGGAAGGATGTAGTTGTTTTGGTTTGTGCTATATTCCTATTAGGTATTGTCTTCTAGTTTTATTTTGACCTAATAGTATTTTACCAAGGACCAAATATACAATCTGCATATTATAAATGTTTACATTTTTTGTAGATGATCTGAGGTTCCTTAATTTTTTTTTTTATTATTTGTTATTCCCATAGTTTCTCATATTTGCCATCTTTGATATGTGGCTTCCTTAGCACAGATGGGACCATGTTCTTGTCTCAGGGCTTGTTGTTTAGAGTTCTAAACATTGTACCTGTCCTTTAACACTTACTTTTATGTTTGCAACAAAATTCCCAGAAAATCTTTTTTTTTTAGCACTTAAAAATTACATTTTATTTGCTTATTTAATCACATACTTTCTGCATGCTTGTGAATGTAGGCATTCTGTGTGTAGAAATCAGAGGGCAACTTGCTAGAGTCAGTTGTCTCTTTCTACCATATGTGTCCTGGGGATAGAACTCAGTTCCTTAGACATACTCTGTAACCCATCTTGCTGGCCCTGTTTTCTGACTCTAAACTAATATACCCTATATTTTTGTGTTCTCCTGTTAGTAGCCAACTAATAATCTTTATATCTTTTCCATAAATCTCAGCTGATCAGATTTTTGCATATCCTAATAGAGCTCTGCAAAAATGTGTTAGTCATTTAAAAATTAGTGTAGGAACTGGAGAGATGGCATTAGCTGCTCTCCCAGAGGACCCAGGTTTGATTCCAACTTGACTTATCAGTTCATAATAATTTATAACTCCAATTCCAGGGATCTGACACCCTCTTCTGGCCTTTCTGGGCATCAAGCTCATAAGTGGTACATGGCCAAAACAAGCAAAACAAACAAATATAAAATAAAAGAAAGTTTTTTTTTTTTAAGTTGGTTAAGAAAACAATTTAAAACAAAAATTGGGAATCTTTTAATTTTGTTGCTTATTATTTTTATTATCTTAAAATTTCAATTAATGAATGTTTGCTTTTTGAGACAGGGTTTCTCTATGTAGCCTTGGCTGGCCTGGAGCTCACCATGTAGACCAGACTGGCCCAGAACTCACAGATCTGCTTGCCTCTGCCTCCTAAGTGTTAGTATTCGAGACGTAGGTTATAACCTCCTGATTGCATATTTTGTTTTGAATTAAAGTAGATTCTTGGGCCTGGAGAGATGGGTCAGTGGTTAAGAGCACTTGTTCTTGTAGAAGACCCAGGTTCAATTCCCAGTATCCCAGGTGGTGGTTCACAACTGTTCATAATCTAGTTCTAGGATGCATATGATACATGTGAGCAAAATACACACACAAAGTGAATACGTCTATGGAAAAAGAAGTAGATTCTTAAATGTAGTCATACTTATTCTTGTTATACTGCAAAACAAAAGTACTCTTTAGTATGTTTTTCTTCCATAGCTGGAATCAAAGAGGAAGTTTGAATTAGATGTTTCTTTTGTTGTGAACCAAAACCAAAAGTAAACAAAAAAAAAAAAAAGTAGTCATTCTTGTTTTTAATTTTTATTGTCTTTTTGGGTTTTTTTTTTGGGGGGGGGTTGTGGTTTTTTGTTTTGTTTTTGTTTTTGAGAAATAGTCTCATGTAGCTGAAGTTGTCCCTGAGTTCCTAACCCTCCTGTATCCACCTGCCAAGTGCTAGAATTACAAGCAAACAGTTGGCATGTTTGCACAGAGGAGTCTGGAGTATCTTTTCCCACCTCCCAGGACAGTTAGACTTACCTTCTTAAATTTTCAGATTGATGCTTTGGTTCTTTTGAACATTGAATTCCAAACTATGTGGGGTTTTGTTATGTGTATATGTAGTATGGTATATGTGTATGTTTGGTATTTGCACAGGTGAGCCTGGGTAGGTCAGAGAAGGATGTCGAGTGTTGTGTTATATCTGTCAGTCTCACTTTATTTGAGAGAGGGTCTCTCATTGAACTTGGAGCTAGGCCTATAACATTAACAAGTCAAACAGGTCATCATAACAGATCCTTGGGAACTGGAGTGACAGATGGCCATGTGGGCACTAGAGTCTGAACTTCAGTTCTCATAACTGCTGAGTTGTTTCTCCAGTTCCCTTTATCCATTCTTGCTGACTTTCGAGGGCCAAGCCATGAATCTCTCTCAGTGGATCTGTTTAAAACACTGTTTAACAATACTGTTATTCTGTATTTCTCCAGTAAGTGTGTGACCTTTTAAAAGATCTTTGATCATTTGTTTTTCCTCACCCCCCTCTTAATCGAACACTCTACTATTAAACCCTTGTGTATGTGTGTTCTGCTTGGTAAATACTTGAATATCATATCATGCCCGTGTTTTCCTCAATATAGATCTAGAGATTTGGGATATAGAAATAGACCTACATTTCCAAAAGGGTTAAAGAAAGAAAACCTGCTTAGCTACCACTTCTGAAGGAGTAGTGATATTATTTAGAGGCTATCTGGGAATCTGGGCATTCTAGCGTACTCCTGTAATCTCAACAGTTGGCAGGCTGAGATGGAGGGATGGCAGTGAATTTGAGGCCAGCTTGGGCTGCACAATGAGATTCTGCCTCAAAACAAGCAACAAGAAGGAAAGAACAAACAGTTCTTTTTGCTTGTATGACTTGATTTCCTTTTGTTTAAAGACAGCATATTGAATATCTCAGTTTAGAGTGGGAAATAACTAGGTTACAAGTTAATAGAGAAATGCTGGAAGAACACTTCATTTGGAATTCTCTCATGTTTACAATTATTTCTTTCATAGTTGATGGAGAGCCTTGTGATCTGTCTTTTAATATAACCTGGTTTCTGAAAAGTGCTGATTGCTACAATGAGATCTACAACTTCAAGGTAAAGAATATGAACATACTTACTTTCCCTGGGATTTAACTGTCATCTGACCCCAACCTCTTAACTTTACAGAAGAAAGAGTGGCGTGTAATTATGGAGCAGCAGAGCTGAAACAATATCCCATTCTGTCCAGTCTGCAGACCTATGTCAGCAGTTCTCGGGGTTCCTGTCTCAGAATCCTTGTCCTTAAAAAAATTGTGGCTGGGTGTGGTGGCTCATGCCTTTAATCCCAACACTTGGGAGGCAGAGGTAGGCAGGTCTCAGATTTTATGGCCAGGGCCAGCCTGGTTTACGTAGTGAGTTCCAGGTCAGACAGAGCTATACAGAGAACAAACAAACAAACAAACAAACAAACAAAAAACAACACACAAAAAAATTTGTGGACTCAAAAATCCTTTGTTATAAATTTTTTAAACATTTGTGTTTATTGTGGTATATTCATACGCAGAAACCATGGCACAGGTGTGAATGCCAGAAGACAACTTGAAGGAGTCAGTTTTCTCCTTCCACTCTGTGGGTTCTAGGGATTGAACACAGGTCAGCAGGGTGAGCAGCAGATTCCTTCACTTGCTGAACAAATTTTCTGGTCTTCTACAAGGCTTTTGTTTGTGTGATTTCCTCTTTTAAAAATTAAAACAAGGGCTGGAAAGATAGCTCAGTGATTCAGAGCACTGGCTGCTCTTTCAGGGGACCCAGGTTCAGTTCCCAGCACCTACATGGTGGCTCAAAACTTTCCATAATTTTAGTTCCAGGGGATCTGAATCCCTCTTCTGGTGTCCACAGACATACACTTGGTGTACAGACATACATGCAACAAAAACAGCTATATACATAAAGTAATAAAGTAACTTTCAAAAAGAAGATAAAACAAAGTATTGAGATATTTATTATTTTAAAGTAACAGTATTAACTAAACTCATAAGATCTTGTCTCAAAAAGAAAAAAGAAAAATCCCAGAAGAGTAGCATTGTTTGTGGTCTTGTTAGCTGTCTTTAATTAAAGTATGGCATGGCAGAAGACAGCTAGGTTTTTGTGCTTTGTTCTTTACTTAATCCTGTGATAAATTGCTTGAAATATATGTTGAGAAAAATCTGACTTCATAAAGATACATGGTTAGAAAAGTGAATGGTATTTTAATGACCTTTTCATGTAATTGGGATGTCCTTTGTTTTTATAACACAACTTTTTATGTGGGGTTTCTTAAAAGTTAATTGTAATCCAGAATTGAAATCCTATTAATGAACTTTTTATATTCTATAGTCTAAATTTATACTTTCAAAGATTTTATTCGTTGCCAGGCAGTGGTGGTACATGCCTTTAATCCCAACACTTGGGAGGCAGAGGCAGGCAGATCTCTGTGAGTTAGAGGCCAGCCTGGTCTACAAAGTGAGTGCCAGGATAGGTTCCAAAAGCCACAGCAAAACCCTGTCTCAAAAAACAAAAAAACAAAACAAAACAAAAAAAAAAAAACCAAAACAACAACAAAAAGATTTTGTTTTTATTTTATGTATGTGGATGTTTTACCTTCTTGTATGTGAACCACCTGTTCACAGTACCGTTGAAGGCCAGAAGAGGGCGCCAGATCCTCTGGACCTGGAGTTTTAGACTGCTGTGAACTTGCATGTAGGTGTTGGGTATTGAATCTGGGTTATCCAGAAGAGCAGCCAGTGTTCTTAATTGCTGGGCTCTGCCTGATTTTACGTATGCTGGGGATATAAGTCAGGGCTTCATTCATGCTAGACAAACCCTGCCAACTAAGCTACATCCCCAGTTCTGTATTGAAGTTTTATAGGAGCTTTTGACAGAGTTGGTGATTGCTTTCATTATATAACATTGGGGTGAAGCTCAGTGTTAAGAGCAGATATTGCTCTTGCAGAGGACTTGAGTTTTGTTTTCAGGACCCAGTTATGCTTCTCAAAACCACCATAACTCTAGCTCTAGGTGATCTAAAACCCTAGCTTTCATGGGCACTCCCTGATCTACATGTAATTAAAAATATCTCACAACGCCTCTATATACAAAAACACATATACACATATCTTATCTTCATAAGACACACAAATCATTACTTTGGATTGCTACAGGATAAAAGTATGGAGATAGACTCAGCAGTTAAGAATATCGTATGTACTGCTCTTACAGAGGCCCTGAGTTCAGTTTCCAACACCTACCCAGCTCACAGCCAAGCTGCTTGTGACTTCAGCTTCAGAGGGTCCAAGGCTTCTGGGGGCACACATACACACATACACATAATTGTTTTTACATACACACATACATATAATTGTTTTTCTAGTATGGAGGTGATAAGCCGATGGTTATAAATGTGAAATATTGGAGTCTTTCTGCTGAATGTGGTTTGGGTATGGGAGAAAAATCATAGAAATGACACATGATCATTTTTTTTGTGTGTGTGACTACCAGAAATGGGCTATGATTGGCAGCATGGCTTACATTCTAAGCTTGTGGACATAAATTATCTTTTTTGTAGAGTTTTGTTAATTTGGTCAAATAACTGTGTGATTAAAAACCCTTTGTATCTGGAAATTTACTAGTCCTCCCAGAATTCCTAGAGAATTACCTTTTTGTGCACCAAAGACTATAATTCTGTACATTACTTTAAAGACTTATTTGTGTGTGTGCGCCCGCGCGCCCATGTGTGCTCACACATGTGTGTGTGCCACCAGAGTGTGTGTGTGCCAGGAGAGAGTTTTATCTTCTGGAGCTAGAGTTACAGGCTGCTGTGAGCTATCTGATATGTGTTCTGGAAACCAAATGTGGGTTTCCTGGAACAACAGCAAATGTTCTTGCCCCAGAATTCTGTACTTTAGAGTTTAATTTTAGATTCTTCTTTTAAAATGTTGTGTGTCAGAGGACCACCTGTGGGAGTCTGTTCTCTATTTCTACCTCATGGGTTTTGGGGATTGAACTCAGGTTATCATATTTGGTGGCAAAAGTCTTAACTGCTAAGCTGTCTAACTAGTCTTTGTTTTATCATTAATATCAATTTTTGTAGGTACTTGTCAAGTCCTTTAGTCAGCAAGGACATGACACCAACCCTCTCCAGGCATGATTTTTAAAAACATTTTTTCTGCTTTTTTTTTTAGTTTACTGTTTTATGTGTATGTTTTGCCTTCATGTATGTATGTACACCATGTGTGCCTGGTGTCTGGGGAGGTCAGAAGAGGGTGTCAGATCCTCTGGAACTGGAGTTACAGATGATTGTGTGCTTCATGTGGGTGCTGGGAATTGTACCTGGCTCTTCTGCAAGAGCAACAAGTAATCTTAACCACTGAGCTAACTAACTGTTCAGTACCCCAGGCATGGTATTTTACATCTTGAAAAGGGACATATGCTAAGGTTTTTAGGGCTGTTGAAAGCACCACTGAAGAGCAGACTGTGAAGCTCTGTGCTTATGTTTTTCTGTGATATGAAGCTAGATGGATACCATCTGTTCTTACAGATGAAGCATTATGGGGGGACATTGCATTTTCTCATTGTCTTGACCTGAATTTGTTTCTTGCCTTTCACTGAAGCCAGAATTTTGCAGAGGTCCTTATTTTAGATTCTTGAATACTCATTCATATATATATATATATATATATATATGTATATATATATATGTATGTATGTATGTATGTATATATATACATATATATGTGTGTATGTGTGTGTGTGTGTCTGTCTGTCTGTGTGTTTGTATCTGTCTGTGTGTGTCTGTGTCCTAACACACTGTGGATGAGGTTAGAGGGAAGCTTTCAGGGAGTTGGCTCTCCTTTCACCGTGGGTTCTGGGGATTGAGCTCAGGTTGTTATATGTTACCCACTGAGCCATCTTGCCAGCCATCATGTAATCTGGAGAGAGAGAGAGAGAGAGAGAGAGAGACTGACAGACGGAGAGACAGAGAAAGGAGTGTTCCTGTGCACATGTGTTCATGTGCATGTTCAGATGCATATGTGTGCAGGCTAGAAGACAGCCTTGGGTGTTATTCAGATGCTCTCCACCTTGGGTTTCTCTGAACAAGGTCTGTCATTGGCCTGGAGCTCATCAAGCAGGCTAGGCTGGCTGGCTAGCTAGCCAATGATGGCCAGGGCCCTGCCTGTCTCCACCTTTCATACCCTAGGACAGCTATGACTTCCCTCCATGCCCAGCTTGGTTTATATAGGTTCTGAAGCTCAACCTCAAGTTTTTGTGCTTTCTAGACAACTACTTTAGCAACTGGGCTATGTGCCCAGGCCTCTCCTATTGTTTTTTAAATGGCAGTTATATTTGTACTACAGTTTGATTCTTTGTTGTCTCCAGACACCTGATTTGGAACAGGTGAGCTAAAACTTTGTATCTTCTCTGTTTTTCTAGGCAGATGAAGTAGAGTCATATTTGGAAGATCTCAAAGGGAAAAAAGGCTTGTCTGGGAGATACCAAACATCCTCAAAATTATTTCAGAACTGTAGTGAACTCTATAAAGCACAGGTAACCTCTGACAGTGGTTGGAAGGAAATAGAAGAGGTGAAAAAAAGTAATGTCTGAATTTCTCCTATGTCCATTGTTTATATGCTGGCTCTTTCTTCTAGAAGAGATCTTAATCCTGTTAAGAAGAGCTGCGCTTTCAGTCTGTATTAGCAGCAGATTCTTGTGAACACTACATTGCTGTATTTCTGAATGTTGGATTGGGTAGCTTTGAGTTCATTCATGTTGTGCAGGTGTTGCCACTTTCATCCTGCTAACCTGGACTCATTCAACAGCCACTCATCTCATCTTGCTCCTAGTAGTAATCTGCTAGTCTATTTTTTGTCCCTGTGAATTTGGCAGTCCTGGATACTTCATAGAGGCATTTGATTTTTGTTCTTGATATGAACTCTGTTATAGTATGTACCCAAATTTGATCTCTTTTAGGGCTAAACTCTGTTCTATGTACTTATCTGTTGATGGTCTCTTACCAAAGCAAATTTTAATTCTCTTATTTAGTTGATAGGTCTTCAGATAATCTATTATTATACATATGAAGTCAAAAGGGCATTGCTGCTTTATGGTTGAATTTTATGCCTTGTTTGTGTAAAGAAGAATGTGAATAATGTATATATAGAGGTAAATAATATATATGAGTACATTTATTAATGCTTACATAAATATATAGTCTCATGAATGCATTTTTATTTAAAAATTCTACTCTTTCAAAGTTTGTGAATTTTGTGTATGTGTATGTACATACTGTGTACGTTGGTGGGCTTATCCATCTGTGTACAAGTAGAGGTCAGAGATTGACATTAGGCTGTCTTCTTCATTCACTTTTTTACTTTATTTTATTTTTTGAGACATTGTTGCACCTAGCAACAATTGTTGCACTTAACACTTGCTGTTTTGGGTAGATGGGGTGGCAAGTAAACCCCTGGGATCTACTTGTCTCTGCTTCTTTCATCCTGGGGTTACATACTTATGCCACTGTGCTTGACTTCGTATGTGGTTGCTGTGGCTTCTAACTGGGGTCCTCATGCTTGAGCATCAAGCAATTTTCCCACTGAACGATCACCCAAGCCTGAAGTTCAATTTTTATCTTTTAGAAATAGGAGCTAACACCAGTTTTTGGATGGAAAAATTTTAGACTGTGAAAAAGTTTTAGAGGCATTGAAAATAGGTGATACTGGGGTTTTATTGTTGTTGTTATGTGTTCTGTTTTTGAGGCAAGTTTTTTTCTGTATAGCCCTTGCTGTCCTGGAATTCACTCTGTAGACCAGGCTGCCCTCATAGAGATCCACCTGCCTCTGCCTCCTGAGTGCTGGGAGTAAAGGTGTGCACCACCACCATCTGGCAGTTATTGCTATTGCTATTGTTACTAGTGGCTTCATTTGTTTTTGTTGCATTTGCTTAGAGATTCTTAGCAAACTGCTGTACAGTAACATACAGTTCACCTTAAGATAGGTTTTCTGTCCCGTTACTAGAAGTAATGGATAGAAGACTGTAATTTAATAATAGGCAAATGAATGATGCAATTGATACTTAGATTTTGAGCTTTGTCATAGTTCAAACTTTATAGTATAGGTTGGAAAAGAAAAGTTTTAAGATGGTACAAAATTGATGGCGAACAGAAGTAACTGTGATATTGAGTAATTTATTATCTTTTGTTCTTTAAAATTCATTCCTTCAGCTGGAAGGGTTAGTTGGATTTGATTATGAAAAGCTACTTGCTTCATCCTGTTAATGTTCAGGTGTGTTGTAGTCTTTCCAGAGTCTTCCAGTCTAATGTAAACATTGAATTGCACAATCCAATCACCAAGGAGGGAAAATACCTCAACTACTAATGCCTCATTTTGTTGATTTGAATGAGAGGGACTCTGCTGACCTCATCCACTCAACACACGTGTTTTCTGTCTCAGGCAGACTGGCATTTTGGTTTGCCCTCCTCATGGAAAGACTGGGACAATTAGGGTCATGTTGTGCTCAGCAGGGTTTTCTTCACTATTTGTAATTAATTATAAATTTTGTTGTCTGCCGATGCTGGTATTTTTTACTGTGTTGTATATTTTGCTTTAACCATTTCTATGTATTTTGAACTTTTACTTTTAAAAAAATTATTTATTTATTTATTTTTTATAGAGCTTTTCTGGAGATCTTATGCATCGACTTCCTCTTTTAGGAGAAAAACAGGAGGTAATTATTTTTCCTTACATATTTCTGAGAAGAGTGTAAAAACTGGGAAGTAATTTTCTCTCTTTTCTCCCCCCCCCTTTTTTTTAAATTGAAGGCTAAGGAAAATGGAACAAATCTTACATTTACAGGAGACAAAATTGTAAGTATTTGGACATTTGGGGCACTAGCATATATGTTTGATGTCTAATTAGTTTTCTTGTAGTGTTGTCGCATGTAAGAAGGAAATTAAGACTAGAAACTGCACACTAAAATGGTGGTAATGGTTGTTTCAAAATGATACCATGAGTGGTTTTTATTCTTTGTAGTTTTCTAGATTTTTTTTTTTAACTTTTTATTGATTCTTTGTGGATTTCACATCCTGCATCCTGATCCCGTTTTCTCCTCATCCCTTGCCCTCTATTCTACCCTTGCAACCCCCTCCCCCGTTATAAAATAAACAATAAAAAACTAAACAACAAAAAAAGGCGTGGAAGCTGTGGTCATGAAGTATGCTCTTCAGTCCAGACATCTTTACTTTTAAGTGTTCGCTGCAGTGAGTCATTGATCTGGTTCAAGGCCTCTGGCTGCTGCTACACCTGCAATACTGGGCCCTTGCTGAGACCCCTCTTGGATAGCCTGTTGTTGCTGCCTTGTGTCGTGGAGATCCTGAAGCTTTGGATCTGCAGGTTCAGCCCCTTCACGTGCTCCAGCAGATCATAGATGAGGTGGATGTTGAGGTGGGCCAACCCTGGTTCTGGGCTGGATGGTAGCTGGGTTAGTCTGCCCAAGAGCTTTCTCTTTGTCACCACCAGGGGGAACTCTCCAGAACTGCCCAAGCTAGCTCACCCCTTGCAGCAGGTATCGAGGAGTGGGGCCAGTTCTCCCTCTCAGCTTTATCCAGGCCTGGCTCACCCACACCCACCTCCAAGGCCAGCTCTACTCTGTTGCCCAGATGAGGTGCAGGGCCCTCTCCTAAGTGCTGCAGTTGACGAGGTTCAGGGTCATCTCTTCCACCGGAGATTTCCTTCCTTCCTTCCTTCCTTCCTTCCTTCCTTCCTTCCTTCCTTTTTTATAAAACAATATAGCCTGCATTACCTTGGGAATTCTACCCCTCTGTCAATAAATATTTGTAAACAAGAAGAAAGTAGTTCAAAGAAATTTAAACTCAGTTGGAAATTATCTGTGGTACAATATAATTGGAAGAAATTTTAGAAAATTGAAATAAGGCCAAAAACTAGTTATGATTTTATAAATACAGTTGTGTGAGGCCCATTTATAACTATTTCCTGGGGCTGGAAGAGATTACTCTGCAATTAATAGTGCTGCTGCTCTTCAGAGGACCCAAGTTCTTTTTGGTTGCCAGCATCTGTATGAGCTGGCTCACAACCATCTGTAACTCTAGCCCCAGGTTCCCTTTTCTGGCCTCTACTGGTACTTGCACACACTTGACTGACACATAGACACACATGCACTCATTCACGCGCGTGAGCGTACACACGTACGCACATACACAAGATTTTTTTAAAAGAAGAAATCTATAACTAATTTCCTTAAAAACATTTCTAGTTTAAAGTATAGATGAAATATATAGTTAACCATTTTAGATTATGTTTTTTACAAACCCTTTAAAGTTTTAATTTTATTTTAAGGTTTATTTTTTTATTTATTTGGCAGCGGGGGCGGAGGGGGGATTACTTCACAAAATCTGACTGACTATGCAGCCCAGACAAGCCTCCTAAGTGCTAGGATCTGGCTTATGTTTCTAGTTTTGTAACAGTTTTATTAAGATCTACTATATATCACACGTTCATCCTTTAAAACATGACATTTGATGGGCTTTTAGTGTATTCCCAAGTTACACAATCATCAACTGCTAGCTTTAGAATTCTAAGCTATGAAACTACTATCAGTACCTACTATCAGTCCATACTTCTCCCTTCCCCCAGAGTCTCTCTGTTCTCAGCCACTAAACTTTCCATCTTCCTCCATTTATCTGTTTGAAGCATTTTATATGATGGAATCTTATAATACATTTTATGTGTGACTTCTTTCCCAGTTTAACAATTTCTCCTTAGCTTTTCTTCCTGCCTGCTTAGAGCAGTGAAACCTGCCCAGGGTGAGCGATGAGGGCCTCCTTCTCAGCTCTCCTGGGCCTGTGCATAGCCCTGCACATGTGTGTGGCTGTCTAGATTTCCAGGAATAGTGTAGAGTTCAGATTCCATATAAACTCCCCATTCTGCAACTTTTTTCTTTTAAGGTTTTATTCAGCTTCTTGATAAGTGCAGCTGCTCATGTCAGACCAGGCAGTTGTGGTTATTAATAGCTGCTATTGAGTGGTTTTGTCAAGTGTCCTAACACTGAGTAATTCTGAGTCAGATCAGAAAAAAACCCTTAGATTACAGGATTTTAGCAACTTTCCAGTCAACTCAACTGAATGATCTTTTTAGGGACCTCTAAGCCTTTTTTTTTTTTTTTTAAGTTGTGAGCCTAGCCATTAACAGCTGAGCCATCTCTCCAGCCCCCTCTCTAAGCCTTTTTTAAATGGCTACTGTTACATAGCTTAATCCCAGCATTCAGAGGCAGGCAGGTCTCTGAGTTCCAGGGCAGCCTGGTCTGCATAGTGTTCACTGTTTGTATTATGTATTTTACTGGTTTTGATAGCTGTCTAATGACATTTCTGCCATGATGCTGTTATGGAGAGTAGGTTCAGGGCTCTAAAATTCCCTGTTCTCTGCCTTTTGTCTTTCCATCCTTCCTAGACCTTGACAATCACTGATCATTTTACTGTTTATCTAGTTCTGCATTTTCTGAAATATAATCTGATTATAGTCAGATAACTATATAGCCTTTTCAGATTGGCTTCTCCATAATATGAATGTGAAGTTCCTTTATATATTCTGGTAGTTAGATAACTCGTTGATAACTTGTTTCTTCTTAGAGCTGAATAATATATCTTGTTTGGTTATATCACTAACCTATTGAAGACATCTTGATTGCCTTCAAGTTTGAGCTATAAACATTTGTATGAGGTTTTTGTGAGGATATAGATTTTCAGTTTATTTGGGTGGATGCAAATTGATGATTGTATTGGAAAGGTATGTTCAGTTTATAAGAATTTTTACAGTTTATTACTTGATTAAAAAGACAATGTATTAGAGACAGAATTAGCCATATAGTCTGTCTTTCTCAGAGCATCTCTGTTTAGACATGCAGCTTTCATGGTCTGTTAGATGGGGGAGGGTGTTAGGAGTAAGGTTTTTCCTGCTGGCCTGGACCCACCATGGCGCCAGCCCCAAATAACACACCGAGACTTTGTATTTGATACAATGCTGTTGGCCAGGTACTAGTTTCTTATCGGCTAGCTCTGTCTTAATTATTAACCCATTTCTACTAATCTAAGTATTTCCACGCGGTCTCATCTCATCTTACCTGAGAGTAGGCCCGGACCTCTGTTCTCTCCAGTCTCCCCATGCTGACTCCTACTACTACTTCCTTGAATCCTCCTTGTCTCCTAGACCCACCTATCTTGCTTTCCTATTGGCCAACAGTGCTTTATTCATTAACCAGTATGAGAAACATATTTACAGAATGACATCTCCCATCAGGAGGGTGTACATGTCATGGTGTACAAGTGGAAGTCAGAGGACAGCTTTGTGGAGCTAAGTTTCTCCTCCACCTTTATATGTGTTCTGGGAATCAAAATTAGGTCAGCAGGCTTCTGAAGCAAGATCTTAACTGGTTGAGCCATCTCACTGAAGAAAGAAGCTGCTACATTGCAATGATAGTATATTGTGGTGTTTTGAGTCACTCCTTGCTTCATCAGATCAGGCAGCATAATGGCAACTTCTAGTCCTTGACAGTTTGTTGGTGCCACAGATATAAGTTTAGAATTTACTCACTAATTATGGCTGTGATTTTGTCTGAACTGACAGCTCTCTGGTGAATCTGGTTAAGGACTTGGCTGCATTCTGCCTGACTCAGCATTCCCTAGGCTGAGTGGTATCCTGCTTGTGTTTGCTAAGTGTGTTTAGAGTCAAAAGTTGTGGGTTGCAGTACCATAGGGAAAAGTGGGCAAGCCATAGATAGGGCCACAAAACCTGGAAACACCAAGGCCAGAAGGAGATACCGGGAGGAAGCAAGCTTTGATGGAAAGTTAGGACAGAACCCATGCTTTGAGGAAACATGCCAGCTGCTTTTCTTACTGCACATAAAATGAAGGCTTGATCCAGTCCACAAAAACTAGGACTGGATCTTTTCCCTTACCTTTTTATTTAGCTCCTGATGTTTTAGGAAATCTTGTTAAAATAGTAGCCAGCCTATTATTTTAACCAGCCAGGCTGTAGCTCAGTGGTAGAGTACTTCCCTGGCATGTGTGAGGTCCTAGATTGAGCCTCCAGAACTGAAAACAATGAAAGGAAGGAAGGAGTCAGGCAAGAAAATAAACAAACACAGACACTGGTATCCACACAGGACAATGAATTTAAAATTTACAAAAATAGTTTAGAAAAGCCACTAGGCAAACAAAACTTCAGAACACCCACCCCCTACCCCACCACCATGAGTGAAGGAGCAAGATCTTCTTTCATACACAATGTTCCATTTTCAGTAAACAACTGTGAGCTATACAAAGAGAGGATGGCAAATTTAAATGGAATTTCTAGAAAGTCTTTGAAGACTTTCACACATTAGATATAGGAAAGACTTTGAACTTTTTAAAATGTGCTCAAAAGAATGAAGGGAAAGAATGGACAAAAATGCAAAGGGAAATCAGGAAGAAACAGGTAAAAATTATAAAAAAGGAGTAAGTAAAAATCAAAAAGCTGAGATACATATAGTGATTTATGGCTGTAAATGCCATAAATCAGCACTTGGGAGGCTGAAACAGGAGGGTTCCAATAAGTTTGAAGCCAGCTTAGGATACATGGTGGCACCCTGTCACAAAACAACAGAATGGAAACCATAAGCGGAAAAGAGCATCAACTGAAGTGAAAAGTGATGAGAGGCTGTCACCGTTTGAGCAGGTAGAAGAAGACTGCATCCAGAGGTGGATCAGTCAAAGTTATCCTGTGCAGAGGACTAGGGAGCCAAGTTTGGAAACAGATGAACAAAGCCTTGGAGACCTTAGGTCAGTGTGCACAAAGTGGAAGTCTAAAGAGAAAAGAGGAATAGAGTAATAAACAGTAACCCAACACTTCCTAAATTGAATTTCTAGGATTGGGGTGCTCACAAGGTTTTATGCCTGTAAGTTATAATGTGATTCATTCACAAAAATGAAGTACTAATATGTGCCATCACAGATAATTTTGAAAACTGTGAGACCAGCCAGATGTTAAAGGACAAACACTGACTAATTTATCCCATTGATTTGAAATATCCACAGTAGACAAACCTATGGAAACAGAAAGTAGGTTAGTTGTTTCATGTGGTGATGGGAAAAAGAGATACACTATTACTGCTAATGAACAAAGGTCTACTTTTTTGGGAGGTTAGCAACATTGTGGAGCTGGGCACTGTGGCATGAGTCTAGAGTTCCAGCTACTTAGGAATCTGAAGCTACAGAATTACATAAGCAAAGGGTTAAAGATCAGCCTGAGAGACCTTGTCTCAAAAAAAGTTTTGATGTCACATTCTATTGAATTATGGTATGCTCAGTAACATGGTTAAAATTGTAACGTGAAATTTACTTCAGTTAATAGAATGAAACAGTAGTTAATAACTGGTTATCTGATAGGTTTGTTAAGATAAACATGTAGCAAACATTACATCCCTAACAGTTTGGCATATGGATGCTGCTTTTGCAAGATTAAAAATCTCTAGACCTGGGAGTTGAAAGTATTATATTTATCAAACCCTAGACTATGAAAATTAATCAGTACATTTTGAAATTTATAAGAGGTAGTTTTAAGATGTAAGAAATTAATAGCAGAGCAGTTTATTACACTAATTGGCTAATGACTAAGTTCAGGAAAGGTTCAGTAATTGTGAGTAATAGAACATAGAATGCTTACGCCTTTGAAGTTACACATTTCCCAGCATCCTCATTGAAAAGAGAGACTGGCAGAGATCCAACTATGGTTTCAGCATGACTTGTAGTTGTTACTGAAATAACTAGTGAATGTAGAGTTGAAGGATGTATCTGCTTTCTTGGACTTGGAATTTGTGTCATGGAATCTGTTGCAGTCTAAGTTTCTTCGGGCTGCAGAACATTTTGATTACTAGAGGGAAAGCATGATTCCACAGGGATCAAATGTATCAATGTGTAAAATCTTTTGGTCTTCATTAGGTCAGTAATGCTTACCTGGAGATCTCCGGATAAAACCTTCTCCTTTTAAAAGACCACAGTGTAAGCATGAGTTTCCTGGCCCGGCAGGTCCCTCAGCCCTTGAGACCCAAATGAACACACAGATGCTATATTAATTATGAAACTTCTTATTGGCTAGCTCTATCTTAGTTATTAACCCATAACTATTAATCTATACATTTCCACATGGTCTTGGCTTACTGCAGAATGCCGGACCTGCAACTCCTTTGCCTGCTACATTGTGACTGTTCTGGCAGACTCTCCTGCCAATGTTTCCCAGACTTCTCTTAGTCCCATCTATCTTACTGCAATATTTTTAAAAAATATTCTATCATCTATCCTATCTTTGTGAGTCTAAAGTCTTATACGAAGTTATCTTTTATCATAACTAATGAAAACCATAATTATAACTGTCTTCAACTCCTTCAAAGACCACAGAAAGATAGTATATAAACTCTATAATTGATAGTTCCTCTATAACATTGGAGCATACATCTTCAGCCAAAGGCCACAGTGTGATTGACAGACTTCTCAGTGAAGCAGGAAATTTTAAACTGTCCTGTATTGGCAGTTTGTCAGTCATTTTTTTGTGTCCTGCAGACTGTCTGGCAGACTCTTCCATGAAGCAGGAACCCATCTCGTTTTGGCAAATTCAGCAGTCACTTTCCTATGGGTCCTGTATGACCAATTTAGACAGGATACAGTCAAACAGTCCAGACAAGAGCAGTTTCTTGCCCAAATGGCTATTTCTGTCAGGAGCAAACTCCATAATGAATTTCTTCGATGCTCATCTTCCTCTTGGAAGTAATTGGTGTTTCCAGGAGCAGTTGTGTCTCACTGTCTTGAAAAACCCTAAACTATTTTAAGTGCTATATTCTGTAGGTCTTCGAAAGATTTGAAGACTATCTATTTGAAATATATCTCTGTATATCTAGAAAACATAACTAACATAACTGTAAGTTTTGATTATTATAGGTGACTATAATCTGTATTTATTTATATATTACATTTTAAAAGAGCTGTATAAACCTAAACAGGCATGGAAATATACATATAATAAAATTGACCTTAAATTTGTATCAATAAATGAAAATCCATCCCAATACAAAGTATTCATTTCAATATCATATTCTCCTTTTTTCCTTTAAAACGAGATTGCCTGTGATCCTTAACCATTTATAACCAGCCCAATTAAATTAAAATGAACATTTATAAATAATATTTGGTAATGTGGACATTGCTCACTCCAAACTGCTTCCTACTGTTTGGGGGTGCTGTCAGAAACCATGGGGATCATGAGAAAACAGAAACCTGGCCAAAATTCTGTCTTTGCTTGCACCTTTTGGAAGTTGCTTGTTTGCACTTCCTGCCTACCCTAGTAATGTTATCTTCCTTCTCAGGTCTTTGAAGAGTTTGAAGAATAGACTGTCACAGCTATTGCCTCTCTTCTTAGATAGAAATAGTAGGTACAAGATTTAAAATTTCCAATTTAGGACAGCTTTGTAGTAATCTCTGTTTGCCTTTACCCTGCAATTGGATATGTAGTTCATGCCAATTGCTCTATGTTGCTTCACTGGCAGTAGGTCTTAAATTGTGTATGTTTTACCTTTCCTTCTCCTAGAGCATACTTGATATTTGCTGTCAGTGTCTTATTTTTGTATCGAGTCTAAACCTTCTTCTTTAGACTAAAAGGGCAATTGTAGCGATATATTTGCCTGGGCATCTGTAACAGTGGCCATGCCTTTTGGGTGCAGACCTGACTGGTTAAAGGGGAAGGATTGAGATTGGGCAGGTGGGGGGGAGCTGGAATGGAGGAGAGCATCAAGGAGGCAGGGCTGCATCCTTGGAGCAGGAATGCTGCAACAGTCACTTACTGTTTTCTGTGTAAGTTCTTCTACCAGTATAATCATTTATACTGGGTCTGGTGAATCCTTAATTTCCATGCCTTCACCATAGTAACTAATTGCAGGTCTAAATAGCGGTGTTTCCTTTCACAGATGAAGAGACCAATGGCTTTCCTCTGTGGTAAGCTCCAGTGCTTTCTTACTGAGCCAGGGTCTCCTGATATGGTTGGAAATTAAAGTCAGGTCGGGTTGGAGAGGTCTCACCAAGACTGAGGCTGAGACATGTTTATTGTAAGCAATCAGACTTTTTATACCCTTATCAGAAACAGAATATAATGGTGGTTGTCAAGAAGAATGCAGTTGTAGTTGCCAGAATACAGTGATGTTTGCAAGCTATTCAGGGTATACAAGATTAATATCTAAGACTAATTCTGTCAAACTTCTATATGCTTCAGTGGCTTCTAGGGAATGCAGAGATGCACAGGTGGTCTGGATGCTTCACTGCCTCAGGGGATACCTGGGTTTCTTAGGAACTGAAAGGCACACAGTTCCCCAGGAGCCACAGACTCCAATCTGAAAAACTGATTGATGCCTCTTTTTTTTTTTTTTTTTGAGGGGGGCTCAAGACAGGGTTTTTCTGTAGCTTTGGAGCCTAGCCTGGAACTTGCTCTGTAGACCAGGCTGGCCTGGAACTCACAGAGATCAGCCTGCCTCTGCTGGGATTAAAGGTGTGCACCACCACCAACCAGCCAGTGCATATCTCTTAAGGCAGCTAGACCAGGCCAACTCCGTGGTTCCCTGCACCTTCATATCTCCTTTATCTTTACATTTTAATCTTGTTTGTAAAGACTCTTGAGCAAAGACTATTAACTTCCTTGACTTTAAAGAGGCAGTGGTTTAAAGAGGCAGAAATCACTATCTTCCTGCCTAGAGTAAGTCAAGGTGAAAGTTTTTATTTACATGTGAGGCCATGTCAGTATAGAGTCTGTTTGGAAAAGGGAATTTGTTTTAGGAGAGAGTGTGTTTATACTCATATATGTAGATTTTTTTTTCTGTACTTGACATCAAGGATGTTTTTATGTGATATAATCTTAATTTTAAATTAATTTCATAATATATTAAGTATAATTATCCTAGCATGAGTTAGAGATTAAACTCAATGATTTTTAATTGTGGTCTTTCTTTGTAAAAAATAGTTATATTAAATGTAGACCTTTGTGTGGCAAGAATACAAAGGACTGTATTTTATCAATTCATGATCTTCCTACTTTGCCATGTGCTCCATGTGCTTGTCTTGCTTATGATGGCTGTTTGAATGAACGAAAGCTGAAGTACTCCACTTCATTTCTGGGCATACTGTATTATTAACTTGCGTTTGGAATTCTTGAGACTTGAAGTTTTGATGCCCCCTTTTCCTCCCTAGGCATTGCATGAACCATTGCAGACTTGGCAAGATGCACCATACATCTTTATTGTTCACGTTGGCATTTCATCTTCAAAGGAATCACTAAAAGAAAATGCACTGAGTAATCTTTTTACCAGTAAGTTCAATTCATAGCTTTTAAAATAGCTGATTTCTATTTCTTTTATGCATGATTGATATGAAATGGGAAAATGAAAAATATTTTTTTCCTCTAGGCACAACCCACACACTTTCTATGGATCAGATACTTGGCTTTATTTTACTTTCTTTGGCTTTCATGCTATGATTATTTTTAGTGTTCTTTATTATTTTGAAGTAGACTTTTCAAAACTTGATTTCAACTTATCATCAATAATTTCTTAATATCAGGTTTTTCTTTTTTTAAGATTATTTTAAAATTAATGTGTCAAAAAATAAAATAAAATTATGTGTCTAGGTGCAATTATGTCCATGTGAGTTCAGGATTCTGTACTGGAGTTACAGATTGCTGTAAGCCTCCTGTAGGATCTGAACTTGAGTCTTCTGGGAATAAGCGTTTGTACTCTCACCTGCTGAGCCGTCTTTCCAGTTCCTCAAGAATTTTCTTATTTTCCTTCTGTAGCTACATAACTCTCAGACATTTTACCTTTTACCTTGAATTTTGTACTGCCTGTTGTAGTTCCTGTGGTTTCCATTTTTGGTTTAATTTGTACGTGTAGTTTCCCTATTCTTGCTTTCTCAGTCGATCATTGAGTAGACAGAATGGTCGCAGCCATCCCTGCCTTAACCTCTGACTTTATTGGTACATTTCACCATTAAATAATACTGTTTACTATAGATTTTTTTTTTCTTAAAATACTTTTATTTGGATAAGGAAGTCCTTGTTTCCAAATTATTTTTGTCTTTTTTTTTTTAATACTAAGAAAGAATGAAATGGCTTAATTGTATATGGATTAAAATTATCACATAGGCCATACATGGTGGCATTCATCTGTATAACCCTAATACTCCAGAGCCCCAGGCAAGAGAATCTCAGAGATACCTAGCAAGTTCTAGGACAGCCCAGGCTTAATTATGAGATTCTGTCTCAAAAAAAAGATCATATAAGCCTTTTTGTTTAGATGATAATTGTAGTAACTGGTTTCCAGTTTGGAACCATTCTTTAGTTTTTGCTTTTTCTTAATAGTATACACAAACATACCCATGCCTTCTTATTCACATACATTGTTGGATTCCTTTTGTTTATGTAAGTCTATGTTCAAGATAAGTTGAACTATAATTTTCTTTTCTCACCCTATCATTCACCTATTTGGCATCCAAATTATAATAACGACATATAGTGAATTGGAGAATGTCTCTATTTTTATATTCTGCAAACAGTTTTAAAGAGTAAACTCACTGGTTTCTTCTGTTAGAATTTTTCTTATATTACTTACAATCAGATTCTCTGTGTCTACCAGCTGCTGTAGGTTTTCTTTAATGGCAAAAAGTTTTTATTCTAGTTCTTTCCCCTCATATCAGAGGTGTGCATGTTTTGAGAAAGTATTGATTGCATTCAAGATTTCAAATTTATTGACAAGTTTTTTCATATTTCTTTACAAGTACTTGTGTCCGTTCCTTTTTATAATCTTTAATAATGCTAGGGTGGTGGGTACACATAACTCCAGCAATCTAGAGGTGGAGGCAGAAGGATCAAGGAGTTCAAGGCCATCCTTGGCAACAGGGTGAATTTGAGGCCAGCTTGGAGTATATGAGACCCTGTTACAAATCCCCAGAAATGACGGGTTGGAGAGATGGCTCAGTCAGTAAAGTACTTATGAGGGACTGAGTTTGGATTTCTATCCCCCACCTTAAAAGTTGGCACAGTGGTGAAGCTCTATAATTCCAGCCCAAGAGAGGCAGAGACAGTTAGATCCCTGGAGCTGCTGGCCAGCCAGCATAGCTGGGGAGTGCCAGGTTCAGTCAGAGGCTCTGTCTCAAAATTTAAGATGGAGGACTCTGTCTTCCACATGTGTGTGCATGTTTACACATGACATGTACACACATATATCACATACACATAAGACCACGACTTATATAAATAATAGTCTTATAATATTGCTTATATGTTCTTTAGCTTGTTAAATCTCCATGGAATTTTATTTTTCTCCCAGTGGACTAGCTTTGGCTTTGTTAATTTTCCCAGCCATTTTGTGTATTTCATTGACTTTTCTTACTTGACTCATTTTTAAATTTTTATGATCCTTACGTTGAGTCATTAATTCCCAATTCAAAAATGGATTTTGCTTTATTCCATCATGATATGGGGTATGACAGTCTAGGCAAACCAGGTAGTGACCCGACATAATTTCTGAACCTTGGAATATGTGTTTCTCTAGGTTAGTGGTTCTCAACTTTTTTTGATTTGTGTTTGGGACAGGATCTGGCTGTATAGTCCAGGTTGGCTTCAGACTTGCAACAGTCCTCCTTCCCCAGCTTCCTAAATGCTGAGAGTATAAATCTGTGCCACCACATGTGACTTCATCTTCTCTTTAAAACCTTTGATGGAGCCTGATGTCAAAGGGGTGGCTCCTTTGAGTTTCAGGTACTCTGATTACAGTCATGCACCAAACCCAACTAAGTCAGACTTTAAATTACCATCATTACTAAAATTTATTCAACTCCTTTATCAGTGAGTTTTTAAACCATCAGCCTTTTATTGAGACAGGGTCTCCTGGCTCAGATTGGTTTCAAACTTCCCCTGTACTCTCGTTCCTGCTGCTTCTCCTTCCAGATGCTTGGACTGTAGTCATGTACCAGCATGACTGGCTCAAAACAGTTAATCTTATGCTCGTTGGAGTTGCTTCAAAGAGGCAAATTTCTCTGATTCACCTTGTAGATAGTACTTTTGTTGTTGTTCCTTAAATGCTGTTTATTAGTCAGGTTTTTGCAAAATCTTTGTTAGCAAGTTCTGGGAGAGGTCAGTTTGGATTTGATAAATGGTGCTGTGCCTTGTCTGAACTTGTGGGTTCTTATTGATTTTGTTAGCTTTGGCTTTCATTCTTGAGTGAGGGCTCTGCTTATATAATTAAGAAACTGATGGATTGTCTTAATATCTTATTTTACCAGGAATGGTGTATACTTGTATAAATCATTATGAATTTTAAGCTTTTAAAAAAGTACTCTCATTTTGAAGGTAATACTTATTTTGCAAGATCATAAAAGATAAGTAAATAATTAGGGAAATATAGTAAAGATGAACAAAAGACAAGAATATTAGGGATGCATTGTAAGAAGTGTACCAAGAACATTTGGAATCGTTTTAGATGGGTAGCTCAGGGATGGGTTTGTGAAGGAATGTCAGTCAGTCTAGTCTTTGAAGAATGTGAGTATGGCACTGAGGAGATATTCTGTAAAGTACTTGTGAAGTGTTTATAAGGAGGACCCCAGTTCTATTCCCAGAACTCATAGGTTAAAAAGTTAGCTGTGGTACTACATGCTTGTAATCACAGCACTGGGGAGGCAAAGTTAGGCAGGATCCCTTGGGCTTACTGACCAGCCAGCCTACCCTACTTGGTGCTTTCTAGGCCAATGAGAGACCTGTCTCAAAAAGAAGGTAGTGAGGGAAGCAGGCATAGCACCTGAAGAATGATACAGGTTTCTGGACTCCACAAACATGGACACACAAATGCTTTCTAACGTGTACAAGTGCATTGTACACACACAGAGAGAATATGAATCTGGGAAGGGACTTTGCCACTTAAGACTAGAGTGTGAGCCAGGCATAGTGGTGTACTTTAATCCTTTAATCCTATCCCTTAGGAGGCAGAGGCAGGTGGATCTCTGTGAGTTTCAGTTCAACCTGGTCTAGTGAGTTCCATGACAGCCAGGGCTACATAGTGAGATCTTAATCTTGAAAACAAACGAAAGTACTAGGTTGTGGATGACCCATGAGTCTAATTCATGGATTTCAAAGTTACTGTATCTATCTAATGTACTATTCACCATGGCTGAAGTGCTTAAAAGTGAGTTGATGAAACTTTTGCTAATTGAATAAAGTAAACATTAATCAGGGTTTTTGTTTAATTACTGAATCTATCCAATTAATCAAGGCCTGTGTTTTGCCAGTGATTGTTGAAGTAAAGGGTCCTTATGAGTACCTCACTCTTGAAGACTACCCACTGATGATCGTAAGTCAATATGTGCCTTCAACCTTGGCAATAAGTTAATTTAGTATGAAATTTAATTTCGCATGAAATTGTCTATTTTGTAGCACTGTCTCATTAAAAGATTATTACTATGCCATTCAAAAAATTTTAGTCGAGGTTTGGTGTTAACTTTTTTCTTTTTAAATTAGATTTTCTTATATTGTGAATGTGAATGTTTTGCCTGTTTGATTGTTTTCCACATGAGAAGCTAGTGCCTGCAGAGATCAGATGAAGGCATTGGACGGATATACTGAAACTACGGTTAAGGATGGTTGTGAGCCCCCATGTGGGTGTTGGGAGTTGAATCCAAGTCCTCTGCAAGAGCAGTAAGTGCTGAGACATCTCCCCAGACAGTGATCTTGAGAGAGTTAGTGCAACCCTGTGGGCCTTGTTTAATATGTAAAATGAAAAGGTCAGTGACTATTGTAGACTTGGAAAGTACCTCAGTGACCACCTCACAACTCACATCTGGGCTCTGAGCAGGCCGTACCTTGCTGTAATCTTGCTTTGAGCCCACTGATAGTGATGAAAGGATGACTCTTCATTATTTGAGTTTGCAGACTGTGTGTGAGCCTGTGCTGAGAGAGCCTTGGTCTATTTGCAGACTTCTCTTCAAAATTGTTCTCTCTTTCATTCCTTTAATAGTTTCCCATTTTAGTTCTGCTCCATTGCCTCGTGATTCTGCATCCCAGCTTGTCAGGCCTACTTTTTCTTCACTGTTTTTTTTTTTTTTTTTCCTTTTATCACTGGATTGTGAGCTAAAAAAGCCCAGTTAATGCAAGGAGCGGACATTCTTGAGGATAAGTCTTTCTGTAGTCTGCCTCTCTTCAAGACTAGATCGTTCTTTCTTGTTTCTTAGTATTATATACTAGAGATGCATATTTTTTTTTGTGTGTGTGGTTTGTTATACTGTATGTTGATTTTAAATCTAAATACTTGGTTCTTGGTCCTAATTCTCTTTTTTATTTCACTCCCAATTGGATCACAGTTTTTCATGGTGATGTGTATTGTGTACGTTCTGTTTGGTGTTCTTTGGCTGGCATGGTCTGCTTGCTACTGGAGAGATCTGCTGAGAATTCAGTTTTGGATTGGTGCTGTCATCTTTCTGGGAATGTTTGAGAAAGCTGTGTTTTATGCAGAATTTCAGAATATCCGATACAAAGGAGAATCTGGTATGTTAAAAATGTTTTTTAGATTACCTGTATTTGTGGGCGGGTTGGGGGAGTGGGAGTTATATGCACATAAGTACAGCTGCCTGTGATCCCCGTAGAACCAAAGTTATAGGCATTTGTGGGTCAACCAGAGTGAATGTTGGGAACCACTTAACTCTTCTTTCTGTAAGAGCAGTACAAATTCCTAACTGCTGAGCCATCTCTTCAACCCCAAATTTGCCATATTTTGATGATGGATGAGAAGCATGTCAACTTCTGTCAGGTCAGCAGTAGTTACATAGATCTGCTTTTCAAAAGTTACTTATTAAAATAACCAAAGCAGAATCACTGTCATCGTGACTTTTCCTCATATTTCAGGGGCACAATGATACAAGAGTAATTTTGTTAAAACACAAAATTATTTAGGAAATGATTAACATATCTCTTAAATCCCAATTATGGTTGATGTCCAAGCCACCATTAAGAAAGAAAGTAAACAATGCCAATTTAATTGTAAGATGGCACCGACTGCCAGACACATAGATTTTTGTTCCTGTGGGGGGGGGGGTGGGGAATGTATTTTAGAGTTGATAGAAATATAGTGATACCAAGAAAATGGGAAGATACTTGTGGTTTACTAAGTTTGACTGCTTATTACAAATTACTTGGTATTGTAAATTATTGAGATAGTTTTCTCTCAGACTATTCATTAGTAATTTTCGTTGCAAGATATGCTTATTAGATATTTCTTGGGTCTTTCGAAAGACTTGAAAAATAGAAAATGTGACGTTGAAAACTATGTATCAGCACTAGGATATATGTGTGTGCTTTCCATGTATAGCGTATTTCAGTTTGCAAAAAAAAAGTAGTAGAGCAATTCCCTTGATATTACAAACTTGTCTTTATAGGGTAAGATATTCTACTAAGGTTTTAGGGAAGTTTGGATGAGTTGATGAGTGAACACATCCAGATTAAGTTCATTAGTGATATTAGCTGTGTGCTTATACAAATTGTGCAAGAGATATTCTTTCTTGAGTAAGTCTGACACTTGTGCTCATTCTAAAAAGTGTTAAGAGACGTATATTTTGGTAGTGGGATTGGTGAAACTGGAGTATATCACCATGTCTCCCTTTTTTTCACATAGTCCAGGATGCCTTGGTCCTTGCAGAGCTGCTGTCAGCAGTGAAACGCTCACTGGCTCGAACCTTGGTCATCATAGTCAGTCTGGGATATGGCATAGTCAAGTGAGTAACACCTGTGAGTGAAAATGCCTATTAGATTGAAACGTTTGCCACCTAGACAGTGCTGGTCCTGAAAAAGTTGTTAAAAGAAATATAGTGAGATTTAAAAAAAAAAAGTCTGAAATGTCATATCAGTTTTAAGTGTTAGAAATGCTACTTCACATCTTCTTAAAAACTCACAGTGTGCCTGCAAAAAAAAAATCTGCTGTGAGGCAACTAGTGCAGAAAAACCAAACTTTCACGATGAACTTAGTGCCTTTGAAACTGTTCTTGCAAGTCATATTTTTAAAAATAGATTTATTTAGTGTGTGTGTGTGTGTGTGTGTGTGTGTGTGTGTGTGTGTGTGTGTGTGTGTGTGTGTGTACACCTGCTACCTGTGGAGGGTCCCCTAGAATTGGAGTTCCATATAGTTGTGAGCCACCATGAAAATGCTGGGAATCAAACTTTGGTGTTCTGCAAGATAACAAGTGGTGAGCATCTAAACTGCTGAGCATCTCTCCAACCCACAAATTAGGTTTTTCATCAAATGAATATTCTTACTATAATTATCCTAAATTTTTTCTAGTTAAAAAAAAAAAAAAAAAAACCATTATTGAAGCATGCAGTACTATAGTCAGCGTGTAGTTCACTGCTCCTTGCAGTGAACTCAACAAATTCTTCCTCAGCCAAAGAATATCAAGTCCTTCCATTTACCAGGTACTCATTGTTCTAAGCCTCTGGTCTACAACAAATAAAAGATCTGGGTTTTACATTTGTGGAGGAAGGGAACACAGACAAAATTGAAGTAAATGAGTTAAATATCTAATACGTCAATGGAAGGTGCTGTAATTTATAGGAAAGGGCATCAAGGTGTTAGAACTTGGAGCTATAAATAGTGTAGCCAGGAAGGTTCACTTAGTGACTTCGAAACAAAGATTGGAGGAAAGCAAAGGGACTGTCAGTTCACCTAGAGGATGAGATTCTGGGGTATAATTGGATCCTGTGCATGCTTTGAAGGTTGAGCCAGTGGAGTTCCATGATGGTCACATGTGAAATGTAGAGGAGAGGAGGAACTGAGGGTGGTGCCGACTGGTGGTCTGCTCATGTGACTTGCTGCTTCTGTACTCACTTGTCTCTTTGCTTCCATTGTAGGCCTCGCCTTGGAGTCACTCTTCACAAGGTTGTGGTGGCAGGAGCTCTCTATCTTTTGTTCTCTGGCATGGAAGGAGTCCTCAGAGTTACAGGGGTCAGTATTGCCTAGACTGAAGTACTTATTTATTTTATTTTTTTCTTAGTCTGAATTTTTATGGTCAGATAGTGTTATGTTTCTGTTCTGAGTCAGTTAGTGGGCTGCTTGCTCTTCTGTCACCCGCGGGCTCTGATGTTTAGGTGAAGTGCTAGGATCAGGAGTATTTCAGACTTGAGAATTTTTTGATTTTAGGGTGTTTACATAGAACCTATTAGTTGAGCATTCCTTAATCTAGAAGTCCAACACTAGAAATCCTTCAAAAATCTCAAAACTTTGGGTGTTGTGGGCTTGGAGTTTTGAATTAGGGATGCTCAGCCTACATAGTTCAATTTTGCTAATCTCATCTATTAGAGCTTCATAAATTTAGTGTGTGATCTGTAGTATTTTTTTCTATTTGTCCCAGATGGATAATTATTTGGTTCTTTTCCCGGTTTACGCATTCATTGAATCAAAAGCAACAGTGTTTTCTACTTACCCAGAACTTAAATGTAAAAGCTTAAATGCAATTATAGTCCATTGCCAAGGAAGGAAAAAGTAGGCCTTCCTGGACCTTTACAGTTATCTCATTTAGTAAATCAATCAGATTCTGTCATAACCCATTAGATTCAAAGTGTTCAATTCTGTACATGTGGTTTTGCCCTTGACATTTCCCCTTCCATATAATACTTCATAAATATAAATTTGTTTTTCAAACCACCTCGTCCCTTATGTGCAATCTCTGTAGATATTTAGTGACTTTAACCCTCTATCAATTTCACATTCTCTCTTCTGCCATTGCTGTAGTATTTTTCTTACTCCTTGGCTCTGATAGTAAGCCTGGCCCTCTCTGCAGTTGATGCCTGTATTATTTTATGGATATCCTTTAATAATTCTTTGGTGATTGGGCTGTTAGAATTATGTACAAAGCAGCTTAGAGGCAAACTTGTAGAAGTTAGGAAAGATGCTTTGGGGAAAGATGATTACTTTCATTTTAGTTTAGGGTAAGCTATTATTGGTAAAATTTCATCATATTACTCTGAGAATCAATAATTCTTAGAATGTTAATTATGCAATAATTATCTAAAATGTGAGAGCTATCTTTTTAGGATTTTAGTATAAAAATAACAGGAAAGCAAGATGGGATGGGGTTATAAATACAAGAACTTTTGTGTTGTTCTTTCTCTCTCTTTTAAGATTTATTTAATGTACGCCAGTGTTTTGCCTATCTGGGTGCTAGAAATTGAACCCGGGTCCTCTGGAAAAGCAGCCAGTGCTCGTAACTGCCGAGCCATCTCTCCAGCCTTGTGTCCTTCTCTTACATGGTATTATAGCAGTTTCTTTGAACTGAGAAGAATTGACAGTAGTGAATCATTTATAGCTGTATGCTGTCTGCAGGTATACAAGAATGGAGGAGTGTTTATTTGTTTGGTGCTAGTCCGACTTGTGGTTTTCTTCGGTTTGTATGTAAACCCATTGCAGCTGTCAGCATAAATGCCGAACCATGTGCTGGTTTCTTCTCTTGCCTCTCTGTTCATCTGTTTTCACACCTCTTTTTCTTTGTCTGCAGGCCCAGACTGATCTTGCTTCCTTGGCCTTTATACCCTTGGCTTTCCTAGACACTGCCCTGTGCTGGTGGATATCCTTCTCATTGGCTCATTTGATGGCAGTTCACTTTCTCCCTTTGGAGATGGGTTTCCATTAATCTTTCTGTTGATTTCTCCTTAATCTGGGAAGTGGTTTATTTTATATATTAACAGTCTGAGGGCTCAGGTAAGCAATTTTGTTTGTTTTGTTTTGTCATTCTTAAAAAATCACAGAATTTGGTTGCTAAGCATGAGATCAAAGCTTCTTCTCTCTCTCTCTCTCTCTCTCTCTCTCTCTCTCTCTCTCTCTCTCTCTCTCTCTCTCTCTGTCTCTTTCATTTCTCTGTGTAGCTCAGGCTGGCCTCAAACTCATAGAAATCCATCTACTTTGCCTCCCAAGCACTGGGATTAAAGGCGTGCACCACTACCACCTAGCTTTTTGTTTGTTTTGTTTTATTGCTTTCTTTTTTTTTAAATGGACCTCTCACCTTGATTTTGGATTTATTGTTTGTTCATCTCTCTTTGTATTAGAATCATTTGCTGTTCTGGTTCTGCTTTTTCTTTTAGTCTTTACCAACTATGAAATTCTTTGACACCTGTGAAAAGAGTTTGATCCCCAAAATGTGTTTAGGAACCACTTAAGGGGTTTGGACCTCCTACATCTCTTAAGTAGGATGAGCAGGCTTCAGCCCTCAAAAGGTTAAATTTGTTCTTTCACTTAGAAGTTGCCTCACTCTTCAGAGCAAATATTGATTCACTCACAAAAATGGCAGCAAATAAACAAGTTTCAATGCTTCTCCCTTAAACATTTGTTAGAAGGAACTTGACCTCTTGGGCTCACGTTTTGGATTTTATCTTATAGGGCTATTTAAATTTGATTTTTCTTTATGTATAAGAGTAAATGTGTAATTGTGCAGTATTTTTGTCCTGTAACTTTTTGAATTTGAGTATATTGCCATATAACAAAAAAAGACTGTAATTCAGGTGTCTGAGTTCAGACCACTATCTGCCAAGTAGTGTGATCTGTGAGTACTAGGATAGTGAAGGGTAAAGTGGGCTAAGGTATCAGGGTGAGCTCTGATAAGGCATGGTAAGCTCTACTCCCTTAATTTCTCTTATTTCTATTTTTTAAGATATAATTTTTAATTATTATACATTGTGCATATGAGTACATTGCCTGCAGAGTCCAGAAAGGGGCTGCTGGGTCCCCTCCAATTGGACTTACAGGCTGTTGTAAGCTATCTGATGTGGGTGCTGGTTTTTTGCAAGAGCAGTATATAGTCTTAACTGCTGAGCCAACTCTCCAGGCCCTTTATACTTTATTTTTTAATTTCTGTCTGTTGGGGAGTGCATGACACAGTATATGAAGGTCAGAGGACACCTTCCTAGAGAATTCTCTCCTACTGCCTTTATATAGGTTCTGGAGCTGGAGCTCAGGTTCTAGGCTTGATTGCTGGATGGTGAGCCATCTCATCGTCCCCAGCTCCTTCATTTGTATATCTGAGAGCAGGCATCATCTGTAGTAGTCATAGTTCCCTTTTGTCTTTCCATGAGAACTCTTATTTGGGAATGATGTTCTTAAAATGAAGCCTCACCACTTTGGTAGCCTGGGACTCTCAGACAATTGTTGGTCCTTTTGGTTAATTCACAGTGTGGACAGTTGATGTCACTACTTGGGACCGGAGTATAGAACTCTGGGAAGCTGTGGGCATAGTGTTATTGTGATCTTGTAGTGGATTAGCTGGGCCATATAGAGTCTTCCACCTTAAAGTGAGGTGGTGTTACATCATCCCTTGTATGTTACTTTCTTATTTCCATTTGCCTGTTTTTATTTTTATTTTTTCCATCTTTTAAAAATTTCTTTGTTTTCCTGTATTTTCCTCTTCCTTCATCATTCGCACCCTCATTCTGTAGTCTTTTCTGTGTCTTATTGAAATGATAACTTTTTCATTAATCATGGTGAGGTTAGAGTGTTTGTGAGAATAAGTGAAAACAAGAGCCATAAGATCACTAAAATCTGTAACTTTACAAGTATGACCTAGGTCCTAAAACCTAAGAATTTATTTTCCTTTTTGAATGTTTAATTCCTTGACTTGCAAACACATATTCATTAGCCTTACTCAAACTATGAAGCTATTAAAACTTCGGAGGAACATTGTAAAGCTCTCTTTGTACCGACATTTCACCAATACGCTTATCTTAGCAGTGGCAGGTAAGTTTGGAATTTTTAAATGTTGCATCATGATCCTGTGATTTCCTTTAGAACAGGAATTTTGTTTATTTTTTATTTTATTACTATTTTTTATTTGAATAGTGTTTTGCCTGCATGTATCTATGTACCACACCTGTGCCTGTTGTAGAGTCAGAAGGTAGTGTCAGATCCCCTGGAACTGGACTTACGGACAGTTTAGGTGCTAATAACTGAACGTGGGTCCTCTGGAAAAGCAACCAGTGCTCTTAACTGCTAAGCCATATCTCCGGCCCCCACAACAGAAATTCTTAGCCTGACAGGGCTATTGTTTGTTATGGAAAGTTTTGTTTTTCATTTAAGGAATGCAGTCATAATTCTAATCAAATTTTCTAAAAGATTTATGATATTTTTAAAAAGGTTAAGAGTTGGGAAGGTGGCTCAGCCAAATGGTTGCTATGTAAGTGTAAGGACAACAATTCAGATCCCTAGTTCTCATGTGGAAAAGCCAGGTGTGGGTTTAGGGAGGTGGCTCAAAAAATGAGTTGGAGGAGTGGTTGTCACTACCCTCCAAGCTTCATCATGCTGCCTAAGATGATAAGAAGTCGGCCAGAAAGTCGGCCAAGAAAGACAAAGACCCAGTAAATAAGTCTGGTGGCAAGGCCAGAAAAAAAAAAAAAACCAAAGGCAAAGTTTGGTCGGGACAAGCTCAACAAGCTGGTCCTGTTTGACAAAGCTACATACAACAAGCTCTGTGAGTAAATGCCCAATCATAAGCTTATTACTCCAGTCTCTGAGAAACTGAAGATTTGAGGTTCCTTGGCCAGGGTATCCCTTCAGGAGCTACTTAGTAAAGGACTTGTCAAGCTGGTTTCAAAGCACAGAGCCCATGTAGTTTACACTAGAAACAAAGGGTGGCAATGCCCCAGCTGCTGTTGAAGATGCACAATCAGCTATACATTTGGAAAAGTAAAACTTTATTAATAGAAATAATAAGTTGGATAAGGAAAAAAATTATTCTGATAATGCTAATAAAGTTAGCATATGTTCCATCATTAGCTTCTATTCTAGTTCTGGAGGTTACTGAAGTAGCCAGATGGTAAAGACAAAATGATTGCAAAACTGTACTTTACAGAAAATGTTGGTTGTAGTATGTATTATGAGCCTTGCTTGTGGTAGGTGTTTAACAAATTTATTTTGAAAATAACTAAGTGATATTAATATTTTGGGGTCAGGAATATGGAATTTTACTTTTTTAAGGTCATCAAATATAACTGGGGATATAAACAGCCATTCATTATCTGACCAGGTTTTCCTTTTCATGCTAGCATCTATCGTGTTCATCATCTGGACAACCATGAAATTCAGAATAGTGACTTGCCAGTCGGTAAGTTATGAACACTGTGGTTAGGAGTGTGATAATGTTGATATAGTCCAAGATTCTTAGACAGCATAAGAATTTAAGTCTAGGTCTCTACCCTTAAGTATTCAGTGCTGCCATGTTGTGTGATGTGCTTGTATTTGTTAATGTATTGGTCCTAGGGATTGAACCCAGGCCCTTGTGCATACTAGGCAGGAGCTTTGGTACTAAGCCACACTCCCAGCCCGTCTTGGTGTGTTTTATATGATCATACTTGTCATAGAAAAGAATTCTGTGTATGGTAACCACAGCCTGTCATATTGCAAGCTTGCTCTAACTCAAAATCTCAAGAAGTGCCAAACTTCATGTGTAAATGATTCCTATGGATGGATCTAGATAGAGACTGTGGCCAGTAGGGTTTCTGTGGAGATAGACGGAGCTCTCTTTTGGCCATACTGATAAGTGACAGATGACAGCCATACAATTAGCAGTAAGTCCAGGCATGATGGCACACAATTTTAATCCACTAGGACTAGAAATCTAAACCTAGAGCTGGGTTTAGTCCTTTAGTCCCAGGACTCAAGGCAGATGCAGGAAGATTTGTGTGAATTCAAGGCCAGCCTAGACTATGAAGCCTGGGTTGTTATACAAAGAAACCCTGTCTTGAATAACCAAAAAAAGAAAAAGAAATTTAAGCCTAAACCAGGTGTAGTATCACACATCTTTAATCCCAGTACTTGAGATGCAGAGAAAGGTAGGTCTCTCTGAGTTTGAGGCCAGTCTGGTCAAAAACAATAAATAAATATAATTTAAAAATTAGCAGCCAAATATTACTTTCCTTGAGGATTCTGTGAGCTGTGACACTTGACAGGTACTCTGTGCAACTCGTTGGTGCCTTTGCCCTAGCAACAGGAGGCACTGTTGCTTCTTTCTAAGCCTATAGTCCCAGCACTTGCCAGGTGCCTAGTACAGTAGCTTTTAATAAATACATTGTGAACAGTGATAATATACATAAACTATTGCACATTTCCCTCTTGCAGGACTGGCGGGAGCTGTGGGTGGATGATGCCATTTGGCGGTTACTGTTTTCCATGATCCTCTTTGTCATCATGATTCTGTGGCGACCATCAGCAAATAACCAGAGGTACTGGGACTCTATTCTGCTACCAGAGTGACCATGCTGTCAGATAGCGGTGGTATATTAGGGACAGTGTCAGGTCTGGGTTGCATAGTGGATTGGGTAGAAGTGCTCCTTCAGCTCTTCCATGAACTTGCTTTGTGGTTCTAGCATGCTGTCTCTTTTACTTCCTCGGGTCTTTGTTGCCTTTTTTGTAATGAAAGGGAATAAAACTGAGTTACTTAGGTCTGTTTTAATCTCTGCCAACACAGTAAGCTGAATTGAAAAAGTAAAAGAACAGGTTTATTTGAGCAAAGTAACTCCGGGTGAGTTCTCCAGCCTCAGAGATAAGGCAGGAGAAATCATATGCCCAAACTAAAGCAAGAGTTTATATGCTCTGTAGGTAAGGGCCAGAGTATGGTCAAAGGCTGAACACTATGTAAGTGACTGTCAACTTCAGGGGAGGAGCTGCTTCAGCTGCCAAGGAAACAGAGCTTGGCTTTTTTTGGTGGGGCTTTCTGGATCAAGCAAGTGTGAGCTAGTGTTTCCAGCCAAACATCCTGACCTTTCTGAGTATATGGGTGCTGGTTCAAATCTGGATACTTCCTGCTGGCATGGGATGATGTGGGCAAGGGGAGTCAGTGGGCTCATGCTCAGTGAGGAGGTATGGGCGAAGAAGCATTTCATTAAACTCCTACCCTGAAGACCTCATGAGCCCATTCCAGGAGGAAGCAGAGAAGTTAAGTTGCTAGGAGAAAAAGTAGATTACCACCAGCACAATGAATGAGGGTAACCATGGTAAGACTGAAGACTGCCAGAAAGATTGGAACAAAGATGTGCCCTAGTTGTATTAGCAAAGTTCTTCAGACAATATGTGGAGTGACTCGATATTCGTTCCCACCAATCCAGATTCCTGTTCCCAGGAACATGCAGGTATTTGTAAAAACACCTAGAACAGATATATGCCCTGGTGTCAGTTTTAGCCTGATGAAATGTACCTTTAAGTCTATACTCAGAAAACAACCAAAGGAAATTTAAAATCTTGAGCTTGTGACTGAATAGTAAGTAGTCAGTACTCTTATCAGAATTCCATTTATCAGCGCTAAAACTCTGAACCTCTGAAATTCCAGAGTAACAATAGCATAGCAAGGGGACAGAAGTCCAAAGTGTCTTTATACATCTTAAATAATTTTCTATATTCCTTTTAGTGAAAAGTTACATCTGAAACATGTTTATCTTTTACTGTGAAGCCCGTGAACAAGGCAAACCTGTTTGTATTTTTTAAATAAGAAACTTGACTAATGAACTAACTAATAAACTACTGAGGTAGTTGTAGCCTGGAAGGTGTGTGTGTTGGGGGGGGGGGTGCTGGTGAAGCTGTCAGTATCTTAGTTATCAAACACCATCAGATCTGAGAAGAGTAAATTCGCCTGAGTAAGCAGAAGTGTAAGCATGAGTTTTCTGTCCTGTCAGGGTCCCACTTTCCTTGACCCCCAGATAAACAGATGCTTATATTAGTTATAAAACTATTGGCCAGTGGCTTGGGCTTCTTATTGGCTAGCTCTGTCTTAATTATTAACCCATTTCTATTAATCTAAGTATTTCCAAGTGGTCTTATCTTCTGGTCCTTTGGAAGTCTGCATTGTGACTGTTCTCTGCCTCCACTTCCCAAAATTCTCCTCTTCTCTTAGTCCCGCCTGTCTTACTGCCTTATTGGCCAATAGTGTTTTATTTATTAACCAATAAGAGAAACATATATACAGAAGGACAACCCCCATCACCGAAGGGAAGCAGCTTCCCAAATCTATTGAAAATGACAAGGATTTACTGGCTACATAGACAGCCACACCAGGTTCCTCTAGTCGTTGGGAACGGAGGTCTCAGGGCAGCATCAGTCTTCAGCTGCCCTGCCCAGAACATCTGACAGACTTTCCTGTGGAGTATTAACCAGCCTACCTTGTCTAGGCAGTGTCCTGCTTATCTACAGTCTGGACAGGGTTTTGACACCTGACTGGATTTGCTTCATTTAAAGCAAACCCCAGGTGACAATTCTATGCCCGTCCATCTTCTTTGGAGGAGATGGGGTGCTGCCATGAGCTGGCATGTATCATAAAAAGCTTTTCTATTAAACATTTTAAATGCCATGTTCTTAGATATCTGAAGTGTTGGACGACCATTATCTGTTAGGTATATCTAAACTAGACAGATGTTTTTTGTTTACAGTTACTTGTTTTAGGCTTTTAACTTTGAAAACATCTCAAAAGCTAAATCTGAATATATCAAAGAATTTGATGCTTTATGAAGTGACTGATGGTTAATTAGTATGTCTCATAAGATGATGATTTTATAGCTTTATCCCTGTTAAGGTTAGCTTTAAAAAGTAATAATTTCTGAATAGAAGCTATTGTAATATCAAGATAAGACTTTTAACTCATAAATGCATTCCACAGAGACTGGGATCTTATCTGATCCTTTTATAGTATACCTTTATAGAATACAGCAATTTCCTGTATGACTTAGTTTACCAAACTAGCTACAGCTTAGCAATGTTCGTAAAAGCAAGAAGGTTAGACATACTCCTAAATCATTCTCTGTTAGCCTGCATAGACCTTAGGTAGATAGACTCTTTGCCAGACTGCTTAGGTCGCCATCTTGCTACATCAGAAGATGGAAGTACCTCAGTCTCTGGTGTTTAGCTGTGGTCCTAAAGTTTTTATTTTAAGAATGAAGGAATGAAGATATAGAGCACAACCGTAATGTGTACAAGGCAAAACCAAGTTTCAACAGTATAAACAATTCAGTGTCTAAATTCAGTACCAAGGGGATTACTCTTATGTTATAAAATCTGGCTGCCAGCAAGATCTGTCCCTGTATATGAACACATTGAGGTACAGCTTTAATACCTCATTAAACTAACATTTTTTTTTTTTTTTAAATCCTACCTTTTATAATTCTTCCTTTCAGGACAGGACAGAAATTATCATACTAGGATATCATACATATCCTAGTCCAAAATAGCCTGGAGACCTGTTACCTACTTGGTAGGCCCACTCCATGTTGTCACCTTTAATCAAGATGATGGTGAAGTCAGATGATCGCTCTCTTTTCCAACCCTAGTCAAAATGGTGACCACTTGTTTCCCAGAACTGCTCCAATTTGGAGTTACAAGTTTTAAGTTACTTTTTATTATAGATTTTTTTAAACATACCCAGTTCCCTTAGCTGTTTTTTAAATAAGGTAGAACAACATAAAATACCTTTAACATTATTTACTCCCAAATGACATATGAATCTTTGTCATTACATCAGATTCATTGGCCAGAAAATCAAGAGGCAAATTCTAAGCCCACGCAACTAGTTTCAATAGTAACAGCTGATCCATCACCAAGACACAGGGAACATAGTAAACTCACGAATCCAAGACCAGTCAGAGCCTGGTGGTGGTGAGGCACACCTTAAATCTTAGTAGAGGCAGGTAAATCTCTGTGAGTTTGAGGCCAGCTTGGCCTACAGAGCTAGTTCCAGAACAGCCAGGGCTGTAAGACAGAGAGACCCTGTCTCCAAAAAAAAACCAAAACAAGACCAGTTAGAAACAAACATGCAGTGCCACATACATTTATACATTTAACTGAGCCTGATGTAATTTTGTGTGGCTCCCTGTCCACAAGAAAACAGACAGACACAGATCCATCCATACAAACAAAATAGACAAAAATTTTCCTAACAGCAAGACAAACAGAATTTTCTATGGGAAACAGACATTGTTATCATTTATGTAAATTTCAAACCATGTCACACGAGCAGCTTACAAACCCTGCAATAAGAGTTTACAGTATAATCTTAAAATATAGAGTAGCATGCAAAGAAATCATAGGAATAAAAGATTTTTAGAAGTGAGGAAGTGGGGCCTTAGAGGTTAGGGACTTTGTAAGTATAGCAGAGAAAGTTTAGGCAGAAAGTATTTTGGGAGCATTTGTTTGTGGCAGTAGAAATTAATAATTGTGAGAATTTGGAAATCAAGTTCTATAATTTCTGGCATTGATTTGTATTGAGGCCAGAGCCACATGGAATACAGTTGCCTAGAGCTCAAGCTGTGGATCTCCCAGAGAAAGGAGAGAGCAGAAGAGAAAATGTCCAAGTGGGTGCAAGAAGCTCCAGGAGCCAGACAAGCACACATGGTCCCACATAGTTGGTAATGCAGGGTAGAAGGAAAGCAGCAGCTAAAGATCTGGACTCTAGAATTTGGAATCAGATTAACAGACAAATGATCCATACTGCTGTGGTAAAGCGCATGATGAACCTTGACGGATCCCATGGCAGGTGAGGTTGACTGAAGCGGGGGATAAACATGCCAGGCAGACAGAGCTTAGTGAGTTTTATTAGAAAGGGAAGGTGGGTGAGGAAAGAGAAAAGAGGTAAAGAGACACAAAGACAGAGAGAGGACAGAAGAGGGAGACAGGAAAAGTCCTATTCGTTCTAGGGAAACAGTGGGAAAGGAAGAGGTTAAGTAGGTGGGGCCTGTCTTTTAAAGGGGTCCTTTGCACCCTCAAGCCCACTACACAGTCATGGAACCCTGGGCTGACCAGGGTACTGCCTGAGTACATACTGCCAAGTGACAGAGGCAGGTTAGCATCATGCCTGAATCCTAACCATATACCTTTTTGACCCCGTAAGGGAGAATAGGCATGTGCTGGGCACAGAACAACTGGCTCTGATTCCCATGTTATAACAAACGGAAGGACGGGACATTTACAAAGTTTAGGGTGGGAGAGCAGACAGAAACAAACAGGATCTGTTGCAGGAGTGGTTGAGTAGGATTCCAGCATGGCCAGACTAAAAGGCAGAAGAGCCTAGTAAGTCTTTGGCAACAATGGGAAAGATTTTTTAAAAAGGCGAAGTGGGTACCTTTTGGTGAAGCCTGCCAAGCTACTAAGAGAATACACCATGTGCAGCAGTTAGTGCAAGAGGGTTATTGGGCACGCAGGGAAAGTGAAAGAGAAAGGCTGTGTTGGAGTAGAGAAATGAGAGAGGCAGGCAGATAGAGAGACAGAACTGGGAAGAGCCAAGAGAGCCAAGAGGAAGAAGAGAGGTGGGGAATGCCAGTGACTCTGGCTGGGCAGAGGGCTTAGGGTTAGTCCCTGGGTGCAAAGGCATTGGCACAACCCTGGCCAGCAAAACCTGGGCATCGAGCACTGGCTGCAGAGGGTGGGGAGGGGGTGCAAAGCGCAAGTCATTTGTTTTGGGCACATGGTGTGAGACAACCCCAATTTGAATAAATTTTGCAGCAGGCACCCTAGAGGTGACTGAGGATGGGATTAGACCTTGCCCATTTTCAAGCCTGCACCAGAGACTGAAGACTAGGGCAAGGCGTTTCTCTCAATAGCAATAGTCTGGAATCAGGCAGTGGGGGTGGAGGTAGCCTTTGGAAAGAATGTCCCATAACACAGTGGTCCCCTGGAGCAAAGACTGTCTTTGCTCCGGAAATGGGTTGGGCTTGTCCTGATATGGCCACAGCTTGGCAGGGGATTTGGGGTGGGGTGGGGGGTTCCTGGATCTACCTAGATAAATGTACCTGGTACCTCTATAGGTGGTGGCTGGGAAATGGGTGATTTGCCCCAAGGGGAAAGTCATCACCTCTGGCCAAGAGGGAGAGGAGTGTCCCCATACATGGCTGGAGGACCAAGTCCACCCAGCAGGAAGCCTCAACTCCTCCCAGGTTTTGACACCAAGATAATAGGTTTTCTGTGCTCTGATAACAGGGCTCTCCACCAGCTGCAATAAACCAGATCAAGCCAAATTGAAAAAGTAAAAGAACAGTTTGAGTAAAGCAAGTCCTAGGTGAGTTATCCAACACGAGATTGAGCAGGAGAAAGAAGTCACACACTTGAACTAAAGCAGGAAGTTTATAGGCCCTGTAGGTGAGGGGTGATGATGCCCAAGTGTGGTTAAAAACTCAGCACTTTAGATGGAGGCTTGGGTGTCTGACAACTTCAGGAGAGGAGCTACTGTAGCTGCCAAGAATGCAGAGCTGGGGCTTTTTCTCTGAGAGGGCATGGTTTGGAGAGAGGGGAATGGGGCTCTCTGGATCAGGCAGGAGTGAGCTGGAGGATCAAGCCAGCATGTTTCAACTCTGACAGTGTCTTACAGTATAATTAATTTAGTTTAGGCAAATATGGGAGAAAATAATTGAGAATGTCTCTATTTGTGATGTTCAGAAAGAAAAACAATTCTGTAGGCCCCACCTAGCTTACTTACTATGATGATAGGTGAATTGAAAGTCTATGTTACTGCTTCTGGGGTTTAAGGTTATAGTCATTTGTTCAGTGAAGGCAAGTCCTGAAATCAGTGTCCATATCTTTGTTGCAGTTCTTTTTTTCCCCTCACTTATATTTAGATGATTCAGAGATTATATTAAACCACATAGCTCAAAAGGGGAAGGGTAAGAACTCACTAATTAGATACACAAAGTCAAGTAATAGAGAAAAGCTGTGAAGGGATATAAAAGAGCTGGAACCATGCTGATAGGGAAGAGTGCACTGTAATACCATTTCAGATGTTTCCTTTCCTCGGTCTTTCGAAGTTTTTTGTTTTAGCCAAGCATGGTACTTTAATCTCAGCACTGGGGAAGCAGAGGCAGGAGGATCTCTGTGAGTTTGAGGCCAGCCTGGTCTACAAAGGGAATTCCAGGACAGCCAGAGCTGCACAGAGAAACCCTGTCTTGAAAAACCAAAAAAAAAAAGTGTTTTCATTGCTGTCTTGCTTTCTTTTCCAAACACTACCTGCATTCCCTGTGACTTCATGTTTATGGCTTAGTTATGTTAACAGTGTGATATATGAGGAGGATAAGGTATGTAATGGAGATAGCCTGTATAGTGATGATGTACTCCAGTGTCCTTTTGTACTGTTCTCTCCACCCTGTTGTGTGACAAAACTTTTCCTGGGAAAGCACAGCATACATGTCTATTTACCCTGGATAGGGAGCAACAGACCCAAGTATGGATACCACCAAAGTCCAATTTGGTGAACCAATGAGTTTTATTGGGGTCACATACAGGAATATAGGTGAGGGCTTACTTACAGGAGCAAAAATAACTCAAAAGACAGGTGTGTCACCAAAGCCCACCCCAGCATGTGACAGCTCACAAAACTCGGAACCTGGAGTACACTGCCAGCCTACAGGCAGCTTAACAACGGGACAGCGTCCCTCAGTTGATGTAAACCTCTTTCAGCAGCTTGGCTGGTTTCTGCTTCTTCCAGGCAGCTGGTCTAGTATCATACATAGTCTTTGAAGCTTGGCTAGTTTGAGAGTCTTATTTTGTAGCTTAGCTTTTCTGTAGTTTGTTTGTTTTTGTTTTTGTTTTTGCAATTTATCTGTCATCCTCTGAGAGGGATCCTTGGCTTTTATTGCTTATTCTAGTAGGGAGGGGCTTAGTGAATCTGGTTGTTTTCAGGAACCTCTGGAAGCTATTTTTAGTTAGTTGCCTTCCTGTTTAAGGAGCTTACGCTATAGGAAAAAGTATTTCAATCCTTGAAACTTAAACTACACCCCCCTCAGCCCTCCTTACTTAACAGTTTTCTAAATTATTTATTAGTTCATGTCTGCCTTATCCTCCCATACCCCCCACAAACCCCCAAGTGTGATCCTTCGGTAGCAAAGAACTATTTCTAACCAGAGTTAGTTAAGATCCAAAGACTGGGAGAAGAGCCCTGACAAGCCTGTGCTCAGACTCCTGCTAATGGTAAACTTACTGTTCCTGCCCCTCTCACGGGTTTGGTAATTCACAGATAGGCACACAGAGGTCACTGTCGGTGTTAGGCTTATGGCCTCTGTTTATTTCCAAGAAAGAATAGAAGCTATCTTAAGCCATAGAAGAGAGGCAGAGTGCTGAGTCTGGAGGGGCCAAACCATAGTTTCTGGCTGGCTGCAGTGTCACAGGCTGTGCTACTTTCTCTTGGTCAAATGAGACTGCAGAGTATTGTCAGCCTGGCAAACCTACCTGAACCTTAGGCACCCAGAATTTCTGTTGGGGCTCAATTACATGTAGCTATATGGCTGGCCTTTCATTTATAATCCTTCCTGGTGGTCAGACTAATGCCTTTAGTCTCCATTTCCTGGATAGTAGATCTAATAAGATATAGCCTTTAGCCCGTTTTATAGACCACACTATTAGAGCCTAAGGGAAACAGATATTCCCATCAAGCAAGGACCTTCTGGCTGGATGGTGGTGGTGGCACACATCTTTTATCCCAGTACTTGGGAGGCAGAGATAGGGGGATCTCTAAGTTTGAGGTCTACAGAGCAAGTTCCAGACTGTCAGGGTTACACAGAGAAACCTTGTCTTTAAAAAAAAAAAAAGAAGGAAAAAAAAAAAAAAAACAAAACAAAAAGTCAGGACCTTCTATGGCATGGAGATCTCCTCCCAGTGCACAGACCCTTCTTTGAGTGAGATTGATTCTTCATTATTCAGGTGCTGCAACATTTATGTGACAGACACAGAGCACCATGAATATAACTAGCATGTAATGGAGTCAGTTTGTGGTTGGGATAGCTTTAAATAAAAAACTAATATGTCTTCTCAAACCATTACAGGGCCATCAGGATGGCTCATCTGGTAAAGACACCTGTTACCACCTTGCCTGATGATCTAAGTTCAATTCCCCGGACCCATCTGGTAAAAGGAAAGAATTGACTCCTGCAAGTTGTCCTCTGACCTCCATGCATATACTGTACTTTATACACACACATGAATGAAGAAAAATATTACACAACATTTTCTTGTTTTTTTCCTCCTATAATTATTCATGTAATCCTTTGATCTATCAGTCTTGAAACTTAAAAGATATTTATGTAGATAGATGACTATGTAGCATAAAAATGAGTTGACTACTAGTAGACCCATTTCTTCCTTAGGCAGCCCATTGCCATAATTGTTACAGCTTGAGGATTCTTTTAACTCACCCTCCCAACACATTTGTTACCAAAATCTATGTTATAATTAAGTCCTGTGGTTTCTCGCATTAAACTGTGGCCATGCTAAATTTAAGGTAGTTTCTATCCTTTTTGGGGGGTGGTACTAGTGATTGCACCTAAGGCCTTATGTAGTCATCTTTGGCAATAACCTCTGCATCACTTCTCATTCTTAACGCTCTTATGTGAACTTGTAAGGCTTAGTACTTCATTGAGTAGAGGTTGTGAGAGGGGGCCTCTGTCTCACTCTTACTTCAGATGCTTTTCAAGCATTAACTGTGATCTTTACCAGTTAAGTTAATAAATGACAGACATTCCCTGTTCCTATTCTACTAATAGCAATAATAACATGGGAAGTACAGAGTAAGGTCAAAGCTAAAGCCTTCTAGAGATCACCAAGTCTCATTGCCAAGGGAATACTGAGGAAAAGGCGTCTGAGGTGTGCTCAAGTTAGTAGCTTTCTCATGTACAGACTGAGATTTTAAATTAACCTGGGCACCAAAATTAGGCCTCCTTTTTTACTCAGCCTGAAGGCTGAAGTTTTAAATTAGAATTATTTTCCTGATATTTATCTTTAAAACATATCAGGTATTGTTTAAACACTTAATTGTGTCTTGAGTTGGAGGTTTTTGTTGTTTAATAAGAGACAGGGTCTCACTGTGTCATCCAGATTAGACTGGCTTTGAACTCTTAACTGTCCTGCCTCAGCCTCCCTAATTGGGATTACAAGTTTGTGCTGCCTTGCCTAGCTTGACTTTATTTTTCAGAAAACACTGCTGAGTGTTTTGACTCTTGTTCTGTTGTGTCCATTTACAGATGAGGAAATTAACTTGTGTAAAGTCATGGGTAGTGTGTGGTTGATAGCGTCCTGCTTCTCAGCTGGTGGTATACATAAGCATTAAGACCTTTGTGAAGGGGAAGAAATACCGCAGTCTAAGTTCTGTGATACTCTGAGAGTGGTTGTTCCCCGGGCATTCACCCCTCTGTGCTCTTCTGCCAGGTTTGCCTTTTCACCGTTGTCAGAGGAAGATGAAGAGGACGAGCAGAAGGAGCCAATGCTGAAAGAAAGCTTTGGTAAGCGTTATTTGTGCACTCAGTGTTTGTTTCTTCAGAGAAAATCATTTTAAAATCTGTACGAGTTCTTCAGTTTGGTGTTAGAGTGAAGGGAGAACAAGCAAGCTTTAAGTGAAGCCACGATAATCACTAACACTTCTGCGTTAATGTCCAGACCCCTTACAGAAGCGAGGCACAGAGTTAGCTTTGCACTTTGATTACACATGTTAGGATACAGGAGCATCTGTTCATAATTTAATCAGTAAGCTTAAGACATCTCTTGTATGGTTTTTGCTTTGGTGGCTGGTGTGCTGACAACGTTAACCAATCGATGGGCTTTTTGTTCTTTTTTTCCTTCCCTTTTGCAGAAGGAATGAAAATGAGGAGTACCAAGCAGGAACCAAATGGAAATAGTAAAGTAAACAAAACAGTAAGTGTGACTTTTTCCTTCCTTTGTGATCTTTGCCTGGTCTGTGGCCTATGGTAGAACTCAAGATTTTGTGAGTAATCCTTAATGCTTTTTTTTGTAACTATGCTATTATTATTATTATGGTGCGAGTGAAGTAAGGTATGTGTTACGCCTGTCTGTCTGCAGGTCAAACAACAACTTATGAGAGTTGGTTCTCTCTTACCACCCTATCTGGCCTGAGTATACACACACTCATATATAACTGCACATACATGAACGCATATATACTTATGCGTTCTCAGGGAGCTAGAGCTATAGTTCACAGTAGAGTGTGTTCAGCATTTATGAACACAGGTGTAACCCACAGGACAACTAAAGTAAACTTACAGAGTCATCATAATCAAAACAATAAAGAAGTGAACCAATGGAATGTAGTAGAGAGCTTAGAGGCTAAATTTATACATTTCTGGTCATTTGAATTTTGACAGAGTTACTAAGAATACCTAATAGGGAAAGGATGTGTTTTTCTTTTTCAATAAATGGTGTTGGAGAAACTGGAAGTATTTTCAAAACGAATTAAAGGCTCTGGGGATATAGTTCAGTTGTAGAGTACCAGTCTCACGTGATTGAGGTCCTAGGTTCAATCCCTACCACCATAAATGGGTGGAGTTTCGGGGTGTGTTTGTGATTAAGATCTTAAATGTAAGGCGTGAAACTGTAAAACTCATAGACAAGACAGGAGAGACCTGGCATCATATTGGTCTGCATAATGGGTTTTTGGTTTTGTTTTGTTTTTTAATTTGGATCAAGCAGACTAGAGGACACAGAATCAAAAATAGAACAATCATCACATAGAATTGTGTCAAACCAAAAAGCTGCTATATATGGTTGACAGAGCAAACAGTTGACAGAGTAAATAGACAGCCATTGAATGAGAGAATATGGCTAATACCTTTGTATAAGGGACTCAAAACAAGTGAGTATCAAAAAAACATGCTGATTAAAAGGGGGCAAAGGACTTGAATAGAAATTCTCCCAGGAAGACTTTACAAATGTATGTTTTAAAATGCTCACCGCAGATAATCAGGAAATGCAAAATAAAACCACAGTGAGCCATTACCTTACAGCTGCTAGAATGGCTGTTATCCTAAAGGTAAAAGATGGAAATCTTGGTGAGAAGGGGGAGTACAAGAAACCCTGTATGTGCTCTGTTGACATGGGCTAGTGTAGAAAGTCCCTGAAAATCAAAGTACAACTACTTATTCCATGGCCTCATAACCCTGCTGTTGGATTTGCAGTCATGAGAAGTCAGTGTGCTGAAAGGGTACCTGCCTTCCCATGCTCACTGTGGCAGCCTCAGTAGCAAAGATACTTCAGTTTCATTCAGTGACCTGGGCATGCTTGTGCATGCCTTTAATCTCAACATATGGGAGTAGAAGTTAGGCAGGCAAATCTCTGATTTCAGGGCCAGCCTTGTCTACCAAGTGAATTTCCAGGACAGCAAGGGCTACACAGAGAAACCCTGTCTGGAAAACCAAAAATAAAGTTTCACTCAGTGGATGACTTAATAAAGTGAATATACAGTCAGATAGCATTTATTCTTTTTTAAATTTTATTAATTTACTTTTTACATTCTAATCCCAGTTCCCTCTCCCTCCTCTAATCCCCCTCACTTCCCTCCTTCCCCCATTTGCTCCAAGGAGAGTGTAAGACCTCTTCTAGGAAGTCTACTAAGTGTGTCTCATCATCTCATTGAGGCAGGACCAAGTCACCTCTCCACCCCCCACACCCCTGTGTCTAGGCTGGGCATGGTATCTCACTCACCATATAGAATGGGCTCCACTAAATCAAATTTGTGCATTAGTGTTAGATTCTGGACCCACTGCCTGTAGATATTGTCCCAGTCACACCATTGTCACCTATATTAAGGGAGTCTAGTTCGGTCTTAGGCAGGTTGCCCATCTGTCAGACTGGAGTCAGGGATCTCTCACTAGCTCAGATCACTGATTCTGTGGGTTTCCCTGTCATGGTCTTGACTTCTTTGTTCATATTATCACTCCTCCCTCACTTCAATTGTACTCCAGGAGCTCAGCCCAATGCTTAGTTGTGGATTTCTGCATCTGCTTTCATCTGTTTCTGGAAGAGGATTATAGCTTCTCTATGGTAGTGACTTGTAGGCTGGGTATCTTTTGCTTTATGTCTGGTATCCACTTATGAGTGAGTACATACTATATTTGCCTTTCTGGGTCTGGATTACCTCACTATGGATGTTTTTTCTAGTTCTGTCCACTTTGCTGCAAACTTTAGGATGTCCTGTTTCTTACAGCTGAATAGTACTTATAGCTGAATAGTAAAGAAAATGAGCCACATTTTCTTTATTCATTCTTTGGTTGAGGGGCATCTATAATGAATAATGTTGCCATGAACATAGTTGAGCAGATGTCTTGGGACATTTGTGTGAGTGTGTATCCTTTGGGTATATGCCCAAAAATGGTATTGCAGGGTCTTAGGTAGGTTGATCCCTAATTTTCTGAGAAATTGCCATACTGATTTCCACAGTGGCTTTACAAGTTTGCACTCCCACCAGCAATGGAGGAGTGTTCCCCATACTACACATCCTCTCCAGCATAAGCTATCATCAGTGTTTTTGATCTTAGCCATTCTGATCAGTGTAAGATGGTATCTCCGAGTTGTTTTGATTTCCCTGATGACTAAGGATGTTGAACATTTCCTTAAGTGCCAAATTTATTCCAAAAGTAGAAGGAAATCCTGACATTTTCAGTGACACTGGTGACCTAGAAGACATTTTGTTAAATTAGCCAGGCACAGGAAAACGAGTGCTACAAGATCTCTTACTTGTGAAATCTAATAATGGTGAACTCACAGTGAAAGAAGGTTGAGTGTTCCTTATTAAACCATGTTATTTGAGAAATAGTTAGGAATACTAGGGACAGGTTAGTCAAAGGTGTTTAAGAAAATGTTAGTAGAATTTTTTGTCATCCTCATTTGTTATGTGCATGTACTTTGTATAACAAAAGGCTGATAGCTGGGTGGTGATGGTGCAAGCCTTTTAATCTCAGCACTCAGGGAGGTAGAGGCAAGCAGATCTTTGTGAGTTCAAGGCCAGCCTGGTCTACAGAGTGAGTTCCAGGACAGCCAGGACTGTTTCACAGAGAAACCGTGTCTCGAAAAAACCAGAAGAAAGAAAAAGCTGCTAAAAGAATAAAGGTCTTATAAACTGGGATTTATTCTTGAGACATACTAATGTTTTATTAACACTTGGTATTTATGTTCCCAGCAGGAAGACGATTTGAAGTGGGTAGAAGAGAATGTTCCTTCTTCCGTGACTGATGTGTAAGTGTTTGGATCATTACTAGAGGAACTCTGTTTCAGTGCTAAGATTAACTTCATTATTATTTTCAGTAAACAAACTGAAGAGAAGTCTAATGAGAATATGTATCAAGGAATGCTTAAAAGATTAGGAGTAACATAAATACAAAAGTAACTAGAATTACTTACCCAAACAATACCTCTGATTGGTCTAAAACCCATAGGGTATTCCTTTAAAGACTGAATTCCTTCCCAGAGATGTGATGTTAATGGGGTGTTGACGCTGCCACACTGTAAAGTATGCTTTATTCTTTCTATAGAATTTGAGTGACTCGGGTTGCTTTTTCTTTCTCCCCTTGAAGGGCTAATAATAAGATAAAAAAAAAAAAAAAACTTTAAATTGTATTTATTATTCTATTGTTCTTCATGAACTAGTTTGTGGCCTTATTAAATGTCATGTTTTCCTGCAGAGCACTTCCGGCCTTGCTGGATTCAGATGAGGTTAGTAATCAAATCATGGACGTTATTTCTGTGGACCTGGTAACTAAATAGCCATTCATGAATATTCTATTGAGGAAGAGTCTTATTCTTTCTAGATGACTTGCACATATTCTCCCTTTTCCAGAGTTATGTGCATGGTCAGACTTAAGAATATTTTCATTTAAAAGTTGAGTAATAAGCTGGGAATGTGGGTGCCCACCTTTAATCCCAGCACTACAAGGATGCTAAATTTCCTTCTGAGTTGTAGTTGAGTTATTTAACCTTGGATGGGGCCTGTAATGTTTCAGTATAGTCATAGATACACTGCTGTAAATAATCAACATAAAAAGTATTTGTGGAAAAAAAGTGTTTGAGCCACTTTTATAGAAATTATTTGGAATTTAGACCACTTTAGATTATTTACTTAGGATAAATCTCTTTCTTCCTTAGGAACGAATGATCACACACTTTGAAAGGTCGAAGATGGAGTGAGCAACGGGAAACTGCTGTTGAAGATGGCTAGTATCAGGGAAGAGACCAGTTTATGTGTCAATCTTCTGCACTGCTCCATGAGATTAAAGGGGCAATGACATCTTGCTCTGTTCCTTGATCTTTGTGCATGGGAGCTGGGAAGAGGTGTCAGCCAAGAAGAACATCTTTCTGAAAACACATTCATAGGATGCGAAAAATCTACAAGCTTCGTTACATCATTGACACCCTTCCCTCCCAGACCCCATCGTGGCTGTTTTTGCAACCTACATGTTGTCCCTGGACTTTCTGTTCAGTTGTTTAATCTGTCAGACTAGGAAGTTTAATGTTTCTGAAAGGACTATGTCATCTGCACCATAATATGTCATCTCTAGGAGCAACTACCTGTGATTTCATTTATTAAGGAAGTTGTATCAGTGATGGGAGAAATTGTCATTTATCTTTCAGTTTCCCAAGAAGTCAAGGTTACATCTTGCTGAAGTAGCTGGAGTGAAATGGGCCCTTCTGAGTTAAGGAACCATAGATCTACCAGTGACTGAAAGGGAGAGGGAAAAAGAGAAAGGTTACATGTGTTTCAAAATCAAGTGCAATTTTGTTTACAAATGGTGTATATTGAAGATTTTTCTATTTCAGATGTGCTTTAAAGAGAAATATTAGCTTAATTCTTCCGACATCTGATATTATGACACATCCCATTGCTGGCAATGTGGTGCACACTCCAAAAAATTTTAACTACCATTTAGTCAGCCTCCAAGGGCAGCTTTGCAGAGCCGCAGGCAATGCTTGTTTATCTTCATGCCATTCTTTGGGATTGCACTAGATGCCAAGAGACACTTTGTTTTAAGCGCTATGATTCTTCACCCTGCAAGGGGACTTAAGCTTCAGAAGGGGAGCTTATAGAAAGGAAATAGGTCCCCTTGCTTTTCAAGCAGTTGTCCTTGCATGAGTGGTATGGAGGCCCTGCCTGCTGTTCTTTTTTTTTTTGTTTTTTTTTTTTTGTTTTTGTTTTTTTTTTTTTTTGTTTGTTTTGTTTTAAATGATCAACCGTTCTAGTATCTGGTGTTGGTTTAGAGACTGCTTATAAGGAGCATCACCAGGTGACGGGGTTCACATGAAGTGCTGTATTTCTGTTTTAATGGTTTTGTCCAGTTTCATCTTCCCCAGATTTTTGTTCTACATGAAAAGTTCATGCCACTTTTTAATATAAAAATTTTAACAGAATTAATGTTTTTCTCATTTATTTCAAGTTTTCTCTGTATACCCTTCTTTCAGACACTAGTGGAGACTTTGTATGGCTCTCATTACAGGTCATCTTATTTGTTGTTGAAACTACTGACCACAATTTAAACTAACTCACACTCTATGTTCTGGTTTTCTTTCATTACTATCATAAACACCATGACCAAAAGCACCTCGGAGAGGAAAGGGTTTATTTCAGGTCCTAGAATAGTCCATCCTTGAGAAAAGCTAAAGCAGGAACTGAAGCAGAGGCCGTGGAGAAACTGCTTACACCATGCCTTGTCAGCGTCCTTTTATATACAGCCGGCCCTGGGATGCCAGGGGTGGCACCGCCCACAGCAGGCTGGGCTTTTCTACATCAATCATTAATCAAGAAATGCCCTCAGACTTGCCTATGGGCTAATTTGTCAGAGGAATTTCTTTTAACTGAAGTTCCCTTTTCCTGGGTAACCCTAGCTTGTGTCAGGTTGACATAAAACTAACTGGCACACCATAATAAAATGTTAATAGCATTTAGGGACCATTACAGCTTTTTGCTATGGTGGATTTTTTGAAACCTACCTTAGATGGTACCTTTAAAGAACAAATAATGTGAGGACACGAGTATATGTGAAGATAACTCATTATCAAAGGCCGTTAGTATCATGTTGCTGTTGCAGGTAAAAACTTAGCAGGTGGAATCATTACAACATAGCAACAGTAGTAAGTCACATATTTTTTAGATTGTGTGAATGCTAACTTGAGACTTAGGGAAAATTCTGCTGTGCTAAGCAGAAACATAATACACAGTTTTTTGTTTTTGTTTTTCAAGACAGGGTTTCTCTGTCTAGCTTTGTAGACCAGGCTGGCGAATTTACAGAGACATGCTTGTCTCTGCCTCTCCAGTGCTGGGATTAAAGGCGTGTGCCACCACCACCCAGCTTATAGTGTGACTTTTAAGGTGAGAACAGGGGAGTTAATTTGGTTGGGTGGAGTTGGTCTATTCCATTCCTAGAGTTTAATATTGATTGGTCTTGGTCCTTGAATCTGGAACTGAAAATATTAGATCATTTCCTAGCATAGTAATTGCATTCTAAATTTTCAAGAAAGGATTTAGAAATTTTGTGTTTCTAACTGCTTGACAGTATCATTTCATTTGATTATCTGAACAATATTTGATAAAGATAGGGCAAACAATCCTTACATATGAAGGAATTGATACTGTATTAAAAAGTAAAGCTTCCAGGACCAGATGTTTGGACATCATATCATACCCACCCTTTTAGAAAGTTTTGTATTAACCTAAATGCTTAAGTTTATGCTGTACCCAATAGATAGATGCAGACCATCCGTACAGCTTAAAATGAGTTGGCTTTTAATTTCAAAATGGAATAAAGTTACCCTCAAACATTGAGGACCCACAAGAGTAAAAAGCCATGTTACTTACTTTCCTGAAATGAGTATTATGATGTAAGACACATCCTAATAATTGGGAGAATCAAGTTGCTAGGAGCATGATTGCCAGTTTCTAAGCCCCTCCAAAAGTTAGTGAATCAAGTCTCAGGCATGTATAACCTGTGGCTAGAGGCATGCAGACAAGGCTAACTGTGATTGCGGTTCAACACAAAATTGTAAGCATACTTAAAACAAGATTTATTTATCTTTGTTAACTTTGTATTTCTCAAGTACAATCCCTGTAGATGCAACATTGTGTCCAAAATATCAAAAGGCTGAGTGTATGAGTGTGTATGCTTCTTGAAATGTGGTCTAGGGGATCAGAAGCATCAGCCATACCTGGATTTATGTTCAGGGTTCTCAGTTGAGGATACCATTCTGGTCCTATTGAGTCAAATTTACATTTTACTAATGTCTCCAGGTGATTTTTAAGTAAGAAGCAATGGCCCAGAAGGATAGAGCAATGACTCAGATGTAGAGTGTTTGCCACACAAGCTTGAGGATCTGAGTTTGAATGCCTAGGATCTATGTAATAAAGCTGGTGCCCTTGCAGTAATGCTGAAGACTGGGTGGGTCCCTGAAACTAACTGGCCTACTAGCCTGGCTAATTATAAAATGGATGTGTGTACTGACAAGTTTTTAATCCTAACCCTCAGAAGGCAGAGGCAGTGAGATCTCTTGAGAGTTCAAGGCTGTAGTGGATTGACAATAAACAACACAGGCCCTTTCTCATAAATTATATAAAGTGGAAAGCAATAGAGGAAGACATCTGACCTGTGGTCGCCAGAAGAGTTTACTATACAAGACATCTTTGTTCATGCGTCTGATCTTTGGGCAAGCTGCTCTAGAATCTATCTGGCAGGTAGATTCTGGGGGATGTTTTCAAACATCCTCCAGTGCGTAATACAGTCCCACATGCAGCCCCTAAATTGTACTAGAGCTGAGAAACACCAGCCTTGAGTTCATACTGTTCCCTCCAAAGTTTAAGTAAAGTTGGGGTGAGGCACAAGTTTGCATTTTTCAAAAGTTGCTGGTGTAGGGACTAGGAGAGAACCATTGATCTACAGCTTTAACAATGTACACATAAGGTAGCTGAACTGTAATGATGATATTGAGGCGATCTATTGACTAGTTAAGAGTATGTCAGACTTGATACTCAAATTGTAGTATGCCTTAATGCTGAAACAGTTTTTTTCAGAGTAGGAAAGTAAGGCCTACAACGGTCCATTTCCGGAGGAGGGGAACCCCTACAAATTTCCTAAGTGCCATATCTCCAACCCAAGTCTGAGACCAAGGCAGAAGTTACTTTTTTTTCCTTCCGGGGGTGGGAGAGCTGGGTTTTGGGTTTTGTTTGAGACAGGGCCTCGCATAACCTAGGCTGGCTTCAAATTTGCTATACAAATCAAAGAATCTCTGAACTTCTGATCCTCCTGAGTGCTGGGATTTCTGAAGTGTGCTGTCTCCTGGCACACAAGTCATTGAGCCCCATTCCCTGACAGCAGTGGGTCTTTCTACCTTCAGTACCTAGCAAGACTCTAAGACTAAGACCAGCTTCCGCCCTTCCACAGCATCTGGATGGTACCTCAGAGAGGGGCGGGACTTGTTGCGGCGGAAGGGGCGGGCTTAAGACAGCAGGAAGTCCGGCGGGGAGGATGGCTGTGTTGCCGAAGCTCCAGTAGCGGGGTCCCAGGTAGGATCCAGCCGGGTCTTCCCTGTCTTCGGGCCGCAGGCTCCCTCCAGTAGCCGGGGCCGGACGGCGGCGGCGAAGCTCCGCAGCCATGCACGACGCTTTCGAGCCGGTGCCGATCCTGGAAAAGCTCCCCCTGCAAATCGACTGCCTGGCTGCCTGGGGTGAGCCACGGGCCTCGGGCCAGGGAGGTGGCGTCCCCTCGCGCCTGGCTGGAGGCAAGGTGTCTGACCGTGTAGGTGGGCTGAGTTCGCAGGCTGTCAGAGAAGGCAGAGGTGACAGGACTGTGCACCGGGCGGCTTGCGCCATCTCTAAGGACAGACCATTTGTGGAAGTTCTTCTCTCTCTTGTGCACTGTGCATTTGGAGGTTGAGCTCGCTATATTAATTGTGCTCGATTCGGGCCCATTTCTGTTGCCAAGAAGCCCTTAGTGGAAAGGGCAAAACATTGGAAAGTTGTTAGGCTGCCAGGGGCTTGAACGTGTTCAAATAAATGATTGTGGTGTTTTCTAGGTGAAAGACACAGATGGTTTACTGGGCACTGAACACGTTACCACTGTATGCTTCAGAACCCTAGCTTTCACTCACAGTTTACCTTTCTTTAGGGTAGATAGCTCTCATGCTCATTTAATCAAAGTGGTTGATTGCCTTATGTGGTGAAGTGCCAAGTTACCCGACTCTGAAGTGGAGAGCATCATAACAGACTGCCGTGAAACCAAACCCATACGACCTTGTATACCTTTTCAGGGGGATTGGCTAATGCAGAAAGCAAGGTCAGCATCTTTTGTGTGTTCTGGAGTTCAGAATGTAAATCTTAGCTCTCAGCTACATTGAGTGCTTATCCATGAATAATTATTACCCGTCACACTCCCAAAGGCTAAGTAGAAATAATTTCAGTCTTTCCTATTAATGTCCATCAAGGGCCTTTAGATACTTTACTTAGATCTTACACTGAATAGGGTACCATGACTGACCGTGTGGAAATCTTGATTGTGACCAATGTTTTGTGCATCTATTGATAGTGCAATCCAATCATCTTTGCAGGCTCTTTGTGGACTACTCAGAGGGATTGAGTTTTTGGTGGTTTTTTTTTGTTTGTTTGTTTTTGTTTTTTGTTACTCTGTGCCCTTTCTCTTTGAGCAGCCTGTAGCCTCTGTAAAATAGCACCCCCATGGTAAACTGGCCTAGTCCTTCAGATTAGGAATAGAATGCTATTTCCTCCAAACATCTCAAGAAAGCCTCATGACCTGGAGGAAAGTGCTCTCAGTAGAACATAATACACTGAGGGATTCATCTCTCTATTGTTTCATCAAACATGCAAGCATGTATTAGACACCTACTTGGACTATTCTCTCCACCAGGGACAGGAATGCAAGGATGGATGAGAAATAGTGCCTGTGTACCTAGAACACAGTGAGGAGCAAAATCATGAGGACAGATTATGATACCAGGTAAACGATACCAGAAGTATATGCTACCCATCCCAACAATGCAGGGCAGGTGCTCAATTCAGTCTAAGACCTAGGCATCCAAGAAGGATGAATGCAGCTGCTTGCCACACTCGTGACTTAGCTTGTCAGAATCATTGACCCTGCCCCTCTAAGAGAGACTCATTAACTCCACATTGTCAGAGTAAAGATTCCACTTAGCTGAGGTTCTCAAAAACAGTTTTGAAATGATAAGTAACTTTTGTCCTGCTTTGACCCTTCACCAAATAGAAGAAATGTCCTCCCTGTCTCCTAGGTTACTAATTGAGGTCAGTGTCTGAGTATGGGAAGGTTGTCTACTTCTTCTTTTATCAAATGATTTCATTTTCAGGCTTTAGGTAATTATTGCTACTTTAGCATTAATGGCC